GGCACATCATTATTTCAGCCCTCTAAAGAAAAGAGAGGCACGTGAAAGCACGATTAATGTGTGTGATTGAACATCATGCAGGTTCACCAATTTTAAAGCAAAAAAACATAGAAGCGCAGGAATGAATATATTCTTTTTAAGGAGCATTTTATGACAGAGTGAAATCATACTATTCAGCCATTAATAACACAGTTGTTGATCCACTGGCTTGCATCGCTTTCAGATCTACATGATATCCCCATTTGTGTAACTCGTTCCTTTGAGCAATGGCGTTTGCAGCACTCAAAAGCAGGAGACGATAGGAATTTTCCATTTTCTTCTAAGTGATTGCCGTGCGGAGAGATGGCTTCTGTGTCATGAGCACTTTCTCCCCCTTGCCCTTGGCTCCCATAATGTGTGCGCCTAATGTTTTTTTTTCCTCCGCTGATTGTCTTCTGGGTAAAATGCTTACTTACCAGAGACCAAAGTAGCCCCGATCCTCTCTCAGATGGTTGAAACTGCCTCTCCCGCGGTTTGAGCAGTGAACGTGCATTCGAATGTTTCCGCTCTAAATATCTGGGAGTTGATGGGCACTCCTGAATGTTGGCTCCTCGTTCCTGGGCTGAGATGGGCTAAGCTTCTATCAGCAACTGCATTGCAATGACCTGAACTCACATAAGCTCATGTAAACCAAAGTACTCTTCAATTTGGTATCGAGAATCCAAGTACTCAATTTATGCAGGAATAGTGACATAGTAATCAACACATGTGGGGTGAGGGGTGGGAGGGAGAAGAGTGAAGTGTGTAATGTGATAATTATAGCGTCAAAAAGCACATTCCCCCACCCCCCCATGTCAAACCTCTTACACTCCTGTAATCTCTTCTAAAATAGAAAACATTTCATTACAATGCCGCCTAATTTGCCCAATTATATCACATTGTTCTAAGAACCGAAATGATAAAAATCCTTTCTCTCTGGTTCCTTAAAAGCAATCAAGCTCCACTTGTGCAAAATTAATTGGTGTCTGCAGCTCAAGGTTGGCCTTTCTGTGCTATGTTTAGATAGTCTGTTTGGATGGAGTCCTGACTTTGTATCCTGTGAATACCTGGCTAGCCTCTGGTTCTGAGAGATAATTAGTTGTCTACTTAATTCTGTCCCAGTTGCTCCCGACTAAACCTTCTTTCGTTCAGTTGGAAGTGAGAATTGATTGCTAATTATTGGAATCTTGTTGAAGTTAAACAAAGCTGTCAGCTGCCTCAGCGACTTTAGTCGGGTCAGTCCTGCCCTTTACAGTGAACTTTAGCAACTTGCATGGGCGGGCCATGGAATATTATATATTCTATCTATTGGCATTCAAATCCAATGAATTTGTATTTAATACAGTATTATGAGGCTAATGCTGCAGGATAAAGAAACGCAGCATCACTTATTCTCTTTCTGTTCAGGTTTCAAATCTTTTTTTGTCCCCCAAGATAACGGTAAGAGGCTCTGATGGCTTACGTTGTCCACTTGCCTTCCAATCAGAAGGTCACGAGTCTGAATGGCAGGTGCTATCCGGTCGGCATATTCCCTCCGTTCTCCAATAATGGTGTTAATTTCTGACTTTCTAATTTATAATCAAATTATCCCCGCTTTATTTCTCTCCTGTCTAGATTTCTCTCACTGTCTTTGACTTTCCCTTCAATTATATCCCCCCCCAACTTCCCCCAACCCAGTCCACCCCTGACAGAAACAACACAACAAAAACCTACATTATTATAGCAACCTTCACACAGGATAGAGTCTCGGAGCTCTGTCTCATACACACAAAACCTCTTGCCTGAGTTACTTGCCATCTCCCTGTTGTATCCTTCAAATCACCTAGCTTTGTCCTCTTCTGTCTCCAGGCCCTGTCCCTATGATAGATAGGCCTTGAAACCTGCTCCAACACAGGTGCACACATGTTTCTCTCACTGTTGCATTACAACCACTGTTATGTTTCCAGCTGTTCACATATTGTGATTACAGATTTTCGAGTGATCCATTCAATCATGGCATTAGACACGCCTGAGAGCCAGCAGCAACAAAACCAATTTGTTTATTTGCAGATACCTTTACACTTATGTTTTTTGAGCCAAAGGTTAACTGAGCTTGTGAGTTATGTTTTATTCCATCAGACAACAATGATATGCACACAGATTGGTAGTAAAGCACGGCAGCTCCTGCAGGTTTTTCTCTGGGTCTGAATGATACATGCGTTGGCTTTGATCAATGTACTTTTCACCTCTACATACTCTCAGCACAGCACATGTGATCAGGCTTTAAGAGGTCAGTTGGGGAAAAAACGGTAAAGGGCAGAATATTATTATTTTTAATCTGATTTCTGTTCAGGGACTCACACTACGTCAGCAGTTCTGCAGTTATCACTTACCGCACCTTTAAAGTAATAATGAAACATCATTGAGATAGTATCCGTTTTCCTAGCCAACCTGGTCTACGGCTGGAAATGTACTCAACCGAATTTACCCAGCACAACAGTAACTTAATCCGGCTGTTAGGATATTGCCCTCAGAGCTTCAGGAATATTTCTTTCTGACAATTCTGCATGAGAGATTTTTGGCAAAGACCCCGACGTAACTGGAATCCGATAGTTACTGCAGTGTCATCATCCAGTCCGTTGCACAAACTTCGCCTTATGCAGGTGAACTGGGGAGGAGAATTTCAAGTCTTTAATTCTGGATTTTATTTAGCGAGTTGGTGCCTGTGGTTTTTTTTTCTCTCTCTCCACCCTGCCGCCCTCTCCTCTTTTTCGCTTCGTCCACAAAATATACAGTCAATTCTCTGCACGGTGCTCTGCAATTACCGCACGGTAATTAAAATGTAGCCTGGCTCAGTGGATAGCATTATTTCCCCTCGGAGTCCAAAGGTTGTGGGTTTCAACTCCACCCGGGGAATTTGGAGCTCCTAGTTTAGGCTGACACTCGAGGGCAGGGGTATCACTGAGTTGTTGGAGGTGCCATCCTTCGGGTAATTGAACTGAGGTTCCATCTGGCTGTTCATGTTGAGACCTTATATGTCTTAAGTGAAGGGTTGTAAGTTTAAGACGTACCCACTTCACACAACGTAAAGTAGTATTGGCATGCTCTCAGCACACCGTGAATGGATCGGCCTTTATTCAGTGTGACAGCACTTGATCTCAAATCTCCCCCCATCCCCCAGTTCCTGTCACCATAATTTAGCAGCGTCGCACCAGTAATTAAGCGAGTACATTTCTAGGTTAGCAAACTCAAAGTCTATCACATATTGGCGGAGGGAAAAGGCTGCCTCATTAAAATCGTCTGGCAAGGCATGACAAATGAGTGACTATAGCTATGTCTGAGTCGTTGGGCAACCATTACTCAGGATTAACATAGTCACAAGAAGAGCGAAAGGAGAGCTTAGGAGAATTTGTGTTCACGTAGAGAGTTATTTGGCCGTGGAATGCTCTTCCAAGCACAGTGGTAGAGGCAGAGTCCATGGTGGGTTATGAGAGGGAAATAGACAGGTATGTGAAAGATAGAGGCTTGAAAAGCCGTGCAGATGGAACGAGGCAGTAGGATTGAATCCACAGCTCGCTCTGAGAGCCAGTGCGCACTTGAAGAGCCGAACGGAACTTGTTCCGAGCTGTAACTCTCCGATATTTTGATTTCCAGACGCCCGAGCAGTAAAGTTTAAGCTCGCTTTCCCTAAAATTTGCTCACAACAGGGAGCTGGGAAGCCGCAGAGCTTTCTCTTCGCATCGTTAACAGCGCACAGTTAAGCATGAGGTTGCACTCTCTGCGGGCCGGGGCCAATTGAAAACAAATCAATGGGCTTGACAATCCTCGCCCGTGCTCTAATCCAATCTGAAGGCAGTGTCGGCTGAGTGCAATATGCTGACTGATGGAACCGGGTAGTCTCAGACGACTTGTTCATTCAATACAACGAGGGGAAAATGCCAAGGTTATTGGTAGTCGGAGCTCAAACATTCCCCACATCTGAGTCATAGAGCGGCTGACGTTATCCTTGCCCGTTCGTTTTCCAAGTCCAGAAAAAAAAATTGCAATTTTAATCGGTTTTACTTTTTTGGGAGGTGAAACATTTTGTTGTGTTCATTGCAAAGCGAGCAGCTTTTTATTTCACTGGTACTCCGAGTCCTGTTGCGTTAAACCTGCGCGTGTTTATATGGCGGGGAGGGTGGCGGTGGGGAAGAGGAGAGAAAGGACCACTGACTCCGATGCAGTGATGGGGGGGAGCGCTGAATCGTCAGAGATGCCATCCTTCAGGTGAGACATTAAGTTGCGGTCCCATCTATTCCTAGTCATGTCTGAAATCCCAATCTTGGAAAAAAAGCGACAAGCAAGTTCCTCTCTCCCGGTGTCCAAGCTGACAATCCCCCAGATGATTATTTTCTTGGCTGTCTGTGGGACATCGCTGTGCGCAAATTGGGCTGCCGAATTTGCCGACCATACTCAGTGGCCGCACTTTACAGTAAATCCTGTGAAGCGCTTTGAAGCGTGTGAAGCGCTTTGGGACGTCTAGAAGACGTGAAAAGCGCTATATGAAATGCAAGGATTATTATATTAAATTCAAGCATTATTATTATTATTATTGGATGAAACGAAAGGATTATTATTCTTATTGGCTTCCATTTTGGACCTTTCATCTCTGCAGAGTCAGCTCACGTTACAAACGTCCCAGTGACCGTTTGTGGGATGCCACGACGGCAATAAATAAATGTGGCCGGTTAATTGGTGCTGAAGTACTGTTATAAAAAGTACGATTAGACTGAGCGGTGGTTCGAAGCGAGTTCAGAAAAGGCAGGGAAATAAAGGTATGAGACAAGGTGTGGTAAAAAGAAAGGGAAATGGGATTAAAAGATCTGCCATGATCTGATAAACAGTTGGCACAAACTCGACGGCTTGAATGGCCTCCTCCTGTTCCGGTGAATAGGTCCAGGCTGTCTCTTTCTTCATTCTCAGTCGCTCCTTCTCTGCTTCTCTCTTTTTCTTATATTTTGTAGGCATTTCCTGTTTAAGCCAGGAACTGGCACCTCCAGCCTCTATGGTACCACTAATCCAAGCTATCCTTTAACCTCCAATACTGTTTATTCTCCGCCTCCAAGACCCCTCCCCAGAAGCACCTTTTCCAGACCTGCCTTCACATTCAACAAACCTTACAAGTGCTGTAACTGGAAATGCACAGCTCTGAGTGCCACCGCCATCACTATAACTCTGGCTCTTCTCCTCGCCTATGTTATTGGTAAGCCTTAAGACTTTTCCTTCAACCCCATCTATCACCTGCTTCTGTTTACTGCATCTCTTAACGCTTGACTTTTGCTTCCCCTTTAGCTGATGGGAGTATTTTCGCTCCGTGTTAACATATATACATATATATATCTAAATATATAATAAAAAAATCGATTGTTTCAGATTGCGTAAACGTTCAACACTTGAGGAGACAGAGAGAGAGAGAGAGAGAGAGAGAGAGAGAGAGAGAGAGAGAGAAATCGAATTTCCTACACTCGGGCACTGTTAGAGTTCAAATGGTCTTTAGCCAAACAATGGTGAATGTTTGGAATATCCCACAGAGGAAGTTAATCTGTGGCAAAAGTGTTGGCTTATTTGAAAAGCAAGTGGGTGTGCAACGATGAGAGAGTTAAGTAAATACGCCAGAAAGGGGCATTCATTGTTTTTCCTTGTCACCCCGGGATGTGGTTGCTTAAGAAGTAGGATGTAAACCTCCCCTAGTGTTGGGACAGGACTGTAGGTAACTACATGAGGAGAAACAACCTCTTCACTGACATGGGTCGCAATTGGATGTGAACAAGGTTTTGAGTCTCCGATCCTGATATTTTCTCTCCCCCTGCAGAAACTCGCACTGTGGTTTTTCTTCCCCTGGTCCTGTTTGCTGGTATCGCTATTGTCTAATTAAACACAACATCCAAATCAAAGAACAGCTTAGAATTCGTAATGATTTCCATACCAGTTGCACTGACGCCTTGTAATTTTCACAGCAGGTGATTTTGGTTTCCTTTCAAATGTACAAATCCCCTCTGTTTAATTTGTGATCCAGCTAATTAACACAAAAACCTTGCTCTTTTCTCCCCCCACCACCACCCCTTATTTGTATTATATGTCTGTGCCCTGGGGTGGCTGGGAAGCAGTAGGGGACTGCTGCGATTTGAATCGAAGTAAAATGCATTCCAGGCTAAAATAATGATTTTGGTGTTCACGCTGAGAAATGTCAAGGTTTCTCCAATCTATCCCGTGCCTGAAATCTTACCTGGGACGCTGCTGTGCGCAACTGGCTGCCGCGTCTCGTTGCCCACAAAATATACAGTCAATTCATTTTGCAGTATATTCTGCGAGGCGCTTTGAGACGTCTCGACGACGTGATAAGGCGCTGCACCAAATCCAAGGACGAGGATTACACTGATTTGCCAGCCTTCAAATGTTAATCTTGAGGCTAGAGTCGAGAGGCCTATTTCCTGGCGTCTATCCGTGCCCGTGTTGTTTAACGAGATCTGACTGACCAGCAAAAAACATACAGGGTTGAGCACCTCAGTGAAAATTAGCTGCTCTGATTTCATTCCCGAAAGCTGAGGAAACGTCCGTAGGCAAGACACTGAATCAACAGAGGAAATCCCTCTTGGCAAGTAGGGGATCTGATTGATGTCGAGAGCTGGAGAGTGGAGGCTGAGAGCGCTGATGTGTTTTCAAAGTTCCTCTCTCTGGCTCTGTAAAGAGTTTTGAGGTGTTCGCCTGCATGAAAGACACTATATAAATGCAAGTTGTTTATATAAATCCAGAGGCTTACAGTATGTAGACATACAGTCTATAGTCAGCCTCACAGTCTCAGCTGACTTAACCCAAGTAGAACATCGTTACTGAGACCTTGCCAGTCAATATGAGTTATTTACTGAATAAATTCGCTGAGAGATCTGACTAAAGCTTGAATGAGCTGTTGCATCAATTAGGATGTAAGCTTGAACTCAACATTCAGTACCTCCAGGGGGTCAGGATATTTCAGGGTTATATTCACTTTTGTACCAACGCAACCTTCTCGTTGCTCACGTGATTCAAATTGAGCTGTAGAGATACTTGACATCCCAGCAAGAGTGTACTGTGGGCTGAATGTTTCCTCTTCGGGAAGCTGGAAGATTGCGGGTTCACTTCTTTTTTACATAATCTGTTAAATAATGAGGGGAATTATCCGCCCATTCCCTCAGAACCAAATGAAGGTTCGGGAGTCAGTCAATGAAGCGCCACCATAATAGCCCTCGCATTTGATACGAAGCCTATTTCGCCCACAAAATACTCAGTCGCTTCACTTTACAGCACAACCTGTGAAGTGCTTTGAGACGTCCTCCTGACACGAAAGGTGTCAGTATCGAATGCAAGGGTTCTATTATGATATCAAAACATTTCAAAACCCTTCATAAGCAATTGCTGTTTTGTGTAAGTCACAAACAGCCATGAAGTGAATGATTCATTTTAGCTGGAGGGTTGTTGGCCAGGACATCGAATAACAGCATCGGATCTTTAATGTCCACCTGAACAGGCGCATGGGGTGATTAAGTCTGATCCAGCAGACAGCATCTCTCACAAAATGCTTCATCCTGTGCCACACTGTGTTGTCAACCTGGTCCGCGAGCTTAAGTTAGACGTAGGACTTGTATGCACAAGCTACTGACCCATAAGCGAGAGCATTACCAACTGAGCCGAGCTGACGGCTCCATGTAAATGGAGCCAGTGTGCGAGCTGAAGAAACCGAATGGATTTGCCTCATCTATGAATAACATGAGCTATTGTGTTTTACAGCAGTGCACTTGTTTGGCCTGACCTGGCAACTGTACGAGAATGGTGGAAACAAGTCGGTGGCTGGGTCTGAAACACTGGACACCACGTCATCTCCCTTGGGCGGAAACAGTTCAGACAGAGGAGACAAGAAAGACAGAGGAGGATCTGGAGGTAACTGCACACCAAATGATCCTTAACAACGACGAGTGTAAATCTGAGTGAACTCCCCTCCCAATCCCTGTGATCAATGAAGGGACTGATCTTGAACAGACCATTTAGCACCATTTGTAAAGCGACACACACCATCCTGCTCCGGTCATTATTTTTGCAACCGACAGACATCGATATTAGTTGGGGAAAAAAAATCCTTGCATTTGAGCGAACGCTTTTCACGTCAGGGGGACATCTCAAAGCACCCCGCTGCATGATTCGCTGCAAAGTGTAGTGACTGTGTATTTTGCAGGACGAATTCAACAAGAATGAGCACTTTGTGGTTGGTATTAGAAATGGGAAGGCTCTGTTGTTTGTCTGTAAGTGCACGGCTTCTAACTAGATAGTCTCAGAGATTCATCTGGCAAGGAGAGATAGGAGTAACCAAACGAGACATCTCATAAAACTTAGATTAGGCAGTGCTTAATGGACCAGGGAATTAAACCTGTCATAATGCGATTTAGGGGGAAAAGGGTAGAACTAATCTGCCCAGTCACTTAAGCGTTTGTATCATCTGTTCCCAGTGTAAGTGAAGTGGTAAATTATGGTGTTATGGCTGCAATAGCAGGAGAGGTAGACATTGAAATCACAATTAAAACATGATACCTCAAACACGGAGCACTTGACTAATTACAAGGAGTTGTTTGCTGCACAAAGTGAACCCTATATTTCTCAGAGTGTTGGTGGAGATGCTATAAAATCAGAGCCGGACAGCGAACATGGATTGAAATACAGGACTGATCAATAGTATGCTGGCACCAACAGCATTTTCAGGGCAATTCTTTGACTCGTGCGCTCTCCAACTATCTGTCAGTTGGGAGATATGTAGTGAGGGCAAGTCGGTTGGCGGGAGAGCAAGGTGCGTGGGAATCTTTTTTTGACAGATGCTTCCAAGTTAATCTTGTTTGGATCAATGTGGATTGACACGGTGCACGTATACCTTACACGGAGCTCCAGTGGAGTCAGGATTTTTTGAGCACAGGAAGTTTAGGAAGAACTTTGCAGTCCCTCTTGCTCCCTCCCTCGCCTCCTTCAAGGCATGTCTCAAGACCCTCCTCTTCGACCGTGCCTTCGGTCACCCTCCTAACCCTACCCCTCCCTGTCCTCCACCCCTCCTGATTCCAACCCCCTGCTTGGGTCCAAATCCATGACTGCCCAGCGCAATGGGACGTTCTGCCCAAGTGATAGGCGCTATGCAAATGTAATTTGTTGTTGTTGTTGTGGTTACACATCTCATGACCTTGACCAGCCTTGGTGCACGAACAAGGTTACAGGTCCATTTTACAGTCACTTTTACTTCAAATGTGATGTCATTCCAGGCTAAATTTCCTATCCTTTTATCTCTATTGTCTGTCTATGTCCATCACTGCGTCTACATCCATCTGCCCTTCTCTACTTATTTTCATTCTCTCTGAAGCAAAACATCATTTGGAATTATGTTAACCAGAACACATAAACAAGAATCGTTGGGGCAAAAATTGCAACCCGCCAGTGTGTTAATTTATACAGGCGTTTTCTGCTCTCGACTAAAATGTTGCACACAATCACCAGCGTATTAATCCGATGCCACAACGCAGGACTAATAGAAGCCTTTATTCTGAAGCGACATGCATAACGGGAGCCGAAAGAAATATTAAATTGCTAACGCAGAGAAGACGATAGATACCGCTCAGTGCATTACAGGACAGAAGTAACAGTATGAGATTTGTGATAATATCAGAAACCACAAGAACAAAGTCTGAGTGTGTTGTATCCATTATCGAAGCACAAAGTATATTAACGCCGGATTACTCATTGAAAAATCCTAGCTGTTATTTTTAATGATGAAGTGGTATGCGGTCAGAATTTTTTAAATTAGGGTAATATCTCATGATGGACGATCTCAAGCAATATTGGTTTTATGATGTTGAACATTAAGGAATAGCGGTTTTGCAACATGGGAAATTCAGCATCACCAGGCTATTTTTTGACAGTGAATTACATAACGAAAAATCACTAGCGTGAATATATTACAATGTAATTTGTTATAGGGCAGAAGAGAAGTAAATTGAACTAAATTGATTGGGAATGACGGATAATTCATTTAAATTTCCTTTCCCGACCTCATTTGAATCCAATTCCAAGTCAATCGTACCTATTTTCAGTGGAATTAATTGAAGCGCTTTCCAAACCAGTTCATTTCCCTTTGGATCCATTTTCTTCTCCACCGTCGTAATTCTTCTGGATCAGTTTCCTGAGAAACATGGGAACGTTTTTAAAGACGTGTGTGTTTCGCTTGCATCGCACACAATTGCGAGGCTAAAAATTGGTCAGAGTACAGATGTGAGAGTAAATATTTTAAATCACCCTCAAAAAGCGCCACAGTGGTGTATTATTCATCATGGGGAAATGCTCTTAAAAAGCAAATAAGTAAACATTAGATCCATTTTAAAGCCTATTCATGTGTAATATTTGCACTACCATAAATAGTGTCTCGAGCCAGAAAACGTGTGATTCGAGAATCCGGTTCTGCAGCACGAATGAAGTTCAATTGTAAGTGAAGCCAGGAACGCAAACAAAAATGGTGAAAATCGACACACACGCGGATCAGTCAGCATTCAGAGCAAAAAGAAGAAAACGTCGGAAGGTTGTGGGTTCAAGCCCCGCGTCAGGACTTTGAACTCACACAGTTCTAGGGCTGATCCTCTAATTCAGGGCTGCATTTTTGGAGTTGTCGTCCTTCAAAGGAGACTTTAAACCGAGGTCCCGTTTGCGCCTCCCATTGGCACGACTGAAAAAGAGAAGGGAGTTTCTCCCGCTGTCCTGTTCATCAATCCCCCAGTTGAAATTGGTCATTTATTCCATGGCTGTTCATGGAACTTGACTGAGCACAAATGGGCTGCCATGTTTGCATATCCAATCCTACGTTCCTATAAATCCAGTGAAGTGCTTTGAGACGTCCCCCTGGCAATGAAAGGTGCTGCATCAAATGCAAGGATTATTTATGGTATTTATTTCATTCAAGCGAGGGATAAATTGAACGATAAGTGGAAATAATTAAGCTTCTTCCCCCACCAACCCACACGACACACAAAATTCTCGGGTCATCAGTCACATCGGCTAAATACGTCAGCGTGGAGCTGTTTTATTCATTCTCTCAACTAATTTAGCCGTAGAATCAGAAGTCCTGGGCAGGCAGAGAGTGGAAATGTTATGGTTATTTTGGTCTTTTCATGAACCCGAACTAATGGAAAGCATTATTCCGAAAGCATCCATGCGTCTAAGATGGTTACTTTCCTAATTTGTTTAGCTACAATGCACATTTATCTTACCACGTCGACCGAGAGAAGAGAAATAGTAGGGAGTCTCAAGTCAAAATTGCTATTGCCATCCTAGGGGCCACATGTTGCCTTGCAGAGTGCAATTTGATCATTGCTTGTCAGTCAGAGATTTAACTGCTTAATTTCGGCTAGTTCCAAACCTCAGATTACACCGGAACGCATCCAGGCTTGGCAGATATCTTTACTGCAGCTGTTAATAAACAGGGACCTGTTTACATTCCCTTCACTCTAGGACCACTAAACCAGCTTCCAAATGTATTAATTCAAGTGATTGGTTCTCAGCTCTGCTGCTCACTGCAATCAGCTGGCACTGTTTGGAGTTACCTTGAATGTAGTCGATAACTTAAGTGGAACTATTGCAACTACATGTCCGCAGATTGATTTAGAGCTGGATTCTTTCACACAGGTTGTTAATTACATAATTAAGGGCAAATGTATTTATTTGCACGTGGTTAATCTACAAATTCCGCACGAGGGTTATTAACCCAACCTGCAAATTGGGCCTGGATGTATCGAGAATGTGAGAATGCACAAATCCTAAGAAATTATTATTTTTAAAAAGTTAAAGACCAAACAAATCAGGACTTTGAACTCGTAGGATAGCCCGAACAGGGCTGGTGATGGATGATGGTGGAGCGTGTGTTGTTGGACGTGTCATCATTCAAATGAAACATTAAACTGAAGTCCCGTCTGCCTGAACAGGTGGACGTTAAAGTCCCCGGGCACTATTTGAAAAGAGAAAGGAGTTTCTTCCAGTGTCCTAGCCAACAATCTCCCAGATAAGATTGGTCACTCACTCCATGGCTGTTTGTGGGACATTGCTGTGAGCAAATTGTTCACCTACAAAACACACAGTCACTTCGCTTTGCAGTAAGTCCTGTGAACCACTTTGAGATGTCCTCCCTCTGTGAAAGGTGCTGAATCGGAAAAGCGAGGATAACTATTATTGTTATTTACTGTTATTATTATTATTTTCACGATAACCATTTTGCGTTGTCTGCATTATCTTTTCAGGGAAAACTCTGAATGTCTTTCACCGGGGGATGGCGATAGATACTGGAGAAGTGGATGTGGGATCGCACATGATGCAGACAATCCCCCCAGGCTTGTTCTGGCGGTTTCAAATCACCACAGAGCAACCCGTCTACCTAAAGTTCAACGTGTCACTGGCAAAAGACGCCTTATTAGGGATCTACGGCCGACGAAACCTTCCCCCCACACACACACAGGTATTGGGAACAGTTTTGCCTGACAGGCGACTGACTGAGCAGCTTAAGAAAGAAGTTGATCCTTATAACGAGCCAACTTCCGCACTTACGAGTTGACGGTCCATTGCAGCACGTGGGCAAAAATTCCGCGCCGCGGAGATTTTATTGGGAAATCCCTTCAAGTCGAAAGCACAAAAGAAGCGCAACCCAAATAAATTCTTATCGGATTCCCACAAAGGGTTTTGTTAAAGTCACGGGCCCCCTTACATTGTCTCAAGCAGAAACTCTGGAATCCAACTTAGCCATGAGTTTATGGTACGCCACACTAAGTTTCCTTTGTCCGCACTCTGCTCCGTGTAAGAGTGCTGCATTATTTTTCAATAGAGCATACGTCAAAGGCACTTCCAATTGATTTCCCTCATATTTTTACACAAATCCGCATTGACTCGCATCCACGGAGGCACTCACCAAACTGAACACCATCACAGCCACTTTCCACTAGATTAGACTAAATATATCTTAACCAGTTAACATAATTTAGAGTGATGTTTGGGGGGAGCCAGAAACATTAATTATTTATGTATCAGCCGATCACATCATAACCACTTCATTAGTTTGCAGAAGTATTGCGCTAATTAGCATAATGAGCCATACCTAATTTCCTCTCTCGTTAGCACTCGCTCAAGTCACGACGATATTTTTTAATCGCCCCCAACTTTTTAGAATAACAGCATTTTCCCTTGTGAGTCTCGTAGCAAACGCGTCTCTCCTCCACGCAATGCTGAAAAAAAACACGCGAGTTTCACAACAAAACACATCGAATCCACCGTGGACCATCTCGTTACCATTCCCTACTGGGCGTGCGACTGCTCTGTTGTGAAAGAACATTATTATCAGGAAGGGACAAGAATGGGGCAGAAATCCAATTTAAAAGTTCTGAAGTTTGGTCATCCACAAGTACGTTGAGTTTAAAGCTTCCACTCGAGTGTCGCTTGCAGCGCCTTTGGTGACACGAGGCTGTAAACGGGAGCTCCCATCGGCGGAAACGCCATGGTCAAAGGCTCCAGGGGACGGAATTTTGACCCGTTCATTTTGTGAGACCAACTCGTCAAACTCTTGTCGCTTCCGCTTTATGGGACAGCGAGTGACTTGTTGATGGGAAAACAGGGAAAGCGAGACTCTGTGCAGGCGAGGAGCTAGTCGTAAAGGCAGTGGAGAACAAAAAAACAGTGGAGACGAGTTAGTGAAAGCTCGATACGGTAGAACCCCAGTGAATTGTGACACGAATAAAAGGCTCGAGTAACGGAGCAAGGTTGGGAATCCCAAGTCTTAAATCGGTGGGAAAAAATTCCGTGACTTCTTTTCCCCTCCTGTCAAGTTGCGCACCTGCACGCATCCTTCACAGGAAAAGAGGCCACAAAGTTCTCGGTGCATTTGGGCACCAGTTGTGCCGTGCAAATTAACTAATAGTAGGCACAATTACTGTAGGTTGAAAGAGATGGATGGCATATCAGCTTGCCCTGGGGTGGTGTATTCCACTCGGGGAACTAATTGAGAAATAATGAAACTCATCACAGCCGGCTGGCAAATATGATTGCAGTGAGCCAGTGGTGGAATCCTCGCCAGTACATTAATGGCTTTCTCATCTTTGGTCAAGTGTGTTCGATTAAAGCCAAAATCTTTCTGTGCCTCCAGCCATTACACCCCAAAACTCTGGGACTCTCTCCCTCAATCCCTCTGCCTCGTCCCCTCCCTCCCTCCCCATTTGCAAATCCCGCCTAAGGACCGTCCTTTTTGATCGTGCTTACGGTCACCTCACCCCTCCCTCCGGCTTGGTGTCAGACTCTGCTACCATCAAGAGCTCCGGGACACTACCCCACGTGAAGGGTGTTATATAAATGCAAGTTGTTGTTGTTGTGTGCACATCAGAAGCTGAGGAAATTTGCGTATCCGCCATCTCTGGACATACTGGAATTGCTATTTTGTAAAGAATGTTTGCAGACAGACAGACACAGACAGACTGCAGATTTGACTTTGATTTTCCTGTCCTTCCAACAGTTTGATTTTGTGAAACTCCTGAACGGCAAACAGCTGATCAAACCAGAGCCCAAAACCCCAGCGGATTCGAAACACACGCCGAGGAACCTAATCCTAATCGCCCTCCAGGAGACGGGATTCATTGAATATATGGATCCGGGAACTTGGTACTTTGCCTTCTACAATGATGGGAAGAAGATGGAACAGGTCTTTGTCCTAACTTCTGTAATAGGTAAAGTGTTATTTAAATGCCTTCAAACTACAACTCACAGGTTATTTTCCTCGGAAAGTCTGCCTATTTCTTGTTGATTTAAGCCCAATCTTCTCACCTTATCCCTTAACGGTCTCTCTTACCCAGACACAAATCATGATCTTCTCTCGAACCCATTCATACCAGTCGAGTTAACTTTCCTCCTGTCGTTTTTCATGTTTCTATGAATTACTCTTAGTATGAAATAGCTTTCCCTGTTTACTGCTAATTCCCTTGTTTTGTAATTACGTCTTGGAGTGTTTTTTTAAACTCTGGCCAGTGTGAATGCGCATGAAAATTTCTGTTGGGTTGGATTGAATCTTCTCTTGACCACAGAGAATGATCCAAGCTTCCTCAATCTCTCCTCAAGGTAGATTACTGTCATCTTTGCTGCCCTACACAGCACACTTGCAAAAATCAGTGCATCTCCTATGTGTAAATATCCTCTGAAGCACGTTGCGACGTCTCAATGCTGTTATGATAATACTGGCCAATACTGGCACAGTAGGAGTCTAACCAATGCCTTATACAGGAACAGCATAAGATTGTTTTGATTTACAGTCTGTTTATCTGGTAAAGCAACCCAGAACCTTGTTTGCTTTCTTCCACCGCGGAACTATGTGGGCTGACATTCTCAGCATTATTTGAACAATAACTCAAACCCGTTCACTGCACGTCTGTTCCTTTTCAAGCAAACAGAAATAAAGCCTAAACAATGTTCTTTGTGATACTCTGCTCCGATTGACAAGCGCTTGACATCTAGTTAATCAGCGTAGAAGAATGGCAGACAATATTGAGCTGCCAATAGTCATTTGAATGCGAACAATAAATTAAAGACAATGTTTCTCCCTTTCGTCCTAATATTCTTGATTTTATTGGATCACGGTGCAGTTTTTCCAGTAGCACAGCAGATGATTTTTGCTATGTCGCTCTGTTTACTTGCAGCAGGTTGTTTATTGCTGTACGGCTGATCTTGTGAATCTTAAAAGTGATTTAATCTAAATGTCTGATCTGCCTTCATCCACGCAGTCTACCAGTGTGGGTACTATGGAGTCATCAACTATGACATTGTCACTTCAGGCAATTTCCAAGCAATAGCTCACCCCGTATGAATAATTTTTGTTCAATTTTGCCCTAATGGTTGGTTGCGAATGTGGAGAGAATCTAAGTAACAAATGCACATTAACCGGAAGGTAGAACTCTTGTACCTTATCCAATAAAGAGTTTCATGAAATATGTCGGAGCCCAACTTTTTTTTAAAAAAGATTTATAAATTACACATTAGACTTTAGTGGCAAAAAAAACACATTACTTCAGCCCCGAGTGGGGATTCTTAGAATGTCATTTGCACAAGCAGCACAAATCAAATTGTCCCATTCTGGACAGTTTCAATATCGTTGCACGACGCAAGGTTACAGATTAGGGTGAAGAAAGAAAAAAAAAACAGAAAAACTTCTTACATCTCAATCTTTCAAAAAGAAAGCGCGTTGACAGATTCTCCTTTTCCGACAGTGCAAAAATAATGACTTCATTATAAATTTTTATTAGATTTCTCCCAATATGGTGCTCAGCTTCCCCAGAGGTAAAGCCAACTGGCCAATGAGAAACTGATCCCTAAGTGGATGAAATCAACAAGGTGTATGCTTGGACTGTACTAAATTGGTTAGCGGGTATAACAGTTGGGGTACTTCAATTGACATTGCCTTCACACACACACACACACAGCTACACACCCTCCACACATCTGAGCAAAGTGAAAGGCTTTTATCATTTGATTTTTATCCCTTGACCGCATGCTGGGAGACACACCTAGAAATATATAGTGTGGATATAGACCATTGGGCTCAAATACTCTGTGCCAAGTGTTTAGACTCCCCACAACCCCCCATTCCCACCCCTCCTAAACCCCTCTCCTATTCCCGTATCCCTCAAGTATGTTTCCGGCACTGAGTTCCACATTCTCTGCCTAAGGAAGTTTTCAATGAGCATTGGATGAAGATAGGATTAAGTTTGGCTGTGATTCAACTTTGAATTCCCCCCGCATTCTCTCCTCCTTCTAAGGTGGTCAACCATCTCCCAACACTCACTATCCAGGATCAGACATGGCTAATGGCCACTTGTGTATGGAAACAGAGATGGCCAAAAACGATAGCGTGGGTCAGTGCTGTTCAGTGGAAAAGGCAAAAATTTGCGTGGGAAAAGCAACCAACACAAATCAGGCATTCACCACGATCAGATCATTGTTACTCTGTTTAAATCCTGTTGCTACTAAAACAAAATCAAATCAAGGGCAACATTTGTTCCTGAAAGGTCTAATCTGATGCTTCTGGTTCCCCGCAGAAACCATGGATGATTGTTCCACCAACTGCAATGGAAATGGTGAATGTATCTCCGGCCACTGTTACTGTTTTCCAGGATTCCTTGGACCAGACTGCGCGAGAGGTAAAACGTTCACGCACGTGGAGATGTCGACAAAATGTAACTATCTTATCGTGCAGGGTATTGGGTGTTTATTGGGGGAATATCAGTAAATAGAGTGAGTGCTCCACCGTGTTCATTGAAGTCGCGCGGAGAACTTGTGTCAAGCCAGCTCAGCGGTAGCGCTCTCGCCCCTGAGTCAGAAGGTTGTGGGTTCAAGCCCCCCACGTCACCATTTTGAACTCATATAGTCACGCGGGGCTGACACTACAATGCAGTGCTGTGGGAGGTGATATCCTTCAGAAGAGACTTTAAATAGAGATGCTCTCTGTGCCTGTTCAGGAAGACGTTAAAGATTGCAAGGGGCTATTCAAAAACAGCAGTTTTTCCTGGTGTCTTGCCCAACAATCCCCTGGATAAAATTGATTCTTTTTTTACTCCATGGCTGCGTGTGAGACATTGCTGTATGCAAATTGGCTGCTGTGCTTGCTTACAAAACACACAGTTACCACCACGTTACAGTGTACCCTGTGAAGCAGTTTGGGATGTCCTCCTAACGTGAAAGGCTTTACATGAAATGCAAGGATTATTATTTTTATTACTATTATTATTATTATTATAAGATGGTATTAGCATTGAACTTTCATCCCTCTTGATACCTTTCATCCCCGTTTCAGACTCCTGCCCTGTTCTCTGCAGTGGAAATGGCCAGTATGAGAAAGGTCACTGCCTTTGCCACAGTGGGTGGAAGGGACCGGAGTGCGACATATCAGAGGAGCAGTGCATCGATCCGACTTGCTACAGCCACGGAACATGCATTGCGGGAACTTGTATCTGTATTCCCGGCTACCAAGGGGACAGCTGTGAAGAAGGTGGGTTTGACTCAGGTTGTGTTACATTCGTTCATTTTCGCAGCTTTGATTGATTTCAAAGCATAACGGGATTGATCTCCCTTTCATCGTCCCAGGCATGTGTTTAGCAGCATCCAGAGGTGGACAATATTTCATTGGGCACCGATCTCTGATCTTGCACACTTATTTATGAGAAGGTTAATGTATTGAAATAGGCATCGAACGTGACCTGAGGCACTCATAGCCTGTCACGTACACTGGCAAAAGAGTAGACGCTTCTGATAATAAGTATCGATTTTCCAATTCCACGTCGGTCAGGGTTTGTAGCTTGATATGGGCAAAAGACCTGTTGTCCCATGAGCAGCTTCTCTTCCGGTGAGTAGGCTTTACAACATGCCCGTGGGCATTGGGGAATTGGGGGTAAGGATAGACGTGCTCTCTTGGCATGGATTATTCTCGCCTACGAAATACAACCACGATACTTTGCAACATATCACAAGATTGGTTTGGATGAACGACCCATCAGATCTCGCCCCTCCAAAACACCCAACCTACCATCTTCCCATCACGTCATCAGGCTGCTTTGTAAGTAAATCCAGTCTCCTGGCCTCAACCACCCTTCCTGGCAACTTGTTCCAGTCGTTAGTTACCTTCTGGATAAAGAAAATCATCCCAGTGCCTGTCCTGAAATTTCCCTTTGCTAACTCTTAATGCCCTTTGCAACTCAGCCCGTGAATTGCTTCGAGACGTCCTCCTATTGCATCAAACGTAAGGCTTATTTTACCATTTTAAATTCAAACCGAATAGGCATTTGGGCTTCAAGAAGTAGGAATGGAAGATGAACTCAAATGTATCAAATGTGTAAAGAATCACCTCATGTCGAAGCGGTAATGGTGCTGAGATGTCAGGTTCACCTTTATCGCTCCAATATTAATAAAATATCGACGGTAGGGCTCTTTTTTCAATCAAAGTTAGAAAATAGTGAGTTCTGTTCTTTCTTCCTATTCGCTCGTTTGCCCTTGTCGATGGTGCTTTTTGTCCACCTCCAAACGCCACACGTTCCTCGCTCCTTGTCTTAACGTGCAGAGCTGAAGATTGTGAGCTGTGTTGTGCTAATTAACAACTGCATGAGTTAGCACGGACCCGAGCTTCAATTTACACCCAAAGGTGCCTGCGATAATCAGATGGGACTCCCTGCATTGCTGATTGAATGTGTGTGGCCCAAACGTTGCTAACTTCAGCACTTGGATTCAGCACAAAGATTATTTGAAGTCACTAAAAGCCACTAAAAGTAGTACAGTCAGCCAGACCCGCCCAATAGTTTTCAGGGCAGGGCTGCGTCCTGCCTGATCCGTGCTTAAGAGAATCGAAAACGTCACCTACAAAAGAAAATACCCTTTGTTTGCAATTGCAGAGGGTTGATTTGATTCTGACACTCCATTGCAAAGCAATTAGTTAGACTCTCAGTTCAAAGGAGACACTGCTTACCTCCTCTCTCCCCCCACTCTCTGCCCCACTCTCTCCCACCTCTACCCACTCCCACCAACAAGGAGGATATAATAATACTATAATAATAATAATAATCCTTGCCTTTGATATAGCGCTTTTCACGTCTTCTCCACGTCTCAAAGAGCTTCACAGAATAGACTGTAAAGTGAATTGACCGTATATTTGTGGGCGATAGTCTCTACTTGGTAGCACATTCACTATTTCTGCCACAGTTTTTGACAATGTTCTATCTATCGCAGGGAGGAGGAAAATTTGACTTTGCGCACCTGAATTGATTTGCACTTTTACTTGCGGGAATTAACAATCAGTTTGCAGGCCGCAGTGTAACCTGTTTGACAGCACGAAGAACTGGAAACAGGAAAGTTCACTTCCTCCTAGTCCATCTGCAAGACATCATTTGATAGTTCAAGCCAAGAAAAAGGTTGCACCGAGTTCATCTATTTATTCCGCTTGCCGCAGAGAGGGTTGGGGGGGATGGGCAAGCTGTTAATAGATGACACATTGCTAGCGGCTTGTGGCTAATAAAATAATGTAAAATAGACCTTTATTTTCCTATGAAAACAAGCGTGTGTGGAATCTGAATGATGACTCAAACGTCAAACTCAAATTCCACACGTCTACTAGCGTTGGGGACCTGTGATGTTCCTTCAAAGTAATAATAATAATAATAATCCTTGCATTTGATGTAGCGTCTTATCATGTCTTCGAGACGTCTCAAAGCGCTTCGCACAATATCCTGTAAAGTGAATTGACTGTATATTTTGTGGGCTTAAAATAAGTACAAAGCTGGAAGCACCCAACTTATTAGGGCTTTGTCAAGTTTGAAGAGATGTAGAAGTCACATCATTCAACCACACCAATGGCACCTTGGACTCCTCCATTCCTGCCCGGCTTTCTCAGTCGGTCTCTCTCCTCAGAGTTTAACATAAGGGACACTTCCTTCTATTGCCCGCAGAACAGGAGATTTGTTTGTTTCTTTAAGACATGGCTTTTGATTTCTCGGCTTTAAAAGGGTGAAGAGGTAGGGATTCGAGCTTGCAAACCAGGCCAACTATAACTCAAATGGAGAGAGCGAGGCAAAACATAAACAAGCAAATACCTCTCAATCCTCTCCTCCCAGGCACGAGGACCCTAACGGATGGGAAATTTCTACCTGTTGTAATCAAAGCAAATGCACAATCCTCTTTGATTGAGCTGTCTGCCACGAGCTTTATAGCCACCGCTCCCCAGTGGCAAAGAGTGAAGTGTTTCCATTATAACAGAATGCATTTGCAGGCGGCAAATAAAAATTCCTGCCCGTGTTTACCTACAGTCGAATGTAATGTTGTCTGCACTGGTGGCCTCAGGAGAGACTGACTGAGATCTGGGTTCATAGGGTGCATGAGAGTCTGATTTTTTTTTAACTGGATAGGCTCCAGTGGATCTAATCCACTTGCGGCAATTTGGGGGACACGGCAAGAATCCAGTGGTGGGGGTGGGGGTGGGGGGGTGTGGATTATCTGATGGGAAGCGTGCGGTAGAAATAATACATCCGTTGCACAGCTGCGCGTTACAGTTGGCTGCGTCGCTTTAGATATCACAGTACGCCCTTCTTCCTCACTTTGCCTCTCACATTGCTTACGGACGACGATGATAATAATAATTATTAATAATAATAATAATCCCGTGCCTTTGGTACGGCGTCTAATCATGTCATCGAGACGTCGCAATGCGCCTCACGGGATACACTGCAAAGTGTATTTTGTGGGCAAAACAAGGCAACCAGTTGGGCTCAGCAATATCTCAGTAAAAGCCAGGGCATGAATGACCAATTTTATTTGGGAGATTTGTTGGCCAGGACACAGGGAGAGCTCTCTTTTCGAATAGCATCACGGGATCTTTAACCTCCACCTTAACAGGCAGGTGGGGCCTCGGTTTAACGTCTCATCCGAAGGACGACACCTCCGACAATATCTCAGCGACTTCTCGAGACTGAGTGACAAGATGGGCTCAATTGCCAATGATCCACCACGTTTTAATAAGAAATTATTTCAGCGCCTGATATCAAAAAGGTTGAGAAAAACTGGCCTACATGGGTTAATGGCTGCCTAAAATTATTGCAACATTCATTAACTTTTAACAAGCATTAAAAACAATGTAGATTAATCTGTTATCCTAATGTTGGCAAAACCCACTTTGGTTTTAAATTCATTGCCCCGCTTCTAATGTCACTCAACATAAGGAGAAAGTGTTAATTGTCCTCACTGCAAACATGGACAGTTGGTGTAAATCATTAAACTTCTAATGCTGGGCATCTACTGGTTCATTTAATTAAAATTTTAATCAGTAGATTTAAAAATGCACTGAGACCGTAGTGATGAAATTTGTTCTCATCAGGCTAAGGTCTTGGGGTTAGAAACGACGAATCAATCTGTTGTGTTTGTAATCGTACGTAGTGCATTTATATTCAGAAACGTTTCTATTAAGTGGCAAAAGTAGATATTCGCTACAAAAATTATACTGACTAAAATAAAGCTTAAAGGGTCATTCAGCTCATTGAACCTGTTCCGTAGATCACAGCAGAGTGTTTAATCCAATTTCCCTGCCTTTTCCCCAAACTCCTAACTAACCGTAATATCTACATGTATCTCCCTTTCAGCAGTTTATTAATATTGCAATAATAATTTGGTCACTCAATCCACCGCTGTTTGTGGGACGCAGCGTTTCGCCCACGAACGTAAAATCAATTCACTTTAGAGTCTGTTCTGTGAAGCACTTTGAGACGTCTCGAAGACGTGAAAAGCGCTATATCAAATGCAAGGAGGGGTGAAAAATCTACTGCAGATAGGTTTGAAGGGTTACACGGTCAAAAGCAAGGGTGGATGGTCAACGATAGGAACTAAAACTGGACTCGCATTTGCCTGGAAGTACACAGGTCACTGCATTTTACAGCAAATCTTGCGAAACTCTTGGAGGTGCTTCAACTACGTGAATGATGAGGCTCTGTATCAAACGCAGGGATCATTTATTTATCATTTATAAATTCATGGCACTCTGTTCCACTGTTGCACGACAACAGGTTGGTCATTGCAAAAACTCGAGAGCAAATCGCAGCAGTCTTCTGACTGAGACTGATACAGCATAATTGAACCTATGTAGCCTCGCGGAGGGCAAACAATTTCAGGAGAGGTAGGGGGACGGGAGGGATGCATACAGTTCAAACTGACAGACAGTAAAAGATTTAGCAACGGGAGACTATGAGAAATAGGCAAGGCCTTGTTGAGTGGTAACCTTCTGCTGTCAGGCTTCCCGTTTTGTTACACTCACTCAGCCTTGCATTAACAAAACACGAAAGCAACAGCATTTAATGAAACGATCTGCGTTCTGCGTCGCCGCTGATTTTAATACTCTGTATTTTCCGTCTGGACATCTGGATCAATACCGAATACTTTGCCCGAATCAGGTTAAGAGGTCCAAAGTCCTCTGTTAACTTTAGTCAAATTAAAGGTGTTCATCATGGCACAGGTTCGCCCGGGCGGTATTGAGCACACGTTTATAGAAAATCATTGCACAATTTTATAAAGACTGATGAAGATCAGTCTGACTTGTTAGATTTATAACAGAGTGTTTTCAGTGTTTGGAACAGTCAGACGCACCTTCAGATGAGACAGCAAAGGACAGCTCTACTCCCAGGTTATCGAACGACGGGCTGTCTTCCTGAGCTCGGGGACCCCACAGAGGCGCGACACAAAAAGGATATCTTTTTGAACGCCTGTAAAGTGTAGGTTTCGACAGCGGTGAGAATTACCAGGTTGGCGACAGCAGACAAATAGTCGTTTCCATCCCCTCTAAACCCGCAAGCCTTCAATTTCATGTTTAATAGAGCTGTCATCCTATCACGGTCTGCACGACATGCGAGATTAGAAGTTATTGGCCTCGCGCTGAGAGCTGGGTCGAGATGAGAGCTGATTGACTGGCGTTCTGCTTCCCGCGTGTTTTTAAAGGTTCCCCCCCACCCACACCGAGAGTCGAGTCAGTGAGCACCGGCCTGCTTGACATCCTGCGCCGTATCTGCCCACCACCATCAGAGGACGGACTTTCAGCCTATTCTACGACTCCAACCCAGAATCCCTCCAGCTCCCTCCCTGGCCTCGTTCAAGATATGTCTCCAACCGTACCTCTTTTGGTCATCGATTCCCCTCTCCACAAGCCCCCACCCCCACCCCATCACCCCCCAGCCCCCACCCCATCACCCTCCCCCACCCCCCACCAACCATCAGCGTCAAGCTCTTCGGGACATCCTCCCGACACGAAAGGCGCTGGGTAAGCGTGTCCAAGAGAAAGCGTAAAGCTTCCATCTTGATAGAAAACGAGACAGAATAATCTTACGGTCAAAGAACAGGTTGGAACTTCGGGGCTCAGATTGTAAGAAAAAAAACTATGGAATATTTTGACAGCGATTTGGGGAACTTTGCCTCACGCGTCTTCTTCTCTTCCCCTGTAGACGACTGTTTGGATCCCACCTGCTCGGGACACGGCTTGTGCGTGGACGGGGTGTGTCATTGCGCTTCAGGCTGGACTGGGGTCAAGTGCGAAGTCTCGGCCAATGTTTGTCATGAGCAGTGCTCAGGCCATGGGACCTTACTGCCGGACACCAGCACCAGCACCTGCACCTGCGACCTCAACTGGACAGGCTACGACTGCTCCACCGGTAAGAATAACACCTGAGATTATCTCTTATGGAGGCCTCCTCCTCATAGAGCCGGGGGGGGGGGGGGGGCTGGTTCTCATATTCGGGTATTTCTGAACGAATTGGAATCAGTGACGGGTTTATTATCGTGTCCTGGGTTTATTTTGACGTAGGAATTGCTAGACGAAGAAAAAAAGACCCAGGTCCATCTCGTTGAGCTCCTACCATCCTGATTGTCGCACGTTACCAGCTTTATAGGGTAAAGAAAACACTCCCATAGTAACATGACTCATATTCATCTATTTAAATTAATTTAAAGGCATCATTGCAAAACATGACAGTGCCGATCGGATGTATTGATATGAGATCTTTCCCCCCGTTATTTTTATTTATTTATTTATTTTTTTACTTGGTGCTTCAGCCAACGCACATTTTTCGATTTGCCCACAAAATAACACGGTCTTAATCGCGCTGAATAACCCTTTACAGTGTTTACTGTGAAGCGCTTTGAGACACGAAAGGTGCTGTGTCAAATGTAAGGATTGTTATAATTGAAGTAACGTCACGTGGACAATGTAGTACAATGGTAATCAACCACAAGTCTTGGTTTGCCACCAGCGAGACTTTACCACAACCGGGGATAAAACGGCAAAGGACACCAGACAGAGCAATTGAGACTTTTCGCTATGATACAGTGGACCGAAAGAATCAAGATTCAGCCTGAACGTGGCATAAATTAGCACATAGCAGTTAACACTTGTTGTAAATCCCAATTCAACACTTCGCAATCTATTTGGGGGAATTACTGTGTTCATCTTGCGCCTTTTCAATTAAAAATCCTGTTGTTTTCCAGTTCGCTGTCTTAGCTTGGCTGACATTTGAAATAGTTTCTTGTATTAAAATAAAATGGCACGCGCATTACCCCGGTGTGATAAAAACTATTAATCTTTTTAAACCCGAGTTGCCCCACGAAACGGGCATTAATCAAATTAAGGCGGATTTAAAAATACCCGTCACTGTGGTTTAGTTATGCAGTGGCTTTCTTGCGACACTCGAATCGGTAAATCATTTTAAAATTGCTGCATAAGTGTCGCGAAAAAGGAGTCCAAACAGAAAGTCGGCACTCTGAGTATTTTCTTCTGTCAGAGATTTGATAACAGAGCAACGAGTGCTAAGGCTCTGTCTCTTCAGTCATACATGTGAGTTCAAATCTGGACGAGCAGATGGTATGAAGATCTCTCGCTCTGTGACTGTTAAATGCTGAATGAAGTGATTCAGAGATGCTCTTAATCCTGTTCCCCGTGGATAAAGCTGCCTTGGATTTTGGCATTAATTTGGTCGTAATCCCTTTCCGATGGGTTGTAAGGATCAAGTGCAGGAAATGGAAATGTCAGTAGATTCTTTCTGTTGTCATAGTGCAGCTGAGAGGTATTGTCAGGATAACGTGCGAAAAGTCTTCCACCGTGCCTTTCTCTCGTCGAGACTAGTCTCAGAGACCTTGCTGTTTCGTGGCCGGGTGACGTGCTGAGACTCTTCCATATCCAAAGTGCTGTTTTCCCTGCAACTTGTAAATCTTAACCAATGCAATTCTTCAGTGTCAAAGGTACTTTATACAGACGCCACACAATCCACCGGCGAGATCGATAAGAGCAATTCTAGCATTTGATACAGCACCTCGGAACATCGCAATGCCTCGAAGTGCTTCCTTCACAGCTATTGATGTCAAGTGCATTTGTCGATGGAAGTGAGGCCAATCTGTGGGCAGCGACTGTCCCACGAACGGACACAAATGGAAGGATCAATTTATCAGGAGGATCAGTAGCTGGGGACACCAGGAGAAACTCAAATAGATGTCATGGGATCTTTAACATCCTCTTGACAGAGCCTGGGTTGAAAGGACACATTCAATGGACACATACCTGGAAGGATGAGTTGCCACCTTGTGAGTTGAGCACTTTAGGCCGACGTTAAACAAGGAATACCGCAAGAAAAAAATTACCGCCGCGAGTCGCTCTTTTCTCGCGCTCTGGTGCGAAGCGGGGGGGCTGACCCTTTAAGACCCTTTTCATCGCAGCGAGCCAGGGGTTCAGGGCTCTTCAGCTCCCTGTCTGCTTCGCGCCAGCCAACGTGCGCCCTCTCTCAACCAGAGAGGCAGGAAACGGGCTAAAAATAAAGCACTAAAATGGCTTTCTGACAGCCTAAAATTTGCCGAGAAGTGGATGATGGTGATAACATGATTCGAGCAAAGAGGACCGTTGATTCAGTTTCCGCAGTCTTTGCTGCAATCAGACAAGATCATCATTTTTATAAGCCATCGGCCCCCTAATCTTTCCTCTCTCCTCCGGTACTTTGCGCCCTTGTGTTACAGCAAATTCAACCTTCTGACAGTAACCCCTTTGACGACGGCAACAACCACGACGACAACGACAACTAGCATTTATATAGAGCCCTTCGCTCCAGACAGTAGTGGAGCGTGCAGTCGTCTTTTCGTTCACCTCGAGGCGTCCTGGAGGATTTTACTGTATACCGCGTATTTTGTAGGCGAACGCAGCACCCAATTTGCCGCAGGAAGCTTCCAACATCGGAAGAAACTCCCTTCTCTTTTTAAACACTGTCCTGGGATCTTTAACGTCAGGACAGGGTCCACATCTCAACCGCCTTGCCTAGCAGCCTGTTCCAGTCTTCGGTTACCCTCTGAGCAAAAGAAAAACTTCCTGGTGGCTGTCCTAAAATTGCCCCTTTACGACGCTATACCGAGGCGGTCTTGTTTTACTGCCTTGTGGCAACCCTAAAATATTGAGCTGGGATTAGGTTTTCAATTCCCCTCCCGAGTCGACGTAGCTCAAGACCGAAGAGCCCTAACTTGTTGCTCAGCGCTCGGTCCACTAACATTGGGGATCATCCTCGGAAATATACTCTGGCTCTAACGCCTTGGCAAAACCCTCCCTCCAATATAGTGGTTGCCCAGAACTGCAAACCTTGAACTGTATTCAAGGTATCATCTGATCAGAGCACTGCACAGCCTCAATATGATGGTCTGAAGGTCCAAACTCAACTGATGTAGCAATTTAGTAACTCAAGTGTAAAATGAAAGCCATTTGACAGCTGTCTAAAAGTGAAGATTCTTGTAGTTGATTGCAGGCTCTTGGAGTATATTTCACTCGCCCACTTTCTAATCTTGGAGATATTTAATGACTCGAACTTAATGTGCTCATTAGCATTTTTTCTTGTTCCCGCACTATGCTATCGATCATTCTTTTACGTTTGTTCCTAAAAATACCTTCTCTGCCAGGCTGCGATCAATAAAGAGGCGTCCGTTATGAACTGGATCTGGATCAGAAGGAGCTCATCCTATCCCTGCCCAAGACGAAATCTCAGTCAAAGATTCGTTCCTCTTCCTTACCTGTGGTTTCATCTCCACGGCGTTGCTTCTGATTGGAACGTTGCTTAATAATAACGCTTGCGTTTGATATAGAGCCTTACTGCGTCATTGAGACGTCTCAAAGCGCGCTCTTGTTTGGCCAAGACCCCCGAGTGTACCAGGGGAGGAGGGAGAAAGCAGTTCATTTCAGGGAAACCAACAGAAACGGACCGTGATTTCAAAAGTACGAGACCCAAGTGCCACCTGGTGGGACATTGCTCTGCGCATGTTGATGTGTGTCTTCAAATACACAGCCGTCACATTTCACTAGAAAATCTTGTGAAGCGCTTTCAGATGTTGTGACGACATAACAAGGCGCTGTATCCAATGCGAGGATTGTTATTATATTATTATTATTATATAAACAGCTATAGATATATAGATTATTCTTCTTATTACATGGATATCTTTAACACAGGGTGCAAACAAGCACAGTCTGCTGCCCTTAGAAGTGTAGTAACATTGGAGTGAAATGGTGAAATGCACTGGGATCAGCAAAACGTGAAAGCCTTGCTACTCGGGACTCACTGGTGATCAACCCGTCATGTTCAAGCCGTTCTGGGCGATTTTAATGCGCAACTCGCTGAACAGAATAATTGCAAAGCATTCCTTTCTGGGCGATGCCCGTAGACTCGCTGTTAATTTCACGCTATCCAGTGCGGAGATCATTGGGGGTCAAAATGCACATAGCAGATTTCGACATGCAAATTATCACATTGGATTGGGGTCAAAGCTCCCATAGTCTTGACCCCAATTCGATGTGATTGTTAGCGCGTGAAATTTGTTGCGACTCGTTACGTTTTTCACACCAATAATTGACTGTTTCCGTTGTCCAAGGAGCAAAGAGGGAGACGAGGAGGATTTCATTTTAACGCAGGGAGTTTTTCGGAGGCGGAGTGGCCTGCCGGCAAGATACATAATAGCTTTCGCGAGGGAACGAGATAGATATCTTAAAAATGAATCACTTGCGGGGGTATGGACGATGGGGAGGGAATGAGACTTGAATGCATCGCTCGTTCAAAAACCCAGCACAGACACGATGGGCCGAATGACCTTCTTCTGTGCTGTAATTTCTATGGTTCAAACAGAACATTGCACAAACTTAAACCAGATCGCATTGGGTGCTAATAATAATGGTCATAACTCTTGCATTCGATGCAGCGCCTTATCATGTCTTCGAGACGTCTCAAAGCGCTTCACAGGATACACTGTAAAGTGCAGTGACTGTGTGTTTTGTGGGCGAAATCCTAATTAGCAGTGCTAATCCTCTCACCACCAGGGTACCTTGTGACAATGATGAAACCTACGGTTGGCACCTTACAGTCAATGTAAAAGAGACTGCGTCACCATTAGCCCCTCTTTAAGCAAAGGATCCTCTCATCGACTGGAGTCCTGGCGAAAGCAATAATTTTCTCGTCAACTTCAGAGAGAATTCGGTTGATTTTTTTTTTGTTGCCTCCTCCTCGCGTTTCTCTTCAGTTAATTCAGCGACGTCGCCTGGGAAATGATTTGAAGGAGTTTGCTTACTGATGCAAAGGGAGATGAATTAAAATGCACTTGAAATAACATGATTGCTGAAGCACCTTCAGTTAATGACTGTATCACTGCTGGTAATAATTCAACTCTCTCGCACCCACTGGGTTCATTGATTCTTCTGAATCAGTTCAGTTCAAGACACGTCATCAGCAGTCACTACTTAAGCAAAGATCATCAAAAGTGGACAGGACACAAGAGACTCCCCCCCACCCCACCATATGTGGCTTACACTGAGCCGAACGAAACGTGCACCATGTGTACCTGTTTCCAGATGACATTACACGGGATGCAAATACAGTGCTTCTCGGCAATTAAGAGACTCAATGCCTCTTGCAGGAGACTTGGAACGGAACCAAACATCTGAGCCACAAGTTGAGTTCCGCCTCGTGATAAACTGTCGAGATTCGGATCAGCGGAGCTGCTTATATTTATTGTGTGGTCCACAAAACAAGTGCAAGTTTAATTCATTAAAGGAACACGTTGTTGCAACGATGACTTTTGGTACACAAACCCATTCTCCTGTCTTTTTTTCCCTTCCGAACTCTTCCCCGCCCTCCCCCCCACCCCCACCCACCCCCAACACCCCTCAGAAATCTGCAAGGTGGATTGCGGAGACCATGGCATCTGCTTAAACGGGCTGTGCCATTGTGAGGAAGGCTGGACAGGAACAATGTGTGATCAGCAAGCGTGTCACCCGCTCTGCACCGAGCACGGCAAGTGTAAGGATGGAGTTTGCCAGTGCAGCCCTGGCTGGGAGGGAGAGCACTGCACTGTCGGTAAGAGAAAGAATCTTCCCTTCCTATCCAGCGCCTTGGGACGCCCTCCCGACGTGAAAGACGCCACACAAATGTAATCCGTTGCTGTGGTTCTGCGTTCGCTCAGGTTTATCAGTCGCAGGGTCAAGCTTGCCTCTGAAAGCTTTCTCTTTGCCTTTTTATTTCAGCACAATATCTGGATAATGTCGTAAAAGGTAAGTTACGTTATATGATTCGATGGACCTTTGTCTGTAGCTAAAGTAAATTGAAGCGCCTGCCTATCCGTCAACAATAATCCAAACCTACCTGTAGCGAGCGGCTAAACATCGGAAAAGGAAAAGCAAATTGGCTTTGTGCATGGCTTTGGGACTGGACATGTTTCCGAATTAACCCTCACCTAACCCATGCTTTGTTATGGTCCAAGCCCCATGCAAGGTCTTTTCTTCTTAATGAACAATGAAAATGAGCTACTGGTTAAGTAGGTATCCTTGTAAGATTTTGGGACAGTTTACCAGGAGGGCTGATATTGCATTACCCACTACACCTGAGAGTTTTTCAAGCTATCACTGTGGAAGGGGCATCTAACCAGGGTCTTCACTCACTTTCGGAGTGATAATCGGGGGTGGGGGGAGAAAGAGGAAGCAAATGAAAGGGTGAAGTGCCAACTAAACCTCAACACAACGTTGCTCAAAAGTGCACCTATTCCCCGAACGAACTGTTCACTACTATTTTAAAACAGAACGCGTTGCCTTGTGCACAAGCTGGACCTAGGTGCAATATTTCACCAAGTTGCCTCGGATGATGAGATTATAATTAAGGTGGGCGAGAAAAAAAATGCAACACTCTGCATCTGCTGAATGGGCTATTATTGTGCTTCATTTCTGGATCCCATGAAACTTAGCAGCTGATAAACGATGTTGCATTAACGTAAGGTTAATTGTGCTCATTGCACTTTGGGTGTTTAGCCAAGTGAAAAAAAAATCTCCAGCCTAGCCCATCATCTGCATTTGAGGGGAAAATCGAAAATAAGCAGATAGCATTAAGATGAATCGTTTTAATAAACGAGAAATGTTTTATGGCTTGAAGGTGCAGGTTAAGTGGTGCAGCTAGTGAACTAATGCGGTGACTGTCAGTATCTCCCGGCGTCCTGTCCAACAACTCTCCAGATAAAAAAAAAAAATTGCTTCACGGCTGTTTGTGGTACGGGACATTGCAGTGGGCAAATTGATTGCCTGGGCCCACCTGTAAACACACAGCAGACATCCTGTGAAGCGCTTTGAGACGTTTCGGCGATGTGATAAGGTGCTATATCAACTGCAAGGATTATTTATTATCATCATCATTACCCAAGTGATGAGCATCAGCATAAATAAATCATGTTTCCCACTCCACGTTCCGCCAACACTGAAAGCGAAGCAGATTCACTCATCCACTGGTGTAAACGCAGCGTAAAATATGGCAGGGGCTTTGCTCAGTTAATGCTCTTGGATTCCACACCATCCGAAGAAGCTCTGCATGTCATAGTAACTTATTTATCACCATTTCAATGTGCCAAAAACATGTGTTTTTCCTTTAACCTGCGCTTGAAATATGGTTGTTTAACACCAAAGAGTGCCAAGATGATGATAATGTTGATGTGTAGATTAAATAGATCGTTTTATGTTCCTTGCATTTGACATTTGATGACATCTCCCAGTTCTTTGCAGGATTCAATGTAGATTTGAGACAATCCACTGGAAATAATTTGAGCATGGCAATGTCCCACAGACAGCCACGAATGAAGTCAGTGGCTGATTTTATCTGGAGAATTGATGGTTAGAAACTCCCCTCTCTTTAACGTCCACCTGAACAGGCGCAGACGAGGGCCCTCAGTTTAAGGTTTCACACCAAAGGAAGGCACGTCCAACATTACAGCACTCCCAGCCCACCCCCCCCCCCCACCCCCTCCCCCCAGCACTGCGGTGGATTATCAGCCGAAGCTGTGAGTTCACAAAGTCCCTTCGTGGGGTTTGAACCCGCAACCTTTATATTGATTCAAGGCAAAGAAGCTGTTGTGTTTTTTTCTTTGTGTGTGTGTGTGTGTGTGTGTGACTCTCTCTCTCCGTCTCTCTCTGACAGAGGGATGCCCAGGCTTGTGCAACGGGAACGGAAGATGTACTTTGGACCAGAATGGCTGGCACTGCGTTTGTCAAGTGGGCTGGAGTGGCACGGGATGTAATGTCATCATGGAAATGGTGTGTGACGATAACAGAGACAATGACGGAGGTAATGGCGACGGACTCTCCATTTTGTATTTCGAATCAATAGCAACAACAAATTACAGCGCCTTTCATGTCAGGAGGACGTCCTCCCAAGGCGTTGGACAGTCAAGGATTTGGACCCGAGGCAGGGGCTTGCGATCAGTAGGGATGGAGGGCAGTGAGGGTTGGGGTAGGAAGGGTGACCGAAGGCGCGGATGAAGAGGAGGGTCTTGAGACGGGTCTCGAAGGAGGCAAGGGAGGGAACAAGGCGGTGGGGGGGGGGACTGTGGGATGGAGTTCCAAAGGGTGGGGGCAGAGAGGCTGAAGGCCTGACCGCCGATGGTGGGGCGAGGGGAACGTGGAGCAGGCTGAGCGGAGGGAGCAGACGGGAAATGAGGAATCCGGGCTGGTGCAGAGATAACATAATAATCCTTGCATTTGATATAGCGCTTTTCACGTCTTCTCAACGTCTCAAAGTTCTTCACAGAATATGCTGTAAAGTGAATTCACTGTATAGTTGTGGGCGAAACGCGGCAGCCAATTGGTCACAGCAGCGTCCCACAAACAGTCGTGGATTGAAAATGACCAATTTATTATTGCTTTGTTTTGGAGGGATTATTAATAGACACGTGGAGTAAGGAAACTTGCCCAAGGTTTCGCCCTGACTGGAATTGAACCCCGGTCTCTCGCCTGCAAGGCAAGTGCTCTAACCACTGAGCCACACCGAGTGCTCTAACCACTGAGAAATGGCCTCTATGAGAGGAGTGGGGTGTGGGGGGGAGAGAAATAAAATCAGAAAATCCCTTTGCAGGTTGCAGTCTAATCTCTCACAGATTTAAATAAAACTAAAAGTGCATTTTCAAGTTGCCACTTTGGGAATACTTCAACCTCCGCACACTTTCACGCTGCTCTGTCACAAATCAATTGCGAATATATTAGCGAGAGTACAAACAGCCCCTGTTATTTTGCTGCCAAAAAATAGCCACTCAGTCACAGTCTCCCAAGGCGAAAACTGAGGCAAAATGCAAATAGGGTCAGTGGGAATTTGCTAATGAGGACACGTGATAAGAGCGGCGCTAAGGGTTTTGCCCGCGGAGCTTAATTCCTCTTGATAATGCCGCAGAAAATAAGATAGAACTCAACCGATTATTGGGTTCCGTGCCTCGTACAAATATGAAAGAAAATAGAAAAAAATTGGGGGTGAGCGAGGGCTTCATCCGAGCAAATGTAATTCAATTTCTCTGTGTGAGAAAGGTGGACTGGTTGTGGCTGGAGTTGAGAGGTCTGACAGCATAACCCGACGGGGAGGTTAGGGAGAAAGGTTAGCTTTGCAAAGTCAGTCTTAACGGAGGATCGGAAAGTCAATTTTAATGGAGTGTTTTTTTTTTCCTTTTTTTGGCGTCTTTCCTGGTGGAGATTCTGATCTGGGATCCCCCAGACCTTAGCTTCTGCCTTTTGATCACTTATGAAATGAACTACAGTCTCTGGCAGAGCAGACTAATGAGTTCAACAGATTTTCTGGTTGAGATAGCTCCCTTTTCATCAGCAGTGATGTAGGTTACAGCACCATAAATTACTGCCCAGTCTCAATAACACCAGTGTTCTCCTAGATATTGATACCTCATTGCAAAAACATATTTCACAGAGGACATTTACCCATGAGATTGCCCGAATCCCTGTGATATGCAGCTCGAATTGTATAATAGATGGGATGGGATGGGGAGAGAGGGCAAAAGAATGCAGATCGTCTTTTCCCAGTGAATAGCAAATTGCTCCCCGTAAAACTTACAATTCCCCTCGGATTGAAATATGATTCACAATGCATCCTTTCCGTTTTCCCACCACACACACACACACCACACGCACACACAAATTGGTGATAAATATTATAAATCAAGTTTTCCAACCTGGCTAGGATGAATTTATTCCAGTATTGATCGGGTTTAATTGATATTCAGGAATGGAATCCATCACTGAGACACGTGAGCGTAAAATGCTGAGCGCAGGTTTCAAATCACAAAACTCTATCTGTGTGCCACAGACACATCCAATGGAAGTACCTTTCGTTCCTAAGGAACGTGAGCACGAGTGTTTCTCAATAACTTTTGACAACGTTCCTCTGGAAAAAGGTTTTGTCGTCATAATCTAAGATGGGTGCCGATTGAGAATTCCATTCAATTCATGCCTTCCCGACATGGTCACTTCACAGGGTAACGTTTCATTTCTTCAAACAGGCTGTCACATTGCAGGCTTAGAAATAAATGACAGGCTGAAGAAATAATTGCTCCAGATCATTCCGAGCTATTTTTTTTTCAGGCTCTATTTTTAAGTGCCTTAATGTGGATGGGGGAGAGGTCTTTTTTTTTGAATACTTTCTAGAAAGCTGTGTCTGCGATGCTGATTTCGAAGTCGCTGACACTAGGCGTTTTGGGGCTGAGTGCTGATAATAGTTATAATAATAATAATAATCCTTGCATTTGACAGAGCACTTTATCGCAAGGATGTCTCAAATCCCTTCACAGAATATACTGCAGTGAATTGACTGCATATTTTGTGGGCGAAACGTAACAAGAAAACCGTGGGGGTGGGGCGGGAGAAGGGAAGGAAAGAAGAAGTTTCTTTACACGAGAATGATGTTCACTACGGTTCGATTTGGTTCAGTAAAGTTAAGCCAAACAGGTCTCCTCTCAGCGAACCTGTACATGACTACAAGTCAAATGATCGCGGTCATCCTGGCTCCGCACTGGAGCTTGCACTTTGGAGAAAGAAATGTAATTTATTAAAGTGTGCGCTCTGCTGAGTTTGGACTTGTAAGCCAAACTTTTTTTGCTCGGGGCTCACATCATTGTTATTGATCTATGCTGTAGCTGATTTGTTACGTTTATAGCGCTATCGTCAGATGCAAATGGAGAAAAAGTGGCCCAATCTCCATCACTGCTGACCCCAGGGTTACAGGAGATAGTTTCGTAGCAAGTAGATTAATCTGTACTTGAGGCTATAAACAGTGAAGTAAAGACTTCAAAAGGACATCCCAATTATCATTAAATTACTCATGCCACATCTGAGATGTGGCGAAAAGCTAATTGAATAGCTTGAGCAAACAGCTGCTAAGGTGATTGAAGTTAACTTTTTATTGTAACTTTTTTTTTCAGTTGGAATTCGCCTCCATATTAAAATCACTCATGGGTGTTTTATACTAAAATGATAATCCTTGCATTTGATATAGTGCCTTGTCACGCCTTCAAACCACCTCAAAGCGCTTCACAGGATTTTACTGTAAAGTGTAGTGACTGTGTATTTGTAGACGAACATTAATATGCGAACAATAATGTCCCCAAAATAGCCGCGAAGTGAATGACTGGTGTTATCTGGAGGATTGTTGGTCAGGACGGGGGTGGTGGGGGTGGGTAGAGATCAAGTCTCTGTAACAGAATGCATTTCAAGTATGAAACACAATTTTTTTTTTTAAAAAAAAGCGTTTTGCTCGGTAAAGTCTGAACTGGGGACGTATGTGTGGGTCTGATTCACAGCCCTTTCCTAGCGATGCTAAACCTGAACAAACACCCATGAAAAATTTAAAAGAGATTCGTTTCTCGAAGTGAAATAAAATCACTATCAGGACTGCCATGTAATAGCTGTCATGAAACAAACTGACAGGCGAGTGTTTGTTGCCTTTTGGCTCTGATATCCCATTCATATTTAATACCAAAAATGTATCTGGTGCGTACGCTATTCAATTTCATCTCCTGACAGGTGCAGATCAAGTGTCTTTTGTGCTTGGTGTGGTGGATGTCACAAACCGGCTGACGTTAATAGGGTGGGTGTAGCGGTCTCCGAACAAAACCCCAGTCCCTATCGGCTTCTGTTCAGTGTTGTGTTCTTTCATGGATCAACCTGAAATTGAGTATAAATGTTTTAACGGGATTGAAAAAGTAAACCCAGAACAATACTTGAGGATGCACCAAGTCAGGAGGACAGGTTTAGAGATACAAAGAGATGCAATCTCAGGCGCCAGGATGGTTTTCTTTACCCGGAGGGTGATTAACAACTTGCAACAGGTTGCCAGGAAGAATCGTTGAGGCCAGGACACTGAGACTTATATCAAGAAACAGCTTGATGCTGTGATGGGAGAACGGTAGAGTGGATGTTCTGAAGGGATGAGATCAGATGCGGTCAAGGGGCCTTCTTCATCCAAACCAATCTTGTGGTTTTGTGAGAGAGAGAGACCTACGCACACATAATCTCTGAAAGGAGATGTGTAACTGGGTGTAAAGGCTAGGCTAGCTTGTGTCGCCAAACTGTTGTGTTTTTATTGAAAATCTCTTTGTGATGTATTGAGTTGGGCTTTCTGTGAAATCGCGCTTGATGTTCCTTAAATTTGCTGCTTCTCTCACATTAATAATAATAATAATAATAATAATAATCCTTGCATTTGATATAGCGCTTTTCACGTCGGGAGGACGTCCCAAAGCGTTTCACAGAACATACTGTAAAGTGAATTGACTGTATATTTGTGGGCGAACGCGGCAGCCAATTGCGCACAGCAATGTCCCACAAACAGTCATAGATGAAATGACCAATTTATTATTGTTTTTGGTTTTGGAAGGATTATTATTAGGCGTATGGAGTAAGGAAACTTGCCCAAGGTTTCGCCCTCTGCCTGGAATTGAACTCAGGTCTCTCGCTTGCAAAGCGAGTGCTCTAACCACTGAGCTACAGGACTTAAACTGAAAGGCAGAGGGAAATCAATGCTCTGGCCTTAAAGGTAACATTCGAACCATCCTTGCCTTTCGTGTAGCGCCTTATCACGTCATTGAGACGTCTCAAAGGGTTTCGCAGGATTTTCTTTTGCTGTGAAACGTAGTGGCTGTGCATTTTGTAAGCGACCCCAGCAGTTGGTTTGCACACAGCAACATCCCACAAATAGCTATGAAGCGAATGATCAGTTTTATTTGGGGCTGTGAGGGCGTGGTGCGGGGTGGAGAATTGTTGCCCTGGACTTTCTGAATAATACTCTGGGATCCGTGACTTTAACTTGCTGTTGCTTTGACGGGTGTGAAGGGAGGGAGATGGAAGTCAATTTCCGCTGGCCTTCAAGGAAACCTTTATGGTGGTGGTGGGGAAGGGGTGGCGGGAGGTTGGGAACCAGCAGAGAAGGGACCATCCTTCAGTTTCCCGGAAGGTCCAGGGAATTGTCGGGCTTCCTCATCCAAAGATTTTTTTTCATCAGCTGAGAATTGGGGGAAGGGAGAATTATTGGGAGGTCCTGTAGAAAGCCTCGCACAGCGTCAGGTAAGGAAACCAGTGTCAAAGGACAAGTGGGTTGATGCAGGAACCATGAATCTACAGTGGCAATGTCTAAGCATGATTTGTAGCACGGAAAAAAGGCTCATAAGAGCCCAAATGACTCAACCCCCTGCTGCAGTGTAGTTCAGTTACCTTGTCTGAGCAACGTATAACTGCGTAACCTTCACCATTTACTGAAATAGCAAGTCCACCGGTGTCACATCTTGATATTTGACACTGAAATATCGCAGGAGTTAAGAGAGTCGAATGATTTTATTCAAAGTAGTGTTTATCTTTGTGGGCTGCAGGGTTCTTATTATATCAAGAAATTGTGAATTAGTGAATGAAATGAACATTTTTTTATATGATTGAATGGTTTTAACTTTAATAAATCATCAGTACAGCTTTGTTTATTCGCTCCGAGACTCTGTCTACCTACTATCCTCTCACACAATGCTCCAGTGATTTATACTTTAAAAAAACACACAGAGAGTTATTTCTGGTGTGTTTATTAATAATGCAGTCAAGTTACTCAGAAATTTCTCTCAAGTCAATAGAGGTGTTTTTTTTATATATGAAATTATAGAATCTTACAGCACAGAAGGAAACCATTTGACCCACTGAGCCTCTTACCAAGAGATATCCAATGCGTCCCACTCCCCCATTCTTTCCCCACAAACTTGCAACTTTTTTCTTTTTCTTTTTCAAGTTCGTGGAGTCCTGTAGCTCAGTGGTTAGAGCATTCGCTTTGCAAGTGAGAGACCTGAGTTCAATTCCAGGCAGAGGGCGAAACCTTGGGCAAGTTTCCTTACTCCACACAGAGCCTAATAATAATCCTCCAAAACCAAAAACAATAATAAATTGGTCATTTTCAATCTACGACTGTTTGTGGGACATTGCTGTGCGCAATTGGCTGCCGCGTTCGCCCACAAATATACAGTCAATTCACTTTACAGTATGTTCTGTGAAGCGCTTTGGGACGTCCTCCCGACGTGAAAAGCGCTATATCAAATGCAAGGATTATTATTATTATTATTATTATATCCAATTCCCTTTTGAAAGTTATTATCGAATCTGCTTCCAACATTCTTTCTTGGGTTTGTTTTGTTCTCTGCTTTCTTCATGAAAGTAATGGCTTCAGAGGAAATATAGTCTGAATATCCCTTCCTGGCTGAGGAATGTCAGCCTATAATTTTCTATGTTATCTTGTGAAGAATGACTTTAGAACCTAAAGGCAAGATCTACCTTTTCGACCTCGCTTTCAGTTATCTTTTACCTTTAACTATGAAGTTAGTGACCAGTTCTATCTGGAGGGAATGTTGGCCTCCAGACCTGGAGGAATATTGCTTTCTTCTCGAATTGGTGCCAAGGGATATTTAACGTCCAACTGAACAGGCAGACAGGACCTTGGTTTAACAGCTCACCCTTTAACACCTCTCAGCATTGTACTGGAGTGTCAGCCGAGAGTATCAGCTCAAAGACCGGTTCTGTTCTGGTGAGCCTGGACCCGAAATCAAAGGTTTGGTTCAGTGCAGTACTTGAATGCATTTGTTTATCAGATGTTTCTGAAGATGAAACTCGGGCACGCAATGGCTGAAATGGGACTGGATCCTCAGCGAGATATGCCTTCGTCAGACATTGAACGATCACTATCTCTGAGCCGTACAGTTAATCATCTTTAGACGTTCTTACGACTCTTCTTTCCCCTTCAGATGGTCTAACGGATTGCATGGACCCAGACTGCTGCAGGCAAACCATTTGTTACACGGGTCAGCTCTGCCAAGGCTCCCCTGACCCTCTCGACCTGATCCAGCAAAGCCAAGTGCCCTTCACTCTCCACCCGCCAAGGCTCTTCTACGATAGAATCAAGTTCCTGGTCGGAAAAGACAACACTCATGTGGTTCCGAGTGACGGTCTCTTTGACAGCAGGTAATTACCTTCCATTATATTTTTCCTACAGAAAAAATGTGACAGCTCATATTTCAAGACAGGTGGGAACAATTTCACGGCTGTAACGTCAGTTCACCTCAGGGTCCAGACAATTTGAGAGCCTTCGAGCTTCGCTCTCCCAGGTTATGATCTCAATGCTTCGATGTCTTCACTGAACGAGTGGAGTCATCCCCTCCGCAATTGCGAGGACAGGGCTTCCCCTAATCACTCTGCCGTGGTGCGGACGCCTAATGAAAGCACTTCGGGCTGCAGAGTGGCTCTTTCGAGGGGCTGGAAGTGATGTCCGTCTAGTTGGATATATAAGAGGGAGCTGGAGACAGCAATCACAGCTGATTCCAGACATATTGTATCCTAAGATGAGGTAGAGTGGACTCCATTCTCCCCTCCCCCGTCTCCTTTGCGTCTCCCCTAACATTGTGGGGCTTAAACTTGTGCCAAACCTCCAGAACGTATCACCTGTCCACACTCTCAGTCGAGGAACGGAACAGAACGAACGGAGAGACCCGAAGAGCAAGTGCGAAAATCAATCAAAATATAACAAGAGCCTCCAGAGCCGGTAGCTAAAGGGTGGTTTTTTTTTAACAATTGTAGGTGGGTAACAGCAGTTAGGAGCCTGCAGGGCTGTAAATTTTTAATGCGCGATTGCCGTTTAATCTCATTGATAGGAAGATTAAAAAAAAACTTTCGATATTAAAAAACATTGCTGTGGAACTCCTGCGATGGTCTCGTGTTCCTATTCCATCGAAACCTTCACGCGCTCCGAGCTGGGGCCGGATTGTTTACAAATGGGAGTTTTATGCCCCTGGCAAAGACATTCGCTCCCGACGAGATTAGAGCCTATAAAAAGAAACACTCAACAGAGTTAAATACAGCCAAGCACAATCTCTTCGGGTCTGTTTGAGATGAATGCATGTTTGATGCAACCATTATTCTGTTCAGAATATAGAACTCTTAAATCGCTATTCACAAGCACTTCCATCATAAGTCCTTCATCCACTAGAAAATGCAATTCCACGGTCATATTACTTGCTATTTATCGGGATCTGGGCAGAGTATTGTTGACGCAAATTGATTAGCCAAAGCAAGGGGATAAGGTGAGTGTGGAGTGGAAACATCGACACAGACCGGTCGAGCTGACTAATAATCATAATAAATCCTTGCATTTGATACAGCGCCTCATCACGTATTTTAAAAGACGCCCCAAAGCGCTTCACAGCTGTACGTACTGCAACGTGAACTGACTGCGTATTTTGTGGGCGGACGGGGAGGGGCTGTGTCGCGGCTTTGACAAACGCCGTCTCGTTTCAGCCGCGCTTGTGTGGTTCGAGGCCAGGCGGTGGCGGTGGAGGGGTCACCGCTGGTGGGCGTCAACATCAGCTTCCTGAACCACCCGGATTACGGATACACCATCAGCCGACAGGATGGCAGGTGAGAGCGACAGGACCGCAGTTTATTCCTCTTCCATCATCCTCCCTCCCTCCCTCCCTCTCCTACCTAATCTCTCTAAGACCCACAGTGCCAGCAAACGCTACACTTTCAGAACCAAGCTTGTTCAGTAAATCGAGTAAATATGAAATGAAGGATGTCCAATTCCCGAGACACAGAAATAAGGCTGAGATAGGAGTCATGTTTATTCATGGTAAACCTGCCTGGAAATTTTTTTTTCTTAGCAGCGAAAGTGGCAAGTGGCAATTATAGATAATGCAATCACCAGTTCTGTAGGAAGTTAAAAAAAAATATTGATTCCTGTTGACTTTCGCACACTGCGATGATTGGTGTCTGCAGGAAAGGTGCTCAATAGGCAAAAAAAAATGGAGAGATGGAAATTGTTAATAAAATCCGAGTTAATTTTATCACTCTATAATCTGCGCCTCTTGTTCCCCTTCAAGAAATGAATTTCAGCTGCATCAGCCCACGTAATCTTCTCAATGAAAGTATTGTTTAGCAAATGAGGTACAAGGCGGGCAAGAGGAATGGGTTCATAAGTGATACGCTAAAATTAACGTGTCTAAAAATACCACCAGAGACAAACCCTGTTCCGAGGAGCCTCTACTAATATTCCGCCCTTGGGGTTTTATAATAAAGAATTAGCGTTTAGGTGTCATGTTCTATAGATGATCGCTGCTAAAAAAAAAAGCATCATAATGGCATAAACATGACAGGATAACTTATGGATTTTGCCTGCCTTGTTGATGCATTAATCTCGTTCAATCCACTTAGTCATAAGCACTTCCAACAACAACAACTTGCATTTATATAGCGCGCCCTTCAACCTGGGGTGGTGTCTCTGAGCGCTTAATAGTGACGGAGCCTGATGCTGAGCCTGGGAGAGGGGGGGGGAGCTGACCATCAGCCCGGTCGAAGAGGTGTGACCCGAAGACGGGCAAGGCAGTGGGATCGAGATTGTGGGCAGAGATTCGGGGCGTAGTGGCTGACAGCACGACAGCCGATGGTGGAACTGATGGAACGAGGGACATGCAGGAGGGAGGATTGAGTCAGGGAGCTCCAGAGATATAATATTGCTTCCTGACGTTAACTCACTTGGACCCCTCCCTCTCTTGCGCTTGTTTTAATGCCAGTTTCGACCTTGTCGCCATCGGAGGAATCTCCGTCACCCTGGTGTTCGAGCGGGCTCCCTTCATCACTGAGCAGCGCACCCTTTGGCTGCCGTGGAACCGTTTTGTGGTGGTGGACAAAGTGGTGCTGACGAGAGTGGAGTCGAACCCTCCTTACTGCGACGTCAGCAGCTTTGCCACTATCAACCCAGTTGTCCTTCCCTCACCGTTGACCACCTTCGCAGGATCTTGCCCTCAGAGAGGACCAGCTGTTCCAGAGATACAAGTAAGGGGGTGGTGGGGGGGTGGGTGCAGGCATGGGCAGGGTGGGGGCTTTTGGTTCAGAATCCTCTGAAAGAATGCTACCGACTGAGCCAGGTTGACACCTCGGGTAAAACATCGATGTAACTACAAATCTCAGGTAAGGACATTAAGATGTAAAGGATTATAGACTTGAGAAAAGCCCATTCAATAAGGTCTGCACACAACCATGTAAAGAGTAGCCTTCTCATGGACTTGGCCCCACTCATTCTAGGGCCTCTGGAGGAAAGTATTTAGTATCGTTGCTCCCTGAGCACTCAAGACAATCAGAAAATCTCCAGGATGTTAATCCAACCGCACGTTTCCATTAGTGAACCCTGGCCTCTTTCTCTTGATAGACAACAATCAACACCCCCCACCACCTTCCCCCATTCCCCCAGAGGTCCAAAATCATTACCTCCCATGTAGTTTTTGTTGATTTTGGTCTGTTACCATCAATATATTTGCCAATACTATTTTTAAGCGCTCATTGATTCTTTTTTTGTGTGTGAGTGTGTGTTTGAGGTACTTAATCATTACTGCATCAATTGCTTACTTTGGGAGTCTGTTCCGCACATCAGCTATGTGCGGAGAAACATTCTTCACATCTGTAGTACTGATCCATCAGTCAATAGATTTAAACCGTTGCCTCTTAACCCTGCTCACACAGGTAATTTGTGGGTGAAACGCGGCAACCAGTTCGCACGGCAACATCCCACAAACAACCATGGAGTAACTTTTTTTTTAGAACCCACGTCAGGACTTTGAACTCACAGTCTACGGCTGATGCTCCAGTCTTGGAGCTGCCGCCTTTCACGTGAGCCGTGACCTGTTCGCTTAAACATTAAAGATCCCCTACGGCACTATTCAAAAAGAGAAGTGTCCCAGTCAACAATCCCCCGGATAAAATCGGTCCTTCACTTCATGGCTGTTCGTGGGAACATCGCTGTGCGCAACTCGGCTGCTGCATTCGCCTACAATCACTACGCCTTACAGTAAAATCATGCTAAGAGCTTTGAGCCGTCTCGAGGTGATAAGGAGTTATATCAAATGCAAGGATGATTATTATGTGGTGTCAACGTGCCAGAAGTTTTACGGTGAGCAATCGGATCAGATCCAAACACCACGATGTTAAATTGCTCCCCGGCAGGCAGTGCAGGAAGAGATCTCCATCCCAGCCAGCTTCCTGAAACTCAGCTACCTGAGCAGCCGCTCACCTGGCTATAAATCGCTGCTGAGGATCATCATGACTCACACCACGGTGCCAACCAACCTCAACAAGGTCCACCTCATGGTAGCCATCGAGGGACGTCTCTTCCAGAAATGGTTCCCAGCAGCACCCAACCTGGCTTACACCTTTGCCTGGAACAAAACCGATGTGTATGGCCAGAAGGTCTCTGGCCTGACTGAAGCAGAAGGTACACGTTATCAGTGAACGTCTCTCACTCACCCTGTCGGCATTAGTGCGCTCCTAAGGAAACGGGGAGGGCGGGAATGCTGTCCGCCTGATAAAACTGATTTTTTAAAACAATAAATAAATAACAAAATTGGCTGCTTCTTTTCGCCCAACAAAACACAGTCACTACTTTATAGTATCCCGTGAAGCGCCTTGAGACGTCTCGACAGCGCGATAAGACGCTATATCAAATGCGAGGCTTAACATTATTATTATTAAAACATCCGATGGAAAATTTTCAGCAGTATCTGTGTTAATCTTCTTTCTGAAAACACTCAAATGCTCAAAGGTGTTAAATCACAGTTGTTCAGGGTGTGCCCTGAATGAATATTTTTTCCAGAGGCAGAATAATCACAGCGCAGGAATGTTATTTAATTTTCTTTCTCCTCGTACTGGACTTTAGATGTGTTATTGCTGAGGGAAAACATTAAAGTGGGGGGCGGGGGGGGTGGGGAATTGGGGAAATTGGGGGAGAGACTGTGGGCAAAAAAATTTTTTTTATTGAATTTATTTGTATCGTTTGATCTGCCTTGGAAAAAAAAGAGAGAGATTCAGAGTGAATATTTTCCATTTGCTGAGAGCAAACTGCCTCCTTGCTGCTTTGGAGTCCCGTAGCATATTGATTAGAGCGCTCGCCTGGCAAAGCGAGAGGACCTGGGTTCAATTCCAGGGCACAGCGAAACCTTAGGCAAGTTTCTTTACTCCACGCGCCTCTGTTCACCTCACAGTAAGTAGACACCCGGTTTACCCTTTTCAATCCAGCGCCCATGTCCACAAGACAGAGCGAAAGAAGTATGTGGGTGTATATCTCTGGGGAGAGGGGGAACAACAACTCGCATTTATATAGCGCCCCTCACGCAGGGGGAGTGGGGAGCTGACCGGAAGGCACGGTCGAACAGGAAGGTCTTCAGGCGCGACCTGAAGGGGGCAAGGCGGGGGGAGAGAGGGAAAAGTGTTCCAGAGTTTCGGGGAGCAGTGAGTGCAACGGCTGAATCGAGAGAGTTTGGTTGCCCGGTGTCCTGTGCAATCGTAGCACAAGTGATATTTACCGTTTCCTTCCCCCGTTTGTTTTTTTTTTTGAATTTCTCGTTCAGTGTCAGTCGGTTACGAGTATGAGACGTGTCCGGATTTGATCCTGCGGGAGAAGAGGACGGCGGTTCTGCAGGGGTTTGAGAAAGACGCCTCCAATTTAGGCGGCTGGTCTTTGGACAAACATCACGTCCTGAACGTACAGAGCGGTAAGCGTTAACGTGACGTGTTTTTGCGGCTATAGTTTGTGACCCCACCCTCGAAACGTAGGTGGTGTTCGCGCCGGCTGCGTTGACAACTATATCAAATCCAAGGATTATTGTTGTTACTTTTTAACTCGCGGCTAAGAGCGGCTCCTCCACGCAGATTCAGCCACGGGTTCCCAGAGCCAGAGCGCAGCCTGTGGATTTGGTCTCAAGCCATTGAAATGGCCACGCCCTAGAGAGGAGGTCCAAGAGAGAGAGAAACGGGGTCTCAGCGAATTGCAAAATAGTAGGGAACGACTCTACTGAATAATGGGAAAACTCCAAACATGTCCCAGGCAATGTCAGGAGCTTAATTAACACGGTGCTACTCTGGAATAGCTATTTGCACTGTCTCTGTTTGCATAGCTGACAAGGCCTCAAAGTGGTGGAAGTGGAGGCTTTGGAGACCTCCACTCGAGGGACAACAATGGAATGATTAGACTTAAGGCCAATTCCACAGCCGTTCGGCTGCTCAACTCAGAGGAACATAGGAACAGGAGAAGGCCATTCCACCCTCGAGCCTGTTCCGCTATTCTATTAGATCGTGCCTGATTTGTTCCTCAACTCCAATTACCCGCCTTTGCTCCGTGTCCCTCAATATCCTGACCTAACAAAAATCTATTGACCTCAGTCTCGAAAATTTCAATTGATCCGGCATCCTCGGCTTTTTGGGGGAGAGCGTTCCAGATAAGCAAACACAACGGCTTGCGTTTTCATTGCTCCCGTAACATAGAATTACCGTTATAATTACCATTATTGTTATTGTTGTTGGGTTTTAATGAGTTTTAACACGTATTTTTTGTGTGTGTGTGTGTGTGCGTGCGTGTGTATGATTGTGATTTTGTATGTGTGTGTACGTATGTGTATTTATACGTGTGTGGGTCTGTACGTGTGCGGGGGCCTGTGTGCGCGCGCGCGCATGCACGTATGCGTGTGCCTGCACGTGCGTGTGCGTGTATGCCCGTGTTCCCGCGTGCCTCGCGCCCCAGGTATCCTGCACAAAGGCAACGGAGAGAACCACTTCATCTCCCAGCAGCCGCCGGTCATCGCCAGCATCATGGGAAATGGCCGCCAGCGGAGCGTGGCCTGCCCCAACTGCAACAGCCTGGCCCGCGACAACAAGCTCTTCGCACCGGTGGCCGTGGCCTGCGGGCCGGACGGCAGCGTGTACATCGGGGACTTCAATTTCGTGCGCCGGATCTTTCCGTCAGGAAGCACCATCAATATCTTGGAGCTGAGGTACGCTGCGTTCTCTCGGGCTTCCGAGAGGGAGCGCTGTTTGGCCCCCGAAACTCCACAACACTCTTGCCTCTATCCCTCCCTCTTGTCCCACCACCACACTTCCTTTCCCCACCTTCAGGTGGCGCCTGAAGACCTCCCTCTTCGAATGTGCCTCCGGTCAACTCACCCCTCTCCCCCAACGCCCGCCCCCCCCCCCCCCCCCGGCTCGGTGTCGTGCTCCGCCACTGTCAAGCGCTCCGAGCCGCTACCCTGCAAGTTGTCGTGGTTGTTGAGGGGGCCGGGTTCTGCGGCGTTTAGACCTGGAGTCCAGGTTAATTCGTTGGGAGTGGAACTTGCATCCTGTGCTGTGCTAATCAACACATCAGTGTTAGCACACCTCCCCCACCCCACTCAACTCCATCGCAACGGTGAAGATCATTTGCTCTCGAGCTCCTGTGTATATATTTTTTACCCTAATTACCATGAATTGTTGGCAGGTGTAAGAAGTAACCCTTGTCCTTTCTCTTTTCTCTTCCCCCCCCAACTCCCCCCACCACCTCCCCCCTCAATGCCCCACCCCCCAACACCCCCCTCTCCCACCCACCTGTGCTCCTGTGCTATGTGCTGCACCAGAAACCGAGACATGCGACACAGGTAAGCTCACCTCTCGGGGTGCTTTAGTGACCTTCACCGGAAAGAGAGCGTCCTGCCTCGCTACCCCCCACCCCTCCCCAGCCTCCCCCACTCCGTCAATTTTTACCCAGCGCCTTCCACATTTGGAGGATGTCTCACCATGCTTTTCACGGCTGATTGTGAGCTGGAAGTTTGTGGGGGGGTGGGTGGGGGGGGGGAAAGGGAGGAAAGGGGTGAGCGAGCACTGACCGCGGGAACAGACTAACTCCTACTGTGAGGCACTACCTGACTGACGGTGAGCAAAGTCTCGACTGTAAGTACAGTCGACTCCGAAAAATACTGAGATAATAGAACAAGAGGATGATAGTGGGGGAAACAACGCAAGATAAAATCTCTTTGCCTCGCCCCGCACAAGCTGATGTCTGTGTTTACGCCGTGCATTTGCGCAGTCACATTCACGCTCTTTGGGTTCAGGCACCAATTTAATCTCAGCGTAGAAACCAAGTTCCAGAGAGGTGGGCTTTTAATTAGAATGGTGCGGGCAGCAGACTGGTTCCCACTCGCTGGCTGGCTTTGTGCCAATGCAAAGTCCCCGGACGTCAGCACTACCACCACCACCACCACACGTTTGCCCAATCGGAGGCCTTCTGGTTGGACGGCGAGGCGGGGTGGCGAGAGGGACCCCGGTGGACCAGTCCTCTGCTTCGAGTTGGTGGGCAGCCTCGCCTCGCTTGCCAGCTGAGAGCTCGCGAGACTCATTCCAATTACAGCTGGTGGATTCGAGTGGCGGGGTGTCTGGTGGGATTCGGAGCAGGAGCCCACATCAGTGTGTAAATGAGCAACTTCAGACGCACCACCCGTTATCGGCTTGGAATGTCCTCTTGTCGCTCAGGATCCGAGCTGGTGTCAGTTGTCGCTCGGCCTTTTCGTAACGGCTGCACGGAGATCAGCCAGGAAAGCGCTGACATCCCGTTGTCAGCCTCAGGTGACTGTGGCTTCCAGCTTGCCAGAGGGAGGGTCTTTGCAGGTTCCTCTGCTCAGCATGGATTGTCACAACAGATGGTCAGCCCAGCCCAAGGGTACTGTGAGCGAGAGATATTCCCACGTATCAGTTTGGCCAGCTCAGAGCTGCACTGAAATCATGTGGAGAGTTGCGAAGAGCCTGGTGAAAGCTGTTTCACAATTCCTTATATAGAATAACCAGAGCTCCTCGGTTGGCCAGCAAGAAAATCACTGAAACATAAGAACATAAGTAATACATTAGACGAAAAAAGATCAAGGTCCATCTAGTTCGCCTTCCACCTTCCTGCCGGTCGCTTGCACGTATGTTCCGAACTACCTATGTACTGTGTCCCACAAGGTTATTTCCTAAAAGAAAAACTACCTACTCTCTTCATCTTAATGGCAATTCCCACCTTCTCTTCCTCGTCTGTTTCCTCGGCTCCAGCAAGGAGAGGGTTAGTGTAAACCTCACTGAATGCAAGTCTCGGTGTATTACCATGACTACCGATCTCCCTGCCATGCACAAGCACATCACGGCCTTGGCGATCAGCGAACACATTTATTTTTAAGGACACAGGATGTTCGGGAGAAAAATACTAAGATAAGAGGCCAATAGTTGACAGCTTTTAGATCTTAGACCTTAAGACCTATCTCTCCCCCAACAAGGCTTTAGGTCACATTTCCCCCAGACTTATCCTGCACCAGCTGAGGTGTCCAGTCAGCCGTGTGAAGCACTTAAGAGATATGACATGAAATGCGCTGTATAAGTGTAAATTGTTGTTGGAAATTTCGCAAGATGTATCTTAAGTGTAATATTCCGATAGTCCTGATTTAACTCGTTTGCTACTTTTGTAAGGAGTACGATACGCAGTGTGACTTCACGGGATCTTTGACTTTCTGACATGCCTCTCTCTTCTCTCCCCTGTCCAGCCACAGCCCAGCTCACAAGTATTATCTGGCGGTGGATCCCGTCTCCGGATTGCTCTACCTGTCTGACACCAGCAGTCGTAAAGTGTATCGAGTCAAGTCCCTCGTCCAAACCAAAGATCTCCTCAGGAACGCCGAGCTAGTGGCAGGAACGGGGGATAAGTGCCTCCCATTCGATCAGAGCCACTGCGGGGATGGAGGGAAGGCATACGAAGCCTCACTGACCAGCCCCAGGGGTAAAGACCGTTCCTATCACGTGGCGTTTCTTTTAAGAACCGTTTAGAAAAATGATTTCCCAATTAAGACCGAATTGAGGAAGTTGCCACAAAATGGTCTTCCTGGCTAAGACAAGGTGTAATTGTGGTCCTCTGATGATCTTCTCTAGTTCCTTATTTCTTAAGGTACAATCCCTTGGGACAGCCACATCAATATTATTATTGTTATACAACCTTTTTTATTACGGCATTATTATTATTGTTTTTTTATCACAGATTTGCAAATCGTAATGCATCCCATGACCTTAATAACTGAGTGCCTGACAATCCAGCAGTTCCATCCTGCCCAATTGATAATCATTCCCCATCGTTGGGAAAAAATGAACTTCGCGCAAGTCCTAGCGGTAAAGCCACACATCGTACATTCATTGAAATAGAGGGAACAAGTGCCGCCCGGGCAACTTTTTTTGTTCAGTGAGATGCAAAAATGGATTGGGTTATGTCGTGCGGCACACGGACTGAGAACGAAATGGTTGTCAGCCGTTCTTGACCGAAAGGACGGTGAGCCAGCAGCAATTGCAAACCTTTGGCCGTTTTCTGTTTCGCCTCCTCGCACGTCTGGGGAAAGAGGAAATTACCTGCTTGATTTCAAGACCTTTTTGCCGGCTTGGAAGGTCCATCGGCAAGGCTCTTTGAAGTCGAGTGTGCACGTGGTCGGGTTTAGGGTTATTGTCTCTCTCTCTCTCTCTCTCTCTCTGCGAAAACGATCAATAACAGCGAAATATTCTGCCTTCCCCTTCGCCAGAGAGTAAGTGCCATAGTTTGCGGCATCGGGAATATCAGCTGCCTTCACCCCCCCTGATTTTCAAAATGTTTCATTAACTCTTTGGACCCTGCAGGAATCCTAAACATTAGCCGCCATAATTTTTTCCGACGACAACGCCGTTTGCCGGGGAGATGAAGGGATCTTTCCGTCAAGAAAAATCATTGCCTTCGCCGTACATTATTCAGAGTTATGCAGATCTCTCGCCGCTGCCACTTCACCTATAATGATGCTTGTGCTTTCAATTTGCTCGGAAACTGTTACCAATCAGACCTGCAAGCCGTTCCACTTAAAATAAATCATCAGAAAGAATTGTTACAGAACAAATCTTTCGAGGGGTTTAGTCTCGCCGCTGAACACATAATAATTCACTTCACGTGCCAAACCCAGTTGAGCGCTGTGCTGTTGCTGTCAAGGACATGGCATCAACTTGGTCAGGATGGTAAGACAGGACAATGATAGATATATAAAAAAAAGTGTTTGAGGGGATTTGCGCTGTCTGAAACTCACCCTCTGATTGCTACCTGGAGTGTAATCAACGACTGGAACAGATTGCCAAGAAAGGTGGTTGAGGCCAGGACACTGGGACTCATTTATCAAGCAGTTTGATGCTGTGATGGGGGAAACGGTAGGGTGGGTGTTTTAGAAGGATGAGATCTGATGGGCCGAAAAGCCTCCTTAATCCAATCTAATCGTGTGGCGATCTTTCGTTTTTATAGCAGGACGTCTTATGTACAGATAGCAAAGTGATGCATTGCCAGGGTCAATGATCATCATGTGATGGACCCAAGATAATTGGATCTGTACATTTTAGGGAAGGAAGGGAGCATACTTTCACTGTCAGTGGCTAGCGTACATTTAACTGAGTTCCCAGTGATGATTTTAATAGCAGATAATAATAATAATCCTTGCATTTGACGCAGCATCTTATCACATCATTTCAAAAGCATTTCACGGGATTTCACTGTGAAGTGCAGTGACTGTGCATTTGTACCTGTCTGCTGTCGGAAATAATTCATGTTTATTGTGAATACTTCTATAGAAACACACTCACAGTGCAGGGAATTGTGACCAGTTCATCTGCGGAAATTACCAATTCCAGTGGTACACTGTTCGCAAACTCTTGCAGTTTAGGAGCAACAATAACGACAACTGGCATTTGTATAGCGCCCTTTCACGTGGGGTAGTGTCTCGGGAGCTCTTTTGTTTTTCTTTTAGTTCGCTGTTCCACATTTTATTTTGAATAAAAACTTTTGCTTGTTTCTCTGTGCTCCCGCTCCCGCTCCGCCTGACCCAGGCATCGCCGTGGATAAGTTCGGGTACATCTATTTTGTGGACGGGACCACCATTCGGAAGATTGATCAGAAAGGCGTGATCTCCACCATAATCGGCTCCAACGGTCTGACCTCAACACAACCGCTCAGCTGCGACTCCATCATGGACATCTCTCAGGCAAGTACAGTTATACCAGCCGATTGGAGTGCATTAAGTGTTGCGACATCTCTCGTGATGCCTGCATTCACCACCCACCAAAACCCCCCCCCCCCTTCCCCGCCCCATTCTGAACACCCATCGTCAAGGGACCCGAAATACCACCTGTTCGATGAGGACCGTTGTTGCCTTAGCTTTGAAGATGGAGCAGATTTGCACGAAAATTCTTCCAACCTCGGTCTTAACTTGGAAGCCGGGTTCCTATGAAGAGCTGCGGGAAACAATGCCAAGAAATCCTTGCATGCAAGCGCTCTTGAGGGTGCTATATAAGTACAAGCTGTCGTCATTGTTGTTGAAACTGGCTCCGAATTCAAGACCGAGAAGAATTACTTAAGAATTTTCACGCAATCTCTAACTTTGAGGCAACATTGCTTGCCTCGGGCGGAATTTCAGTTCTGGAATCGCCTCACAGAGCCCCAAACCGAATTTCAGCCCAGACTGGGCTGGTTAATTAATACAACAACAACAAGATTACACTTGTATAGCGCCTTTCACGTCGGGAGGACGTCCCAAGGCGCTGATAATAACAATAATCCTTGCATTTGATATAGCAGACGTCCCAAAGCGCTTCTCAGAATACACTGTAAAGTGAATTGACTGTATACTTTGTGGTTGATTGATTAAGTACTTGTGAAACCGTGCGTCTAACTATTGGATCAAATGTGTGAATCGTCCCATCTGTAATTGGATCGGGTAACGGTGTCAGCTGACGGTAACCAGAAATGTCAAACGGCAGATGATCTTTATCTCGGATGTGGGCACAACAAAGCTCACGCGGGGCAATTTATAACAGACGTCTCTACTTACGACTCAAAGTCACTGCAGTGTTACTGAAACGCTGCACATTTAGATCCTGTTAACCTGATTTGAGAACACTGGTAATCCATTCCCTTCCGTCCTCGAGGGGTGAGAAGAGTGACTGAGAATGATCATAATACTATTAGGCATTAACAGAGACAGCTGGCCAACACAGACGACCGCTAAGATAGAGAGCGTCAATTAAAGCACCGTGGTAATGGGTTCATTAGAAAGTTGTGCATCGGATACACACAGAGGCAGATGGGATAAGAGGCCTTCTGTAAAGACCGTCGTTCCTTTTTTAAAAATAGCCTCCAAATATATCTTTCGTTCTCCCGAATCAGCTGGTGATTTATAAACGCCAAAGCCCCATCCTCGCTTGAGTTTTGACCCAGACCTGCTCAGAGTAGCTCTAGCTACTCTAACTCGCTGCAGTTAATTGAAAATAGATGAATTCATTACCAGTGCGGCAGCAGATTGATCCTGGCCTCCGCCAGGATCTGAACCGGCAGCACTGCAGTGAGAGGTGAGAGCCTTTACCACTGAGCACAGACAGTAATGTTAATGAGAGCACGGTCAGGGCTGCTATTTGAAGCTGGCACCCCGGACGCAAGAGCTGCCTGAATAAATCACACGGGAGAGAGAACAGCTTTGATTCCGAGCACAGGCTCCGGGAAGAGGCCGCACTAACTCATGTTCCAGATGAAGAACATTGGTAGGTCGTTGGCTGTGTGAACCCTGAAACTGACTGGCGGTTCTCTTGCACATGAGAGAGCGTGGATACTCGCTCCGTACCTGCTAATACATGTTAGGCTTTATACCTAGGACATTACTTTGCGATCGTACCTTCTGTCATCTTGTGGAGTCCCGTAGTGTAGTGGTTAGCGCGCTCGTCTCGCAAGCGAGAGAACCCGGTTTGATTCCTTGGCGGGGCAAAACCTTGGGCAAGTTTCCTTACTCCACATGCCTCTGTTGTTGGTCGATTGGCGGATTGCTTTCCAGGAGTAATAATCCCTCCAAAAAAAAAATATATATATATATATTTGGTCACTCATTCTGCTCCCACCACATTAGTTAGAATCATAGAATCATAGAACCATGGAATCACACAGCACAGAAAGAGGCCATTCGGCCCATCAAGTCTGCACCGGTTCCTAAACGAGCAGTCCAACTCAATCCCACTGGCCCGCTTTCTCTGCATAGCCCTGCAATCCTGTCCTCCCCAAATACCCATCTGCTTTATTATTATTATTATTACTTCTCTCTTAAAAGTTATTGAATCGGCTTCCAGTTATGCCAGGTTTTGCTGCCTTGTTTTCAGCACGTCACCTCTGACCTGTTTGCCGTTGGGAAGGCGCAGCGATTTGCGAGTTAAATTCGAGGGAAGCATATTTTCACTATCAGCGGTAATGAAATGTATCTCTCCGTGCGGGACAAAAATAAGCGGGCAGGAATCCATCATCCGCGTCCCCTGTAAACGTCGCTTCTGACTTTGGAGGAATACACAGTGATCGGGGAGGCTCTAAGTGAATTCACTTCTGATGAAGTGACTCAAACTGCAAGCTGTTCTGCCAGGCAACCAGAGGCTGATGAACAGATAACCCGATTGGCCATGAAAGAAAATACTGACGAGATAGAAGGAGGCCTGGAAGTATTTTTTGGTCAGCCGAGCGTCTAAACACAGGCGCGGAAACGCATTACCATGCTTAAGAGTATCCAAACCAGATTTATTGTTCCATGCATCCCACCTACACATGGAAGTTCCCCCGACTGGAATGGATTGTCCACTCTCTCCCCATGCTTACTTCATCAGCATTAGGCAAGGTTGGCAAGAACCAAGACTTGGGGGAGCCCCAGAGTTTGTGTAGGGTTAACTGCTAAAAATGCCTACCCTATTATATTATACTACTACCCATTAAGGTTTTGTCTTTTAGGATTAACAGGAGCTGAGTGGGAAGAATCCCTGTTCTCATTGTCGTGATGAGCAGCACTATGTAGAAATGCCACAAAACAGGAAAGACTTGCTTTCAATCAAACAAGCTTAATCAGTATCTTAATAATAATAATAATAATAATCCTTGCATTTGATATAGCGCTTTTCACGTCGGGAGGACGTCCCAAAGCGCTTCACAGAACACACTGTAAAGTGAATTGACTGTATATTTGTGGGCGAACGCGGCAGCCAATTGCGCACAGCAATGTCCCACAAACAGTCGTAGATTGAAAATGACCAATTTTTATTATTGTTTTTGGATTTGGAGGGATTATTATTAGGCTCTGTGTGGAGTAAGGAAACTTGCCCAAGGTTTTGCCCTCTGCCTGGAATTGAACTCAGATCTCTCGCTTGCAAAGCGAGTGCTCTAACCACTGAGCTGCAGGATTCCTTCCACATCTTCCACACGAAGATCAAGCCGAGATGGTTTAACTGGTTCATGGCACGTCATGGGTTAATAATGCAACTTTTCCCACAAAAGACACAAGACGTGATATATTACAACCACATTTATACAGATACATTAACATGTTTACAGCTTATTTGTCACTCCTTGGAAATCAATATTTTGCAATTTATGGATTTTTACTTTTTTTAAAAAAAAAGCTTCTTTCTCAGCGACGCAAATGCAAAACAACCAACATCATCCAAGGCAGTGGAATGAAGGGTCCTCCTCAAACTCAGTGACCAGTTTTATCTGGGTGATTGGTGCCTAGGACACCAGGAGAAACTCTCTTCTGTTTTGGAATAGCGCCACAGGATCTTTAATGTCCACCTGGAACAGGCGCAGTCAGAATTTTCGTTTAACATCTCACGCAAAGGACAGCGCCTCCAATAAATGCATCGTTTCCCCAGCACCGCATTGGAGTGTCAGCCTAGATGTGTTGAACCCAAACTCCTGCACGTGGCTTGAACCTATAAACCTTCTGCCTCAGAGCCGAGAGAGCTACCTCCTGAGCCAGGCCAACATGTTTTTTTGGGGGAGTTTGGCACAGGACACGGCTCGACATTGCCTGATGAAGTTAATCAGTTCTCAGTCAGTGCACTTGACCTCACGGCCTCATCTAATTGGCAATTTTCCTCCCTGTTAACACTTCCTATGTTAACATGTCTCTGACAGCTAAATCCAAGTGTCTGGCACTTCATCTAAACCTTATCCGTTAATCTCCCCACAACCTCCTCCTGCCATTCCCCATGCTCACCTTCAACATCCGCACCTCCTGACAAAATAAGGATGTTCAGACGTAATTAAGAGCATGTATACGAGGTTGAAAACCTACCTATGAAAGAGAGGGCAAGAGCAAAGGGATTTCTTTCTTATTAAACCAAACCCCAGTTGGACGATAAAAGTTTTATTGTTTTCGTTCAAAATATTTCCGCACATTACAATAAAGGAAAGCACATTAAAAGATTTCCAAAGTACTCTCTCATCCCGATCTCGAGCAACTAAGCACAACTGTGTAATAATAATAATAATACTTGCATTTGATATAGTGCTTTTCAAGTCAGGAGGACGTCCCAAAGCGCTTCACAGAACACACTGTAAAGTGAATTGACTGTATATTTGTGGGCGAACGCGGCAGCCAATTGCGCACAGCAATGTCCCACAAACAGTCGTAGATTGAAAAGGACCAATTTTTATTATTGTTTTGGGTTTTGGAGGGATTATTATTAGGCTCTGTGTGGAGTAAGGAAACTTGCCCAAGGTTTCGCCCTCTGCCTGGAATTGAACTCCACCAATCCTCTAAGAGTGTACTAGTACCTCTTAGAGGATTGGCGTGGGTGTTAAATAATTCACTAAAATGCTGAGGCATTGAAAGCTTTTCTTCCATTCACCTAATTTAAGGTGAGCCGCTACAGCAAATAATTTTATCAATTTTGTTGAACAGCGAAATTGGGAGTAAAACGGGAAGACTGCAGGAGGTAAGGTGTTCCGGAGCTTTTGAGTCCTGGGAATGAAGGAGATAAAGTTAAAAGAATGAGCTTTGAGTTCAGTCGAATAAATAACGGATTCAAAGTTCGACAAATGAATACATTTTTAAAGGAGAAAATTCATTTCTCACCCACTCGTTTGGCACAGCCGCCAAAATATTTTCGGTTCGTCTTTGCTCGTATATCGAGGCGTCGAAAAGCAAACTTACCAGCTCATTGGTAGACGCAACCCTGTGTCAAGTGCTGTGGAACACTACCCTGTGTGAGCATTAGTTGTTGTTGTTGTTGAAGACAAACGTTAATCGTATTGATCATTGATTTGCGCAGGTGCGTCTTGAATGGCCGACCGACCTAGCCGTCAACCCCATGGACAACTCGCTCTACGTGCTCGACAACAACATTGTGCTGAAGGTGTCGGAGTCCAAGCGAGTGCGGATTGTGGCCGGGCGTCCGATCCACTGCCAAGTGCCGGGAATGGACCACTTTCTGGTCAGCAAAGTGGCCGTCCACTCGACCCTGGAGTCGGCCAGGGCGATAGCCGTATCCCACAGTGGGGTCCTGTACATCGCAGAGACGGACGAGAGGAAGATCAATCGCATCCAGCAGGTCACGACCAACGGAGAAATCTTCATCTTCGCCGGGGTGTCAACGGACTGCGATTGCAAGATCGACCCCAACTGCGACTGCTTTTCAGGTAAAGTGAATCTCTCTGCACGTCATTCCCCATCCCTGCGACCTCCCCTTTGCCACAGCCTGGCTTCATGCCCCCTCCCCTGACCCAATCCCACCCGCCATCCTGCCCACACTCTCTGGAATTCCATCCTGGGAACGTCCGCCATTCGCTCGCTCCCTTCCTCGCCTCTTTCGAAGCGCGTCTCATCAAAAACGTACCCCTTTGACTGTGCTTCAGTCGTCTTTCTCTTCTCCAGCTCGGGTGCCCATCCAGCCCTTTTTAATATGCCCTCCCGACGTGAAAGTAGAAGCTGTACGAGTGTAAATTGTGTTGTGTTGTATTGCCTTCCAGCCAAGTGCACCCTCTGGTGGGTAAAAACAACAACAGCAACAACTTGTATTTACTTAGCACCCTTCAACCAGGGGTAGGGTCTCGGAGAGCTTTACACACAAAGGGATGTTAGCCGGGGGGGGGACGGGGGGGACGGGGACGTGTATGATCTAAAGGTTTGGACTCTTGTTCAGTGGGTGGTGATATGTCGATATGACAGAGAGCCAAAGAGATGAAGGGAAAAATAAGGAAAAGATTGTCGGTGTGATTGAATGGTGGCAGTTTGCTGTGTAAATTGGCCAAAAACCCGGACATTGATGGATGCAGCTTTTGGCCTCCATCCTCAATCTTTTGACTTATAATAAGTCTGGCAAGACAGAGGGTGCACTCATACATCCATTACTGCTCACCACAAGATTCAGTGCAGCTCTCTCACTCTCAGGGCTGTTGCCACTCGTTATTGGTCACCTCAGATCTCGCTTGAAGACCACATCACTACTTTTGTGGTTCTTTATTTATTTCAGAGCACAAGCTTTTAATTTTCAGCCGCCCCCAAATAAAATTTGGCATTCACTTCCTGGCTGTTTGTGAGACATTGTTGTGTGCGAATTGGCTCCCGAGTTTGTCCCCTTTGCACTGTATCTTGTGAAGCGCTTTGAGATACTCTCCCAATGTTAAAAAAGCTATACCAAATGTAAGGATTATTATAATTGTTCTTATCACAAATTATAATAAACTTTTTTCTTTCCTCCAATTTTCTCCCCCTATTTTTTCCTGAACTCTCTGAGGTTCACTGAGCAACCAGGTCGCTGAAGAGGAGCCCAATCCTACTTTACCCCAAATCCATACATTACGATTAAAGTTACTGCATTTCTTAATATTTCTCAAGAATAATATTAAATAAATAATCCTTGCATTTGACACAGTGTCTTTCACATCTCATAGCGCTTCACAGGATTTAATGTAAAAGTGTATGTGTATTTTGTGCCAATTTGCACTCGTGGGAACAATGTCCCCATAAATAGCCATGAAGTGAGTGACTAATTTTACCAGGAGGGATTGTTGGCCAGAATACTGGGGGAAAAACTCCCAACTACCAAATTTCTAAACCATTGAATGCCCTGAGCAATGCATTCGATGTCTTCGGAATTCAATCATCCCGAATTTCACGTGAAGAAATCTTTCAAGGAATAATGCAAATTGGGGCCCCTTTGTTGAAAGGACATCAGCACCGCAGACATTCATGTGTCAAAAATACTCAACAGAGAGACGTGTATCATTGTGCAGCAAGCATCACTGTGTGGCTTGCTATCATCATTGCCCATGACTTATGGCTCATCTCCCTTCCAGGCAGTATGGACAATCTCCTATAAATTGCGTTGATATGCATAATGGGTTCACCATCTTGGAGACGGCAACCGTCTTTCTAACTAAAGCAGACGTGAAGCAGCAGAGCTGAACTCGCTTGCATTTGGTTACACGACTATCGCAATCAAAAAGGCCCTGAAGTTATTTGGCCTTTTTACACTTCATACAGTTCGTACACGCAGACTTTTGCCTCCTATGAATTGAAGCCATGCCCCCCTCACCTCTGTGCACAGCGTGTTCTTTCAAGAATTACGTTGAGTGATGGAAATAGGCCATTTGGCCCAACTCTTAGGTAGGGCAATATCATAAAAGTCTGTGACAATGTGACAAGGGATTGACAAATTTAATAGATAACAGAGTTTAATTCTCGGGAAAAAGACCGCAACAGCTTTGAGGAGATTCTTATGTAAAATCACAGATTTGGCGTGATTTAAGAACTGATCATTTTTACTTGGTAAATACAAATGCGCTCTCACTTCAGTGCCAGCAAATCATTAGGGTGATGGAGTGAAAAGAGACTCAGTAATACATTTACCACTCGCTGTGTTACGAACTGTTTTTTAAAGTAATGCCCGCAGAATAAACAGAGCGAGAAGCAGAGGAAAGAGAATTACAAGAGAAAGAGAGAGAGAGAGAGAGAGGCAGGGAGGAAGGAAGGAGGTCAAGTTCATAAATATACTTGATGAGTGATGGCCCTTTCGTGTGTGGAGAGAAATACAGCCATACATCAATGCTGGTGTGATCCCAATTCTGTCCCTACATTCCCACTGACACATTGCAACAGACGTGAAGGCAGGAATCCAATGCCCTCATACACTAACTCTCCCTTCATGGTATTTAGGTGTATCATCAATGACCCTCATGGTTTTGTTGCTGTCGCCTTGTTTGGTAAATCATCTCCGGGTGCCATCCTTTGAGAAAAGATTGTGGGGTTGTCCATTAGTGCAGAAGTGCAGAAGGAAAATGATAGATTGTTGATGATTCGCTTATGATTTCCAATCAAGTGAGCGGTTATTCGACTTCAGTCGCTGGACATTATGTTGAATGGCAGAGAGGACCGGATAAACATTGTTGAGGCTTTTGCTGGATTACCTTTGGAGATCAGGGAGTTTCGAGACTGTGCTTCACTCCCTCATTAGGTACATCATCACAATGCTTTCTTATTTTCTGATCCATTTTATATCCTTTAATGGATAACTTCAAAACCACTTTCTTCCCTTCTCCCACCCCTGTCCCCAACCCCCCCCCCCCCCCCACCACCATCTCCTGACCAGGGCATCCTACTCTGCCACCGAGAAGCACTCAGAAATGTTATCCTACATAAAGTGCGCTATATAAATGCAAGTTGTTGTTGTTCATGCTCACAGCTTGTCTCTCTTTGTCTCTTTGCACTTGGGGTCTATCGACCTCATTGCTATTTTCTTTTCCACTGGTATATTCTTTTCTACAGTATATCTGTTCAATGTTGCTGCGGCTGTACCTGAAGGGTGTAATCTGGGGGTGGGGGGGTATGATATGGCCAGTGCGTTGTGATGGTCACAGAAGCGATCGTGCTGTTATTAACATCCTTTGCCATCATCTCTTCACGCAGGAGACGGTGGGTTTGCCAAAGACGCCAAGCTGAAAGCGCCAACGTCCTTGGCTATGTCGCCGGACGGCACCTTGTACATCGCCGACCTTGGTAACATCCGTATCCGAGCAGTGACCAGTAACAAGCCCGTTCTGGGCTCCATGAACCTATACGAAGTTGGCTCGCCGGTGGATCAGGAGCTTTATCTCTTCACCGCCAACGGGACCCACCTTCACACCCTCAACCTGATCACCGGAGACTACGTGCACAACTTCAGTTACAACGGTGAAGGCGACATCAACACCATCACTGGCAACAACGGCAACTCGCTGCACATTCGCCGGGACGCCAACGGGGCACCTCTGTGGCTTGTCGTGCCTGGCGGGCAGGTGTACTGGCTGACCATCAGCAACAATGGGGCGTTGAAGAGGGTGTCCGCACAGGGACACGACCTAGCGATGATGACCTACCATGGCAACACTGGGCTGCTAGCCACAAAGAACAACGAGAACGGATGGACAACAGTTTACGAGTAAGAGACGGTTCGGGTTAATAATACTATCTCGATTTCCTTTTATGAAAGTGACTCAAGTCTCGTGATTCCACTTGCGGTCCACTGGTCTGCCCTCAACTCCAGTGTAAAACCACTGATAGCACAATCGCAACCTTGATAATTCGGTAAATGTTTGGTTTTGACACTCTCAACCCCTTTTATTTACATCTTTAAGGAGATCTTTAAGCGTCTTAATATTCAAGTACCTTTTTCACAACTCACTTGCCAGGCCTATTCTAAAAATACTTGACAAAATCATACCAAGCAGTATCTGCCCACACATTTAGTTAGGAGAATAATAATTATTATTATTATTAATTAATAATAATGCTTACATTTGATACAGGAGCTTTCAAGTCAGGTGGATCTCTCAAAGTGATTCAGGATATACAGCAAACTGGAGTAGCTGTGTATTTTATAGCTTTAACACTAAATTAATTAATTTAGCAATATAATAATAAACAACATTAATAATCCTTGCATTTGATATTGCGTCTTATCATGCCTACAAGAGATCTTGAAGCGCTTCACAGGATATATTGTAAAGTGGAGTGGCAATGTATTTGTAAACACAGCAGCTCGCACATAGCAACTTCCTCACAAGTGGCCATGGAAGTGAATGACCTAAACATTGAGTAATATTGAGATTAATATGAAAGAAATATACCGGTGACAATTTGTAATAGTTGAAGGTAATATCAATGAAGTGCCAAGAGAGGGCCAGTCTTGTTACCTTGATGGCATCTTCGGATGAACTGTTCCGATATTGTGTGGAATAACATCAGGAGAAGGTGTTGAAATGAAATTCCTTGCATCTGATCACTTTCTTTGGGAGCAGCGTGCATTCACAAAGAAACCACGGAAAAATAACTATCTTCCCTCCACATTTTCCTGCATTGCCACCCGTAGATGCCGTCTTCTTCCCTGTCCGCTTTGAATACCTACATTCGGACATTCAGCTGCAACAGTTTGAGAAATACACATTGGAAAAGCAATGACAATCCCCAAGAAAATGCAGTAAATCTCCTAAGCACTTGTCCTTTCCCCCCCGGAGCAGCTGTAGATAATAATAATAATATACTTTTTTTTTTACTTATTCGTTGCACGATGCTCAACATAAAGGTTTCAAATTGCTTAGGTTAATGTGTCACAAAGGATCATTTTCCAAACTTAGCAACGGCATTCCAGTTGCACATAATTTCAGTTCACTCGCATCCTGTTCTTTAATTATCGCCCCATCGAGTTGGGTTGCTTAGTAACTGCTTATTGTAGTAAAACAGTTGGTCAATCCGGTCGTAACGGCATTCCCTGCTGTTGTGTCCTTCGCAGACAGTGGCTCTCAATGCAGTAGGTTATTCGAAATGGCTTAGACCTTTTGACACAAAAGGGCCGGTCGCAGTACACGCAGTGGGGTTTGATAACGTGTAGGATCAGCCATCAGCAAATGCAACGCTTTGTTTGAAGCGATGGTTCGGATACTTGCCTGTTTTCCAGATGTTTCTGCGTTTGTTGCACAGACATATTTATCAGGACGGTGGGTGACTTTTCCCTCTAGTGGCCGTGTTGGGTGCATTGCACACTTGAGCAAATAAAACTCTTTTTAAAAAAGCGTCCTTCTGAACTTTCTTGAGAGATTCCACCTGTTCTTACTGTACTTATACAATACTTTAGAATTTTGAAAAATTGTTAAAAAAAAAGACGGCCTTAATGTCGAAGCTGCTTTCCCCTCACGTTTCCTTCGAGAGTTGCAGAAAGTCGGCTACGGAGGTTGAGACTAAATTGTGCCTAAATTGAGACTAAATTGAATCCAACAAACGTTCAGTCTGACTCAAGAGACGAGAGTACTATCAACTGTGCCCGGATGACACCCAACTGTTACCTGTAGGCAAGAGGACTGATCTTTTGGATAGCGTGAAGTGAGGAGTCTTGCCGTACGGCCTGAAGGGCGCTATATATGAATGCAAGTTGTTAATTTTTCTTCTTCTTCTTTTCTTTGCCCGAACCTTTGCTGGTCCCCTACCCAGGTATGACAGCGATGGCCACCTGACCATTGTGACATTCCCTACAGGCCAAGTCAGCAACTTCCACAGCCAAATGGACACCTCGCTGCGAGTGGCAGCCAATCTGTCCAGCCAAGAGAACTTTGCCATCACCACCAACTTCTCTGCCACTAATGTGGCCTACATGTTCAGCCAAGGTAAGTGAGGCTCTGAGTACTCATTGGGGAGCGACGAGTACACTGTGATAATCCTTGCATTTAATATGGCTCCTTATCACGTCGTTGAGGCGTCCCAAAGTGCTTCACAGAATATACTGCAAAGTGGAGTGGCTGTGTATTTTGTGGGCGAAACATGGCAGCCAATTGCGCAACAGCAGTGTCGTGGATTGAGTGACCAAATTATTACACCCAGAAAGCGATCCGCCAATCGTCTAACAACCAGGTTCTATTTACTGTTGTCCATGCAGTGGTGATCATTAAAGGGCAAAAGTTATAGTCTTTGGAGGGAGGGGGGGGTGGGTGGGAAACATTATCAGAGCGAGGTTTCTGCAATACCCAAAAATGAACCCATCCTTTATGTTGACGAGTAAACAAATAACCAGAAAAAAAAACCACACAGGCTGAAGGAGTGCTTGCATCAAGTTCCTTCAAATCCTCACTGAAGCAAAGAGAACATCAATTAAATTTCTGGGTGGGAACAGATTAAAGGATTGTATTATGCGATGATCTTCAAAGCTGTGTACCAGAAGCCCAGAGTAAGAGACCCCCCCCCCCCCCCACAAAAAAAAAACGAAGAGCTAAACTATTTGTGAAAAAAAACACAAACTGAAAGGGAATTTTTACCCTAGATTTACATATTTTAGCATGTTATTTACATATCTGTCTATTATAGACGGGCTACAATCAGTGAGTGCCAGCAACACTGCACAACCGTTCCATGGAAAATGTACTTCCGATGGATTTGAAGGTGCGCTCTGAGCTGTTGGGAAAATCCATTGTGAAACGTTGAGACGCTCAAATGACAGCGTGTCCACTCCTCACACTCATGAGCATCTGATACCTTTTCGTATTCAAAGGTGTTATCAGAGCATTTGATTGGCAGCCCCACTGACTGCGTAACCTTTTGTATTGTGCCATTATTATAGCCCTTGGGTTAAAACACTGTCATCTTTCCGGTTACTAGCCTGGCTCAGCCTGTCAAACTCTTGCCTCCGACTCAAAAGGTTGTGGGCTCAAACCCCACCTCGGGGGCTTTGAACTCAGTGTTGGGGGTGTCCTGCGTTGTTGAAGGTGAGACGTTAAACCGAGGTCCCGTCGGTGGGGACGTTAAATATCCTGTGGCACTGGTCGAAAAGAGAAAGTAGTTTCTCCTGGTGCCCTGGCCAACCATCCCCTAGGTAAAACTAGTCACTTATTTCCCAGGCTGCTTGTGGGACATTGCTGTGCGCAAATTAGCTGCCCCATTTGCTTAAAACTTCTCAGTCACTCCACTCCACAATAAAATCCTATCAAGTACCTGGAGATGCCTTGCAGACATAACAAATGCAAGGATGTACACTACATATATATATATATTCTAATGAAACCTCAAATTCCTCACCATTTAAACATCTGCCGATGTCAACGCCTGTGTCAGTAACAGTGCTGAGAAACTTGCCTCGCTAAGCGGAGACTGGCTTGAAATCTTGCCGTAAACATGTCATTTTTGTCATCATTCTCTTATCTCGCAGATCACATTCAAAATACCTACCAGGTGGGTCCCGACGGTTCCTTGCGAGTCACCTTCGCGAGCGGGATGGAGCTAACCCTACAGACGGAGCCTCACATCTTGGTCGGTGCCGTGAATCCCACAGTGGGAAAGTGTAACATAACACTGCCTGCTGAGCACAGCCCAAACATAGTGGAGTGGCGGCAGAGGAAGGAACAGGCCAAAGGAAACCTTGCTGTGTTCGGAAGGAGGTTTAGGGTGAGCGCCCCCATGTTCTAATTCTGTCCTAGAAGGTCCCCTCCACCTGGCTGGGTTATTGGTACTCTCGCCTGAGTCATAAGGTTGCGCGTTCAAGCCCAACATTGGAGACTTTGAACTCACGTAACCCAAGCTGACACTCGAAGTGTGCCAATGGGGGGAGTGCTACAATCATCGTCCTGGGATGAGATGTTAAACTGAGGAATTGGCCATCTGACTGCTTTGGTGGATGTTAAAGATCTCGTCACCCTACTCAAAAAAGAGAAGAGAGTTTCTCTCTCCCGGTGTCCTTGCCAACAATCCCCCAAATAAAATCGATCATCCACTTCATGGCTGTTTGTGGGACACTGCTGTGAGAAAATTGGCTGCCTTGTTCGCCCACAACACACACAGCCACTTTACACTATATCCTCAGAAGCGCTTTGAGCCAATCTCCCGACACGAAGAAGGCTATAACAAATGTAAGAATTATATTATATTATTCTCGAAACATTTAACCGAGTGTTTCATCAATTTTGAAACACAATGCGAAGCAACTTGCCGTGTTTTATGTTTAAAGTTAATAATCCTTGCATTTGATATCGTGCCTTATCAAATCATCGCAACATCTCAGAGCGCTTTACAGGATATACGGTGAAGTGGTATGGCGGTGTGTATTTTGCAGATAGAATGCAACACAACCCTTAACCTCGCTTCTCGAAGCCAAGGCGTATTCACGTCCACAGGGTTTGGCTGTGTGCATGCCTCTTGCTAGTTATGGGCTCTGTTCACTCCTAGGCTCACAACAGAAATCTGCTGTCTATAGACTTTGACCGACTCACCAGGATCGGAAAGATCTACGACGATCATCGGAAGTTTACTCTTAAGATCCAGTACGATCAATCAGGGCGGCCCATCCTTTGGTCACCGAGCAACAAATTCAGTCAGGTCAACGTCACCTATTCCTCCATGGGTCTGGTGACGGGCATTCGACGGGGGACCTGGGTTGAGAGAATGGAATATGACCAGACTGGCAGGATTGTGTCCAGAGTTCTGGCGGATGGCAAGATCTGGAGCTACACGTACTCGGAGAAGGTAACACAAGTCTGTCGCTTTCCGAGCCGTTGTTTTTCATAGGGGTCTAAAATTCGGCATGGGTTAACAGCACATGCGAGCTAACCATGTTCGAATGCACGCAGAGGATCATAATTAAGTATTTAACCCATAAAAAAGATCGCAGGTGATTCTAAAACCATGTCACTTGGTGCTCGGTTACATACTCGAGGGCAGCTGCATGTGTCTGAACATGAACAACCCATGGGATATTAGCCCAACCTGCATTTTAGCCCCCCGAATCTTTTATTTCTTTCCAGCAAAGTCTCAGCTTCAGAATAGGAGTCTGTTTGGCAGGTGTGCAGGTGGGAAGCGATTGCACAATTCCTTGTTCGCTAAAATTAAAAAAAATTAAAAAGCAAAAGAAAATGGAGTTTACTTTGAGTGCAGAAGAACAGATTTTTTTTAATAAAAAGCTGAAGGCTATACTGTTAATTGAATTAGTTCCTACGTTGTACACCTAGATTAAACAGACAGTGTTTACAGCAACTGCGTTCACAGTGCAACATGCATTAGCTCTGTTTAGACACATCTCACAGGTCAGAGGCACGGTGATTCAGCTTGTTTTTCTTTTATACTCATTGCTTGTCCACCACACCAACACCCCCCCCTCTTTACCCTGAAGGATCTTTCCTCAGTGTAGCTTAATGCAGCTGAACGACAGCCAAAGCACACACATCACCCTGTTTGCCTAAGCTCAGCTGGCGGGCAATCCACTTGCTACAGGGCAAGACCGTACGACAATAGTATCTCCTCAGTTACTTCCTGCAACAGATCCTCCATTGGTGCGTAGTGGCGAATTGATTGAGGATGGTTGTGGGTTGATTACATTATCAAGGGCAGCTGCAATGTGTTTTCAACATAATAATAATAATAATAATAATAATATTAATCCTTGCATTTGATATAGTGCCTTATCACATCTTCGAGACGTCTCAACGAGCTTCACAGAATAGACTGTAAAGTGAATGGTAAAGTGTGTATTTTGAGGGCGAAACTCGGCAGCCAATTGGGCACAGCAGATGACCAACCCATGGGCTATTAGCCCAACTCGCAATTTTACACCCCAAAGGAGGGAGAGGGAAATAATTATTAATATTAATCCTTGCGTTTGATACACTGCCTTTCACGTTGCGAGGATAACAACAACTTGCACTTGTCTAGCGTCTTTCCCTCAAGGCAGCACAGTACAATTTATACTTATACAGCTCCTTTCACACGGTTTGAAAGAGCGAGGGAGTGAGCCAGTCGGAGGGCTGAAAGCCTGGCCGCTGTTGATGGACCGGATAGAGCGGGGGAGAGGTGGAACCAGGCAGACGTTTTGGGAGTGCTTTACAAGATTTACCTTAAAGTGTAGTGACTGTGTATTTTGTTTTGCAGACATCAATGTTGGGGGTGGGGGGAGCCAGTTAAGATGTCTTTCCAACGCCAGACAGTAGTGAGATGTCAACGTAGACTATGCCCAGGAGTGCCGAGTGCAAATTCCGGACCTAAAAATGACACCTGCAGTTGTCGCTGGAGGAAATCTCTGAAGCTGTCGTGGCCCTCTGTTGTCACCACTGTCATTTCAAGGGTTAGATAGAAATTGGGGGATCGGAGCAATTAACCAACGATCCAGCAACAGAGTCGAGGCGCAGTGTCTGTCTGTGCAACAATCTACATGTTCACAAACCCGCAAAAAGCATAAGTCGTTTCTAACGTAAAAATGGAAGCCGCGTTCGTTATGTTAATAAGGCTAGCACATCAGATTTAATTTGCATGTTCAAGTTAATTATAGATGAATGAGTTTTTTTTCTTTCTCTCTGCCCACCCCCACCACCCACCCACCGCCCCTTCCAAACACACAGACACAGTATTTCAGAAATTTGAGTTACCTCTCTGTGCGACTCACGTAAGTGTATTATTGGACTAACATATTCATTTTGATAATTAACATATTCATAGGGATAACATGTTCGTTTTGCTAATTAAATATAATTTGTGTGTGCAAATTGCATTAATTAAAGTCTATTCTCTGCTATAACTCAAAAAACACGAAACGTAATCTTTTCTAACTTTAGAGAGTGCATTTATCTTTGCTGTTGAGGGTAACATATTAATGAATTTGATAATTAGTGTAAATTTGCATTCATAACTCAAATGTAAATGACCGTTACATAGACAAAAGGCAATAATATTTAAATGTTTTATTGTTTTTCTTTAAATGCATCTCCGCTACATCCAACAAAGCAGTTACCCATCTATTCATTAATTCATTTTCCAGAGAAGGACTGAAATCTTGTGAATTTGGTTTCAGTGAGAGTTGTGCTTTGGGTGTGATGTGCTCCACATAGTCCCCCTTTTGATCCACGTAACCGAATCTGAAGCCGTCAAACTGATTTAAATCAGGATTTTAAGGATCTTGATAACCAGGCAGAGTGGTTATACTTTAATTTGTTAATAATTCACAAGCTTGACGTGTCTTTTTTTCTTTTTAAATAAGTTAAATGGGGGGGGGGGAAACATTTTTCTTACTTGGAAGTACAGTTGTCGTTTCCATTTTGCTAGACAATTAGAAAAAGAAAAAGACTATTTGTCGGTTGTCAGATGTCATTCAGGTTGTGAACAACTCATTACATATGGATAGAGTTTTCTGAAGCGTTTTTCCTTGACAGTTCAGTTGATAAGAGTTGCCGGACTTGAATCTGAAACATAATGATTCCAAACCTACTTAATCCTTCCCCTCCCCTCGACATTAATATACTTAATGTAACACCGAATAAACATCCTTAAGCTTTGTCACCTTGTATTGTGGTACCTGGCAACATATTCCATCAAAACTTCATATGCTGAGCTCTTCACGTGCATTTGGGACTTTGCCGCGTTCAAATTGGCGCCACATTCTCCAACAAAACACACTTCACATTAAATCCTGAGAAGAGCTTCGAGACTCAACATCTCAATAAGGTGATAAGATATCAAACGCAAGGACTGTTATTATTATATTATTATCCGGTCAAAAGCCAATGCGTTCAATTCTACATCCACGCTCTGACGTGCATTATGCATTAAAGTGCGAGTGTGTGTTTTACTGCATTAAACTTTCACGTATTTGAAAGTTGTTACGATCTGCAATGCACTGCCTGAAAGGGTGGTGGAAGCAGCTTCGATAGTGGGTTTCAAAAAGGAGTTCGATAGGTACTTGAAAAGGAGACATCTGTAGGGCGATGGGGTAAGACCGGGGGAGTGGGACTAATTGGAAAGCTCTTTCAAAGAGCTGACGCATGTACGATGGGCCAAATGGCCTCCTTCTATGCTGTAAGATTCGATGAAACGCTTAAATTTTTCCCATTGAGGTTTTCCTGAGCCCGGATATGGAGAATTGCATTTTTTTGTTCTCTGTCCTGTATCATTTGTTACACAACAAGTGTGCTCAGGTGCATTTTCAGTGTTGGCTTCGGTTGACCAACCGAATCATGTTAATCAATCATGTTAAAGATACAAGAGAGCAACCGCTCCAGCGGGTGTAGGCTGGTCACAGAGCGTGCAGTGCTAAGACATGGCCGTGCCCGTGTTATTTCCCAAATGATGAATTACCAGGCGCTACCAAGCCATCTGGAAGACGCACCAAGCAAAGGGAAGATATTGCACCACACAAGGGATTGCAGGTCTCGCACACGTTCCTTATAGAACAATCCTGGTCAAGACATGAGGCCAGGCTGTCCTTTCAGCGTGGGAATTCTCCTTTGATGGGGAAATTAAAAGGAAGTGGGGGGAGGCAGGTGAGAACAAGTCTTAAAAAGAATTGCACTGCGGCCAAATATGTAGTCATCTCTAATGAGATTCTTTGACAACGAAACCGTCTGAGAGAATATCATGTTCCTCACGTCCTTCGGCAAGTTTCCTTACTCCATACGCCTGATAATAATCCCTCAAGAAAAAAATAATAATAAATTGGTCACTTCAATCCATGACTGTGGGACGCTGCTGTGCGCAATTGGCTGCCGCGTTTCGCTCACAAATATACAGTCAATTCACTTTGCAGTATATTCTGTGAAGCGCTTTGAGACGTCTCGAAGACGTAATAAGGCGCTATAGCAAATACAAGGATTATTATTATTATTATTATTATTATTATCCACTCAGAGGGCTCTTCACTTCCAAAGTGAGTTGGAGTGGAGTTCCTGTGAGATGGCTCGACTTGCTTCTGGTTTCGTTATTAAGGAATCTCGTTAGAAATCGTCCCACATTAAAACCCAACCGGCTTCAAACTCTGCCGGCGTTTTAAAGTGGACGTTAAAGCTCCCATTGGCACCATTCAAAAGAAAGAAGGTAGTTTTCTCTCGTGGGTGATCTAGTCAACAATCCTCTTAGATAAATCGATTCTTACACAGCGCAATACAATTTACACTGATGTAGCGCCTTTCACGTCGGGAGAACAATCCCAAAATGTTTGATGGACCCCTTTCACTTAAATGGTCGTTAAGTTGCTTTTGGGGCAAATTACGCATGGCAAGTGGAGCGAACCGCTCCGAGACGTTCTGACCACGTGCTAAAGGCACTACGTCAAAAAGTGCACGGTTTATCCCAAGCATTACAGAGCGAAAGTTGCCGCATGGTCCTGAACAGGAACTGAAACGAACCGTTCGGTCGGTAGCTCGGTCTAACGTCAAGTAACCCGTGCTTTTGTTTCCCGACAGTCTGTGACACTCCTCCTGCACAGCCAACGGCGTTACATTTTCGACTACGATCAGACCAACCGCCTGTACTCGGTCACCATGCCCAGTATGGTGCGTCACACCATGCAGACCGTCTGCTCCGTGGGCTACTACAGAAACATCTACACTCCCCCCGACAGCAGCCCCTCCCTGGTGCAGGACTTCAGCGAGGACGGGCGCCTCCTGCAGACCCTGTGCCTGGGCACCGGGCGGCAGGTGATCTACAAGTACACCAAGCTGTCCAAGTTCTCTGGGATTCTCTACGACACGTCCCAGGTCAACTTCACGTACGACGAGAGCGCGGGCGTCATCAAGACCATCCAGCTAATGCACGAGGGCTTCACCTGCACCATCCGCTTCAGGCAGGCGGGGCCCCTGGTGGCCAGGCAGATCTTCAGGTTCAGCGAGGAAGGGCTGGTGAACGCCCGCTTCGACTACAGCTACAACAACCTGCGTCTGACCAGCATGCAGGCCATGATCAACGAGACGCCGCTGCCCATCGACCTGTACCGGCACGACGACGTCTCGGGCCGGACAGAGCAGTTCGGCAAGTTCAGCGTCATCTACTACGACCTGAACCAGATCATCACCACCTCGGTCATGACACACACCAAACGCTTCAACGCCAACGGGCAGGTGAGGGAGGTCCAGTTCGAGATCCTCAGGTCCATCACCTACTGGATGACCGTCCAGTACGACAACATGGGGCGCATGGCCATGTGTGAGATCCGAGTGGGGACGGACACCAATCTGACCAAGTACTCATACGAGTACGACCCCGACGGGCAGCTCCACACCGTGTCGGTCAACGACAAGCCCCGGTGGCGTTACAGCTACGACCTCAACGGCAACATCAACCTGCTGAGCTACGGCAACGGCGCCCGGCTGACCCCGCTCAGGTACGACCTGCGAGACCGCATCACCAGGTTCGGGGAGGTGCAGTACAGGATGGACGAGGGCGGCTTCCTGCGGCAGAGAGGGGGCGCCGTCTTCGACTACAACTCCAACGCCCTGCTGGCCCGGGCGTACAGCAAGGATACGGGCTGGAGCGTGCTGTACCGCTACGACGGCTTGGGGAGGCGAGTGGCCCGGAGGAGCAGCGGGGGTCAGCACCTCCAATTCTTCTACGCGGATCTGGTCAACCCCACCAGGGTCACCCACATGTACAACCACAGCAGCACCGAGATCACCTCGCTCTACTATGACCTCCAAGGCCACCTGATTGCCATGGAGGTCAGCAGCGGGGAGGAGTTTTACATCACCTGCGACAACATGGGCACCCCCTTGGCCGTGTTCAGCAGCTCCGGCCAGCTGGTCAAGCAGGTCCAGTACACGCCCTACGGGGATATTTCCTACGACTCCAACCCCGATTTCCAAGTCATCATCGGGTTTCACGGAGGCCTCTACGACCCCCTGACCAACTTGGTGCACTTGGGACGCAGGGATTACGACGTGCTGGCCGGCCGCTGGACCACCCCGAACCACAATCTGTGGCGAGACTTGAACAGCAACCTCTTCCCTTTCAATCTGTACTCGTTCAAAAACAACAACCCCGTCAGCACCATCCAAGACATCAGCCAGTTCACCACAGGTAAGCAAGGCGCACGCACAGCACCAGACAAAGTTCTCACCCAAGTTCTCAGCCCGCGGTGAACATTTTGTCACAAAATAAATGCGCGATTGAGTGGAACTGCCATTATGTTCTCCGTCTCGGTCTCACTTTTATGTCCTGGGCGACAACTTCTTCCCATGCTTCCCCTCACGCTAACAAAATTGGTCGTCTCTCTTCACGGCCGTTCACGGGAGGTTGCTGGGTGCCAACTGACTGCCCAAATTCGGCCACAAAACGAGTGGGGGCAGGTCAACAACAACAACTTGCATTTATTTGCTGTCCTTCATGCGGGGCAGCGCCTCTGAGCGCTTAACGTGGCACTGTGTGCAGTGCATCACAAAGCGAATTCGGGCAAATGCACTGTGCGGTGTACCCTGTGAAACGCTTTGAGATGTGCTCTCGAGGGGAAAGACGCTGTACCAAATGTAAAAGATCATTATTATTATTGTTGGAATGATTGGAATGATTACTCTTTCCCCAAACCCCCCCCCATCCTACTTCTCTTCCCCAACCTTCTCTTCCCCAACCCCCTTCCCCCTTCCCCCAAACCCCCCCCCCCCCCCAACCACTGGACTGAAATTACGAAAGCGAAATTACCTATTTTCTTGACATTTTGAAAACTGTGCAAGACAAATTGTCTTGCTCAATGCAATTAATTTCTGAATGTGAAATGAACCCTACCCAACTTCTGCCTGGGAAACCTGACAAAGAGATCATCTACTTATCTGCCATTGCTATCCCTCTTACTTTGCCTGTGGCGGGGCCAGTGACCACACAAACTTATAAATTATGTAATAATAACTAATAACTGCATGAAATCGGAAAGGCATGATTGTTACGCTATCATAACATATTAATGAACTACGCCGGAGTAGACCCAATTAGATTAATTGGAAAGAAATATGTTTTCTTTAGCGAGTCGGAATGACAAGGTTACAAAATATGCAAGAGTGAATTGAGGTGAGGTGCGAGATACTGCGGTCTGGATTGATTAGTGCTGGATGTTCTTGTGAAATGTAGTTTTAGGGAATGTTTGACCATTAAGCTCCTTGCGCTTCCATGAATTATACAAATGGGAGACGGTGGAGTAATAAAAATGCATTAAATATGTCTCATTAACCCCTGACCTCAAATCCCTTTAATTCTTTCCTTCTGCAATAACAAGACTCGGCGACTTTCAAACTGGGCCAAAAATTATGAATTTCATAAACTTAGTGTGAACTTCGGCAATCGATAAATTGCAAACTGGGTTGTGCTTGCGAGCACGAGTGATAATTAACACATCACGGGCCTCAGTTTTGCTCCTAACACGAGCGGTTCCAGCTAACACTTAATAAGAACCATGCTCGCACTCCACGATAAGCCTTTGCTTGTTGAATTAAATATATCTTCATATAAACTGTGCCCTGTTTAAAGGCTTGCTGAACAATTGGTTTGCTCATGTGCTTAACTGATCCCTTCATAGGACTATCCAAATAAAAGCTTTGATACGCAGACTTCAGACGCACACAGAGCACTTGTAGACTCTCCTACATGATGGGTTGAATTGTTTTTTGGTTCAAACACATTAAATAGGAATACAGTAACACTAAAGACTTTGTCAAAAAAAAGCAGAGCAAATGTTATCAATTCCGAGACAGATTTTTCATCTCCCCCCTCCCCCCCCCCCACCCAACCCCACTCAAGATCAAAATAAATTTAGCGAGCACTAGAAATGGGCTTTCTAAATAATTAATCAATTGTACTCTCGAGATTACTGAGGCACGATCACTTCAGTCAGACATCCCAGGAGAGACTCTCTGCCAGGGTTTCTACCGCGATCCTTATGGAGAACAGACGAAAGGCAGAAAGAGACGAGGGTTGATTGAATAATTTCATGAAATCGGCCAAAGTTGTCAGTTGAATTCATTTCGATCCAAACCCTTGTGTGGGTTTGATTCCCTTCTCTATTACCAACTTTGTGTAACTGACCAAGTTTCTATTCCCTCGGAGACCAAGGGGATGACTTTTGCATTGGTCCTTTGGCTGTTCAACCGCTCAAACATAAAGGTCCAAGGGTGAAATTTACAGCCTTTCCCATTTGCGCGTCTCAGACTCCTTATTAAATAGTGCAAATCCACATTTTGCCGTTGAGAAATTGTGCAAAGTAGACACCCCTGTAACACAGACGGATGGGCTGAGCAGCCGACTTGTTTTTATTGCCACTTTTGTCACAAGATGATAAGTTCAATGTCTTTCTGGGTTGCGGTTTTGCTGAACTTTTCTCCAAGTGTGCTTGAGGTACTGATTGCTCTGATAATTCCCCTCCTCCCTCGTCAAACCTGCGAATATTTTAATCTTCGGGAAGCTGTCACGGTTGTCGGAATATACATGGCACAATGATGGATAATTGTGCCCAAAATGGCTTGTACAGACTGTAATGAAGTAATTTGATTCAGAGAGTGGAGGTTCATGCTAGGTATTCAATCAGTGTGAAATTAAAAAAAAAAATTCCGCCACACTCCAGACAGTTGCAAATGCCGTTGCTAATCTGCTTCAAGAAAAAAAAAAGTTCTTCTCCATTTCATTTGTAAACCGCCGACCGTAAATGGCAATATATTCCGAGTCATACAAAGTGCGCAGAGCCTGAAGCAAGATTCTCCCTGCGTTATGTGGAGTTAATAACAGTTTCAAAAGTTTGTCATGGTGCATATATCATTCTCCTATCCTCTCCCTCCTCCCTCCTTAGTGCTACGTGCTCCAACTAAGCAAAACTTAACACGGTGGTTGAAAGCAGCAGCGCACGTTGCCAATAGGAAAGCAATGGCAGCACTAACAAGGCAAGGCACGCTTGAAAGAGCAGTGGACTTGAGCTACTTACATCCGGGGAGGGCAATACCCTGTGTCCTGCGTGTCAAGTGTATGGATGCTTATCTAAGATCAAGAGTAAGGGACGATAGTGCTGAATTATATGGAGTAACATTTGGCTGGCCATGTGTTAAAGGTTACGTTACAAACTCTGAGATCGGATGACTCAATAAGCCACTGGTTTGTGACATAATCAGGGGGTCCCGATGAAGGAATCGCTTTGCGTATAACAACCCTCAGGTAGCTTCTGTTTTGTATGTAGAAATACATGCTCTGTAACCCTTCCATGCGGCAAAACCTTTTTAAAGGGAGCAACCTTCGTATCGACCACGTGGTATAAAACTCAACCTAATTTGTCATCCAATTGACAAAGGCGCTCAGAAAGACCTTAAGAGTGGCTGATGTGGGAAATGGAAAAGCTCTCGTTTACAGTTACTTACAGAGTAGTGCTTGATGCAGAGGTTGAAGGAGTAATTCTTCCCGATTCTACATCAATGGGGGGTGGGGGTTGGGGGTGGGGAGAGATGAACTGCTGTGTGCCTGAAATGGGAACATTCCCTTATCAACGTTGCATTAAATTAAATTCAACTTTATTGGATTCCCTGTGTCCCTCACCTTTTGTAATCATGATAATACTTAACAATGACAATAATAATAATCCTTGCATTTGATACAGCACCGTTCAGGTCAGGAGGACGTCGCAAAGCATTTCACAGGAATCGTTGTGAAATGTACTGACCGTGTCTTGCGGGCGATTGCAGCAGCCAATCTGCGCATGGCAATGTTCCTACCACACCAACAGCTGTGAAGTGAATTTACCCGGGGGATTGTCGGGCAGGACAGTCGGAGAGTCTCCCTGCAATTATCAAAACAAAGTTCAAAAAAGCATCCATGATATTAGCCCAATCTTAACCCCTACTCCCCCAACCCACAGGCTCATAACTCAAGCTAATTAGGTTCCACAGATGGGCTGAGTACTATAAGGGGCCATTGTGCCTCGTGAAGGGATTGATTGTCTCTCACTGTGCTTATCTACATAATCTTCAAGCCTATTTTCGTCCAGTTATTTATCCAGTTCTCGTTTCAAGCAGTTAATCAACATGACATCAGTTGCTTTTACATGGGAGTCTATTTATGCTCTGTGTGGGGGGGGGGGGGTGCGGAGGAGCGGGGGTTCTTCCAATCTCCGAGTGTATTCGAGGCTTGCTAATTTTGTCTTCGTGCCCTTCAGTTCTGCAATCATAATCACCTGATTGCATCTACATTATTCATGGCCTTTTAGCATTTTATAAGCCTCCATCATATCCATTCTCAATCTTCTTTGCATTGTTGGAGGCATCGTGCTTTGGGTAAGATGTTAAACCCATCTGCCTGCTCAGGTGGGCATTAAAGATCCCAAAAAGGAGAAGGAAGTCTCTCTCACATCCTGCCAACAATCCCCCAAGATAAAATTGGTCATTGGCTTCGTGGCTGCCTGTGGAGACATTACCCTGTGCAAACAGGCTGGCGCTTTCACCTACAAAATACACAGTCCCTACACTCTACGGTAAATGCTGTGAAGTTTTACGTTGCCCTCATGACGCGAAAGGCACTGTATCATAATAATATATAGATGTAGAAGCTTATCATATTCTCTCTATTATTATTATATATATTATGATAATGTATATTATGCTGTACCATAGTAATATATATGTTTAAACTTGGTTGAAAACCCTTCACTGTCCGGTGGCATGGGATGTTCTTCTGACATGAAAGGCGCTATACAAATGTACAGTAATTCCGTTATTGCAGTTGTATCAAATGCGTATTATTGTTCAGGAAAAAAAAAGCAAGCCTTTTAATAGCTGTGTCCGCCAGAGTAACACTTCTCTCTCTCTTCCCCTCTCTCTCTCTCCGCAGATATTGGCAGCTGGCTACAGCTCTTTGGTTTTCAGCTCCACAACGTGGTGCCAGGGTTTCCCAAACCTGAAATGCACACCATGGAACCCACTTACGAGCTACTGAAGACTCAAACCAAAACCCAAGACTGGGACCCCAGCAAGGTAAGGCTTGGCAGGGGTGGGTGTTCCAATGGGCCAAGTGGCCGCAGTCCTCAGTTCCGTTAAAAAAAAATCTAATGGGAAGATGAGATCAGATGAGCCGAAGAGCCTCTCTCTTCGGCCGACCCGATCTTATGATTTCCAGACGGCTGACGAAAGAACTGCCATCTCCCCGTGTTTCGTTATCAAAGCCGAGCTCTGGTAACGAGTAAAGGCAGCGGGTTTCGTCAATGCAAAGCACCCGCGGTGTTGTGAGACGTCTCAATGACGTGATAAGGCACTAAATCAAACGCAACGATTATTACGCAACGTGGAGTCCTGTAGCTCAGTGGTTGGAGCACTCGCTTTGCAAGTGAGAGACCTGAGTTCAATTCCAGGCAGAGGGCCAAACCTTGGGCAAGTTTCCTTACTCCACACAGAGCCTAATAATAATCCCTCCAAAACCAAAAACAATAATAAATTGGTCATTTTCAATCTAAGACTGTTTGTGGGACATTGCTGTGCGCAATTGGCTGCCGCGTTCGCCCACAAATATACAGTCAATTCACTTTACAGTGTGTTCTGTGAAGCGCTTTGGGACGTCCTCCTGACGTGAAAAGCGCTATATCAAATGCAAGGATTATTATTATTATTATTATTATTATTATTCGATTAGACTGAAGCATGGGGGTAATTTGAACATGCCGGGCACAGTTGGCAGGCAACTTCAAAGCCATAAAAATGGGAAGCGCTGAGATCATCGGGGTGGCCAGCGAGGACACCCCCCACCCCACCTCCCGCCACCCAAAAAAAAGTCTCTGTTCCACCCCCGCCCCTTGAACCCACTGTAATCCAGCAGCTCAGTGGCTAGAGCGCTCGCCTCGCAAGCGAGAGGAACCTGGGTTCGATTCCCGAGCGGTTCGGGGCGAAACGTTGGGCAAGTTTCCTTACTCCGCCCGCCGGCGCCCGCCCGTGTTTAACAAGCAGTAAGGTAACCCGGTCGTGAGTCGACCGGAGGACGGCTTTATTATCCACGAGGTGGGCGGGGGAATAATAATAATAATAATAATAATAATCCCTCGAGAAAACAATAACGTTTCCCGGTCACGTCAATCAATCCGCCAACCGTTTGCGGGGGGAGGGGACGACGATTAGCTGTGCGCGATCGAACTGGCGCGTTCGGCCAACGATCTCCCCCCTCCCTCACCCTCACCCCCTCCACTCCCTCCCCCACAGTCACTATGCTTTACGGTATATCCCACAAAGCGCTTCGAGACGCCTCGAAGAACGTGATAAAGGCGCCCATTGTGTATCAATGATAATACCCTCTTCCTCTCTCTCCCCCCCCACCACCCCCCCCCACCCCACCCCCCTCCCCTCAGGTGGTGCTGGGGGTGCAGTGCGAGCTGCAGCGGCAGCTGAAGAGCTTCATCTCGCTGGACCGCCTGCCCCAGGCCCACGGGCGGAACCCGCGCGACTGCCGCGACGGCGAGCGGCGGCCGCGCTTCGCCGCCGCGCCCTCGGTCTTCGGCCGGGGCGTCCGGTTCGCCGTGGCGGACGACGGCGCGACGGCGGCCGAGATCATCGGGGTGGCCAGCGAGGACAGCCGGCGCCTGGCCGCCATCCTGCACGGGGCGCGCTACCTGGCCGGCCTGCACTTCACGGTGGACGGGCGCGACACGCACTACTTCGTCAAGTCGGGCCCGCTGGAGGAGGACCTGGCGGTGATCGGGCAAACGGCGGCGGCGGCCACGACGACGGGCGGGAGCGGCGGGAGCGTGAGCAGCGGCGGCGGCCGCGTGCTGGCCAACGGCGTGAACGTGACCGTGTCGCAGATGACGTCGGCGGTGGGCGGCAGGACCCGCCGGTTCGCCGACATCCAGCTACAGCACGGGCCGCTGTGCTTCAACGTGCGCTACGGCTCGACGCTGCCGGAGGAGCGGCGGCACGTGCTGGAGCTGGCCGGCCAGCGGGCGGTGGCCCGGGCCTGGGCCCGCGAGCGGCGGCGGCTGGGCCGGGGCGAGCGGGGCACCCGCGCCTGGACCGAGGCCGAGCGGCGCCAGCTGCTGGCGGGCGGGAGGGTGCCCGGGTACGACGGCCGCGCCGTGCTGCCGCCCGAACAGTTCGCCGAGCTGTCCGACAGCCCCGGCAACGTCCGCTTCGTGAGGCGCGGCGGCGGCAGCGACGAGAGGTAACAGACACTCCCGAGGAGAGAGAGAAAGAGAGAGAGGAGAGAAGAAAAGAAAAGAAAAAGAAATGATAATTATTGATTATTGATTGATTATTGATTGATTGATTGATTGATTGATTGATTGATGATTGATTGATTGATAACGCCCGCCTTTTACAGTCACCAAAGACTGCCTGTTTTTAAGACCCCACCCCCCCTCTCCCCCCTTTTTCGTGTTGATTTTCTTGCCGTACTCTTTTTTCTAGAATTATATATATATATATATATCCCGTGTAACATTATATATATATATATTTATCTATCTATCTATATATATATTATATTATAGTATATTATAGGTATATTATGGTATAGTATATATATATATATATACATGTGTGTGTGTTACATATATATATCTATATATATATTTATTATTATTATTATATATTATTGTGATGGAGAAACAAGTCGATTTTTTCAAGCTGCTGCCTTTAAAAAAAAATTTAAAATTAAAAAAAAGAATTTCAAAACGTGTGATAAAAAGATTGGTATTTTAATAAATACCCCCACCACCCAAACACCACCCCCCTCCCCCCCCCCACCACCACCACTGTTTAATATTCCTTCAGTGACTGATGATGTGTGCGAAAAAAAAAGATTTCAAACTGACCCCAATTCAGGTCAACCCTAAATCTGTACTGTATATAGTTCCAGGGCTAACGTACTAAAAAGGAGGGGTGGGGGGTGGGGGGGTGGGGGGGTGGGGTGGGGGAAAGAGGTGGGAGGGAGGGGGGGTGGTAGGGGAGGGATAGAGGAGTGGGGGGGAAGGGGAGGGAGGGCGGGTGAGAGGGGAGGGGGTGTAGGGATAGAGGTGAAGGTGGGGAGAGAGGGGAGGGATAGGGGTGAAGGGGGGAGAGATGGGGGGAGAGAGAGGGGAGGCGTAGCAATAGGGGTGAAGGGGGGAGAGAGGTGGGAGGGGAGAGAGGGGGAAGGGGGAGAGAGGAGAGGCGGTGGTGAGAGGGAGAGGAAGAGGGGAGGGAGATTGAAGGGGGTGGGGGTGGGGGAGGAGGGAAAAGTGGGGAAATCGAGTGTGTTCATTTCATTCCTGTATTTTGCCTCCTAATGGACCCCCCCCCCCCCCGCCCGCCCGCCCCCACTCACTGGAGACAACGCCAGCTGTGTACCCTCTAAACCCTCCATTGGCCTCGAGTGAGTGACGTGATCTGGCTGCACCTGTCGACAAAGATGTCTTTTATGGGGGGTGGGGGCAATGGGATGGGGATGTGTGGGGGTGGGTTGGGGTGGGGGGCGTTAATTCTGTTCATTCCTGGTCTGTTCTCGTATTGTTTTTCTTTTGATGAACTTAAAGTCACAGGTAAACCGTAAAGAAGACCCTGTGTGAGCCCCTGGGGTTTCTCTCTCTCTCTCTCTCTCTCTCTCTCTCCCTCCCTCCCTCCCTCCCTCTCTCGCATTTTAAAAGGCACGTCTTTTAGTGCGTTCATCGTCTCTCGTTTATCAAATCGTTTCTCTTCTCTCTGTATTCCTTTCGTTTTGTTGAGTCGTCCGATTGTGTGGAATCACTCAGTTTACAGGACATTCGTTTGTCTGTGTTGTCTCTCTCTCCCCCTCTCCCCCTCTCACACTCGCGCTCTCCCTCTCTCTCTCTCTCTCTCGCTCTCTCTCCCACTCTGGGAGGCCTGTTCATTAACAAGGAATCCATGCGGAAGTGTAATAACTCGTTAACATATTTTCTTGTGATTAATTTTAGAATGTGGTCTTGACACAAAAAAATGTTGACGCATATTTGAAGTATATGAAGGGTAAGCCAGACAAGCTATTAGTATCTTTATGTTGTGACGTTCAGGTAGACATTACTAAAACGCTAGCCAATTGTGGGCTGCTAATCGTTCTGTGATTTTCATGTACTGAGTATGCGATTGGCATTCAAGCAAGATATGATGGAGGTTAATTATGGACTTATGGAAACGACTGATTCTGTATGGAAATTTATAAATAAATGTAGCACAACAGGGCTGGAAATCCAACTTTCATTCAGTCACTGATCCACGGGGCCGGATCTGTCGAAAACCGTTGCCAGAAGATTATTTTCATTGAAGTTCGCACAATATTGTGGTCTCGCAGGGATGGGCCACGGTTGCTGTGTCACAGGTGAAGGTGTAATCGGACTCGTCACGTGCTGGAGTCCTGTAGTTCAGCGGTTAGAACACTCGCCTCGCAAGCGAGAGGACCTGGGTTTGATTCCCAGGCAGGGCAAAAAGTTAGGCAAGTTTCGTTACTCCACACGTCTCTGTTTATCGAGCAGTAAGTAGGAACCTGGTTGTTAGTCGTTTGAGAAATCGCATTTCCGGGGGTAACAATGCCTTAAAAAATAATAATAATTTGATCACTCAATCCACGACTGTTTGTGGGACTTGGTATTTGACCCAGGGAGCAACATGATGCCAAACAAGGATATGCCAAGGAAGGAGTTTTACTGTCTCACAAGAAGCCGGCAGACTAACGATCATTTGAGCAGATTGACAATCATTTGACTTAACAGTAAATCAGGCTGTTTGTAGCAGACCAATGCAACACACTCCTGTTTGTCTCCTTTCATTTCTAATGTTATCTGACAGCAGCGGACGATTGAAGTAGAGAATGTGCTGCTAGGCAATGTTTCCGTCAGTGGGAATCATGTTGGGAATATCATCCAAGTGTCAGTGAATTCACCAGACGGCATTTCGACGGTTGGAAAAATTGGAAAAAAGTGTCAATGTCAACCTGATCTCAGTCAATCATTCCAATCCATGTCAGACTCAGCGAGGGCGAGGTAGGATAAGGGAATCCTATTAATGAGGATTATTATTATTATTATCCCATTGAGCATTATTACCTATGTCACCTTTGCGATCTTGGCCCCCGATGGGATTTCCCATCACGATTGTGTCGCTCACCATCATAGGCGAATAACATGTTTCTCTTCACGACTTCAGAACTTTCCACACGCGCAGAATGAAAGTGCAATGCATTGGTGACGTCCTAGCACTTTAGCCAACAATATAAAACCATTGCCAGCGTCAGTAGAGCCAGAGAATGGTCAGTTAATTACGTCATCGTTCATTCTCCCCATCCAAACTGGGCACAGCCCATAGCTCCCCCTAATTATGTCTGCTGCAAGGAGTAAGCTCGTTGCATCCGATCGGTACACTGAGCAGATTAGCTGCAGAGCCCGACTGAATTCCATGACGTGATTCAGGAATATGATGATCACTGGCAAAGAGAAGGGAGGTTCTCCTGGTTGCCCGGCCAACGATTCCCCCAGATAAATTGGTCATTTACTGTGTGACCCACAGCAACAATTTTACATTGATATAGTCTCTCACATCAGGAGGACTTGTAGCTGCAGATCAATACTTGACAGTAATTTTTTGTGAGGCACTTTGAAACTGTTGGATATGTATAGGTGTATATATACGTATATATCAAATGGTACTGGTATGTACTGACCGGTATATCAAATGTTTTATTGAGAGATTTGGGATGTTATATTTGATGATATATTAAAAATAAATGTATAAAAGTGTATATATATTTTATATAAATGGTATATTCAATGTTAGTATTATTATTCTCACTACAATGCTCAAGGTGTGTGTCGGGGGTTGAAGGAGCTGTGGTTGGCATAGACTGTAAAGTGCAGTGATTGTGTTTTTTGTAAGTGAACACAGCAGCCAGTTTGCACGCAGCAATGTCTCCTACAAACAGTCATTAAGGGAGTGACCAATATTATTTGTGGGGAATCATTAGCCAGGACAGCCAAGAAAAGAGAAACTCCCTTCTCTTTTTGCATAGCGCCACGGGATCTTAAGAGGGAATCACACAAATATGTGATGACAAAAAATATAAGAGTCTGGGCAGGGGGGAGGAGGAGCAGGGCTTGAATAGGTCTTTCGAGGGCTGAATGTGCCAAATGGCTTCCTTCAGTGTCGTAAAAGCCTATGATTCTCTATGAATGAGAGGCTTGTTAACACTTAAAATGGAGCTGTGTGGGGAGAGGAGGTTTTAACTGTGTTGTAACTCAGGAGCTCGAATTGGATTGAAGCCCAAATAACCAATTGAAAGGACTAAGGACCTTACAAGCTGCTCAAATGTGATTTGGCATGGAATGGAGATGAAGTGAAGAGGATGCTCACAGAAGATGGTGGATTTGGATTTATGCAGGGATAAGCCACAGTTAATCTGCATAATAACACGGGCGCTTGAGGGAAGGAGAAAGAAGATTTAATTAAAGATCAAAAAAAAAATGAATCGACGATGGCAAAATGCTGTTACGATGGTGAGCGCTTCGGAATATCAATTAGAGAATGAGGACAAGAGCAGGTGATGGAAAGGGAGACGGAAGAGAACAAGTGGGTCACGGAGTGAATGATAGGCATCACCAGTCACTCTGCCCCTAACTTCTGAAACTCCTAACCTCTATCCCTCTGCCTCTCTCCCTCTATACCTCTGTCTGCAAATACCACCTTTAAACCTACCTCTTCGACGCCCCCCTTTAGTCACCTCACTCGCTCAGCGTCTAACCCACCATGTAATAATAGGCTAATGGATGCAAGTTGTACCAAGGGGAAGGGTGGCTGAAACTAGGACACTGGGTTTCGTTTGTAAAGCAGCTTGATGCTGGGATGATAATAAGCTGGGTTTTCCAGAAGGATAAGCTCAGACGGGCTGAAGGGCCTTTTTCATCCAAACCAATCTTGTGATCTTTGACTCTGGTATAATTTGTGGAGAGGGGAATGCTGTTTATCCCATCGAATAAGAAACATCGCACTTTTAGCCTCCTGGTTTCCTTTTGTTAAAAAAGTAACTCATCCACCCAAACCATATAACTTACTGTCAATAGGAGAGGCAAACTAAATGTGTTTTTAAGAAGCAAAAAGTGTTTAAGAACCAGAAAACGTTTGCATACTTTCATGGAACAATTTGGTGGAAATTGCTAGGCATTTTTTGAGTTTTACGTTCATGTTAAAAAATTATACCTTTGCGTCTGTTTCTTTCACATGGTTTCATCGAAAATGATTCAGGCAAAAGGAGAGCGAGAAGAATATAATGGATTTACAGTGCGTTTGAAACAATTTCTGAGGCATTAGTTCCAGTTTTGGAGGCGCTGCTGGGAAGCGTGGCTTCCGATAACTCCGCATCTTGTGACACGTGCAAGTTGCAAAAGGATTTTCATGCAATTCATTGCCCACACCTGCGTGGGACCATAGTCAGATATTCACTACAGCATTGACAATAATAACAATAATAATCCGTACATTTGATAGGGCGCCTTTCACCTCGGGAGGGTGTCTCAAAGAGCTTCACGGGATACACTGCAAAGTAGGCAAACTTGGCAGTCAGATTGCTTATAGCAATGTCCCACTAAAGCCGTGAAGTGAAGCCCTGTTATAAATGAGTCCCGGCGTCCTGGCTTCAACCTATTCCAGTCATCGATTAGCCATTCCTAAGATTGCCCTCTGCAACTCTAAACAGAGTACATTTGTTACACTGTCTTGGTGCATCCCAAAATATTGTTCTGGGGATTCCACGGTGCGTGATTGCTTTGTGCAGGCGGATCATTTAAACGCTTGCAAATGAAGAAATCTGTCATGGAGCCAGCGAAACGGAGACTGACTCACTCCGCGTTCGTTGCGACCCTTTGGGAACTCCGCGCATGGAGGCAAGGCGAACAGAATTCGAAAACGCACCCATCCCTTAAACAACAGCACTCTTGCCACTGTCACTTGAGCGCGCTACTAATCCTATGTGTAATTAGTGCCATGATTGGCGAATAGAGAGGGTGACATATGTCGGTGCTTTTCATGCTCTGTTTTGAAACGATTTCGAAATGAAACATACTTAGGTGATCGTAAGTGGCTGTCAAAATGTCACTGGGCTAAAAACACAGCTGAGCCGTTTCTTCTTATTATCTCAGTTTATTAGAGACCAATAAGTAACAAAAGACACAATCCTGGACTGAGGAGAAATTCAAATGGAAAAGGGCAGTTTTTGGATAAATGACCCCAAAAATGTGGCTTTATGGACCTCCTTCTCCACCCCACCCCCACCCCCCACCCCCACCCCCGCCCACAGTGCTTCCCCAAGACTGACTGGACAGGCTATTTAAACATCTGAGGCTTGTAATCTCCCTGTTCCTCTAGTTCTTGGTACGTCCTCCCGATGTGAAAGGCGCAATGCAAATGTAATTTGTCGTTGTTCAAAGAAATGCAGAGGTTGCATTTAAACAAATGGTTTAAATAAAAATAATAATAATAATCCTTGCGTTTCAGATAGCACCTTCCCGTGTCATCGAGACGTTTCAAAATGCTTCACAGGACATACTTGTCAAGTGGATTGACTGTATATTTTGTGGACAGAAGGTTTATGCTTTGTATTTCATTCCTACTGTAAATTTACTCCAGTGCAGTGATGGGGGAAATTACATCGATGGAGACGGCTTCCTCTCACACAAGAGATTATAACCGAGGTCACGGCGTGTGACCGTTCAGATAGACGTTAAAGATCCTGCGGCTATTCAAAATATTTGAAAAGAGAGGGAGTTTTTCCCGGTGTCCTGGCTGACAATCTGTCAGATAAAATTGGTCGGTGGCTTGGTGGCTGCTTGTGGAACATTGCTGTGATGGGTGGGTGAGTGGGAGGTGGCGGAGTCTTGAAATTTCTACTTCCCTCCAGGTCGTAGCAAAGTGTCCAGCCCCGGATGTGGAGCGCCAACAGTGCTTTCCTATGCTGCTTTACGTTTGCCGGATGAAACTCCGCAAAACGTTCAGGAACGCTTTACCGCGGCGTTAAGTCGTGTCGCTAAGTAACACCGGGTCCTAATTTTGTTTGCGTCTCCTAGTTTGTTCATTGATTGTTTCCCCTGTACTGAGCAGTGTGTGTAGTCCCTCTCCCTGTCTTGCTCTGCTGCGGACCAGTGTGTAGTGGAGTCGGTGAGCTGCCCCCGTAACAATCAGACTAAAGCGTATATTTTTCTATGAGAATTCTCAAGGGCTCTGCTGCCACACGCCATTGCAATGACGGTTAGTTAACATGTTTCGCATTAATGAGCGTCTTGAGAGAAAAAGGGAAATAAACTTTCACTTTACGGCTTCTCTTGTTTCGTTCACTTTCAATTTTCGCTCCTCGTTCTGAACAAGTTTTCGATCCTTAACAAGTTTTTGGTGTAGCTATGTGTTGCCTTCCGCGGGATGAGCGAACAGTGGCAGATTAGCGCGATGGTTAGTTACCAGGCCCGTGAGCTGCCATGAATTATCATGGTCGAGCAGGTTTGCGACCGAGCTATCCATTTGCATTACAGAGAATACACTCCTCTCTCACTGGCAAGACGTGAGCTATCGGGAAGATTTACTGCATTAGCAATAATAACCGGATGATTAACAACTCCACACTTGAGGCTCCTGCTCTGCTGACAAAGTCTCTTTCATCTCCTTTCAATGGAAGCTGTGATAAATCCCTTCCTAAACTTTTTAGTAGATGTCTGGCTACAGTGCAAGGGCACTACAATTGGCTTTGGAGTGTGATAAATCGGACTGTTCCTCATCGCTCTCCCAACAAGCTGTGGTTTGAACATAAACGTACGTGGACATCAAAGGCTCAGAATTCCGGCTCGTCCTGGCCTGTAGGTCCATTTTGTCTTGAAATGTAATCGAGCACTTTTGATTTGTTCTTTGTTGATTAACTGGTGCTATCTTTTTACTCTATGTGTGTGTGACCCATAAAACTGTGGCCACTTGCCACAGTTTTATGGGTCCCTGGGTGCTTGATTAATCCAGATTAGCAAAATACTCGAACGTTATTATAGTACGATAATAATAATCCTTGTATTTGATATAGAGCCTTAAAGAACGTCAAGTGGATTGACTGCGTATTTTGTGGGTGACAGTTGTGCACAGCAGTGTCCCACAAACAGTGGAGGATTGAGTCACCAAATTATTATTTTTCGTGTGTGTTTGCGTGGAAGGGAAATGGTTAAAGCACATTTGTCAATAGTTCATTCCTGGCATTCTGACAAAGCATGTGAACTCTGTTGATTTGTTGGGAAAGGGCTTTATAAATAAATAATAATCCTTGCGTTTGATACAGGCTTTTATTACGTCGTCGAGACGTCTCAAAGCGATTCACGGGATATACTGTAAAGTGGATTGACCATGTATTTTGTGGGTGAAACACAGCAGCCAGTTATGTCCCACAAACAGCCATGAAGCGAGTGACCCATTTTATTTGGGGGATTATCGGTCAAGACGTCGGGAGAGAGAAACGGCCTTCTCTTTTCGAACAGTGCCGTGGGATCTTTAACATCCGCCTGAACAGGCAGACGGGACCTCGGCTTAACATCTCATCTGAAGGACAGCACCTCCGATAATGCAACGCACACACACCCCCCCCCCCCCCCCCCCCAGCGCTGCATTGGAGTGTCAGCTCAGACTACGTGATTCCAAGTCCCAACGTGGGGTTTGAACACACAACCTTCTGACTCAGAGAAGAGAGCACGACCACTGAGCCAGGCTGACACACAAAAATGTACGTAAGAAAGGCAATGTTTAGAACACGTTGTGCAAATGTCCATTTCAATAAAACTAACAATAGGCACATTTTAACACAGGATCCAAACTCTTTGACTTTTCCCTCTATTTATTGTGCATTTCAAAAACCTTTCACAACCCCGATTGTCTGACTTCTGAGAACAGCAATGAAAAAGGATTCTATTTAAGATATAAAAATTCCTCAACATCCAACACGACGTAAAGCAACTAAAGTAATCCAAAGTTATCCATTTATCTACAGATTTCATGGTTTGAGTGCTGGGGAATTAGATACAGCCTTATCCCTACGAGAAAGGGAGGGAAATTTAGCATAAAGGTTGTTGCTTTTCAAAAAAAAAACCCATAAAATAAAAACCATTTGAAGAAAATTATTGTATATGAAGGAAACAAGGGCTGTTTCACAGAAACTAACCTTTCTTATATAAAAAAAGGCTTCAACGATGGTTAGGTGCTGAAAACCAGTCAATATATACTATAATAATAATCCTTGCTTCCGATACAGCACCTCATCTGAAATGCTGTACACTGTCCAGCGTCTTGGGACGTTCTCCCGACGTGAAAAACGCTATACAAATGTAATCTTGTTATCATATCATCTCAAAAGTGTTTCTCAGGATATACTGCAAAATGATGTGACTGCGTGTTTGTGGGCGAACATGGTAGCCAATTTGAACACACCAACAAACAGCCACAAACAGTGACAAATTTTATTTAGGGGATGCGTTGGCCAGGACACCAGGAGAAACTCCCTTCTCAATATGTAGGCATGTTCCAGACTGCTCATCACTCTATGCCACTTGCCACGGTTTTATGGGTGACTTGATTAATCCAGGTTAGCAAAATACTCGAAACGTTATTTTGTATTGGACAGTTAAGATAATTATCTTTGCATTTGATAGAGTGCCTTAAAGCACTTCACAGAATATATCGTAAAGTGGATTGACTGTGCTTTGCGGGTGCCAATTGCGCACAGCAGTGTCCTACAAACAGTGGAGGATTGAGTCACCAAATTATTTTTCAAGCGATTATTACCCACAGAAAACGATCGGCCAATCGACTGACGATGGGATTCCTATTTACTGCTCGGCGTGTGGAGTAAGGAAACTTGTCTCAGGTTTTGCCCCACCATCAAATGGTATCATGTTTCATCTCTTAATTGGACCTGGGGATATCTGTGCACAACGGCGAGTGCTGTAGCACTGGGTATTCTATTCAGAGGAAGCATGTTAAAACTGCACAGATCCCATCTGTGAAGCAAATGGTGGGGGGGGGGGGGGGAGGAAAAAATAAATAAAGACAACAGTATATAAAAAACGCATGCCTTCAACAAGGGCTTTTGACAACAGGCAGAATTGAGGAGCACGCATAAATTAAGTACAAAAAGCTGCCAAAGTAGAGTTTCGATGCTTGAAACTAAATACCAATGGTTATTTAAGAACTCGACTTTTTTTTCCAAATGTTGGTTCTCGAACACAGCGACTCAGCTCGGCTGAAGATTCTTCGTGGCTCAAACGGTGAGTGTTTCCAGTCCGTACCGAAAAAACACACTCCCTGCGATCACGGACCCTTCAGTCCGTCGTCATACGTCCTGCAACGAGAAACAGGACGGGCAGTCATTCAGCCGGGTTCATCAAGAGATAGTCTTCGTCATTGTCAACACCTGGAACGATTAAAATTAACAGAATTGTAACAGTAGGCGATATATCTTCACCGCTTATAAAAACAAAACACACAAATAAAAGCGTGATACAAAGTGTGATCAACGCGGTGTTTAAGATCAGTTTAAACCTCACGTACGGTTTGATTCCTTGTCCTCATCAAAGCTTTCGTGGGCGAGGAGTCAATTGCATATCTGAATGCTGATGTGTTTCATTAAATCAGATAAAGTTGGTTCAGAGTCTGGTATTCCATCGCTGGGCGTTTCCAGTTCTGCGCCACAGACCCCATCCCCACCCCCATCCATACTTACGTTGCCTTCCCTCCCCCAACCCCACCCCACGTCACCACCCAAGGAGGATGGTTGATGAGATGAATTGATGAGATTAGCACCACATCCCATTTGTAACTGGCTGTGTAAAACTGCACAAGTAACAGTCAAGAGAACATTGGAGAGAAATACCTGTTGCAGCTCCGCTCGCAACCGAAGGATCCAATATGGAATGTAGATCGACAGACGCACAGACAGACTCAGCTTGTTATCTATACTCAGCCGTGAGGATTCCTGTGGGAGGACTCCTTTGGGAGGAGGACTATCAAAGCTACGCTAACCGGCAGGTCGTCGAGTTATTGCAAAGCAAAAAAACTGCCATATGTTTGTTGCGGAGTATGTTAGTATAGATGTATCTCTTTAGAGAGGTTTTCCTTTGGGGCTACTTTTCAGAAACCAGGCATACCTCGTATTTTGAGGTTTAATGAAAGCATTTTTTAAATGTAGCTCATCGACGATAGGCGATTCCCCCCAAAATAAAAATGCCCACGACTCTCATGCGTGCAAGACCTTTCCGATGTGGTACAAATCATGTCTCTACCTCAATCGGCTATTGCGTTATTAGTGGATACACAGACAGACACACCGACCCTGTCTTTATTCGTATTGATGAAGGAGACTTTGATTACCTTTCTGATTGATCACAGGGTATTGTAGAGCGACTGCCAGCCCCTGGTCTTCCTTCTGGTACGCAGAAATTAGGTTCTTCACTTTACGAAACAGTCTTTTAGTAACTCCAGGGGCAGTCTGAAATAAACCCACACAGCAGTGTTACAGGTTCCAGGGCTGTTTGTGTTAATACTGAACAGAGCTCCCGGTGATTGTTAAGAATAATCCTTTGCGTTTGATATAGCGCCTCATCAACTCATCGAGACGTCTCAAAGCATCTCACGGGATTTTACTCTGAGATGTAATGACTGGTATTTTGTGAGCAAAGCAATATCCCACACACACCAGTCGTGAAGTGAGTGGCCAATTTGTCAGGGGGACTGTTGGCCAGAAACTCCCTACTCTCTTCTGGTGGGAGGTAAATCAGATAGGCAATGGGGAAGCCCTCACCTGAACTAACAGGTATTTATTGCTCCTGGAATTACTAAGCCATTAGGACTAAGCTAAAAATTCTGTGTGAATGTACAAGAGTTAAATGGGTCATTTATGTTTTGCCCGTTTAAACTCATCACTCCATCGCACCATTTTTTTTCAACTGAAAAATCGCCTTTATCCAGCCTGAGCTGTGGAAGGCAAGCGGATCTCAGTTGTGAATTTACACTGCGATGTACATCAGTAGACTTTGTATTGAATTACAAATATAACTTCGACTCTGAACTGTGCCGCAAAACACATGGTCTTGGCACTGTGATGGACTGCAGAACCCCAGTGAATAAACCAACAACAAAGTCACAGCCTTAATCTTGCTCTATCGTCGCCACTCTAGGCCTTCACCCATGTGTTTATTAATATCCGTTCAATGTAAATTGAGCACGAGTAGCTCGTAAAATGACTGCAAGGTCTCACTGTAAAGCCAGCCGCCGATAGTATAGTCAGGAAATTAATACGTGCGTTTGGGCTTTAAAACATGAACCTCCACATCATTACTTTTTCCTTTAACAGTGCAAACAGAAGTCCGTTACAATAAATTATAAAGAACAACGTGGATCATGATTACACTATAGAACACACATTGACACCGTTGTTGACGTTTTCAAAGCTACGGGTATCTTTCTCTCGGTTTACCTTCATTTATATTCCGCACCTCTCTCCCGCTCACAACAAATACAAATTTGCCTCCAAATTCTCAAATGAATCAACAACAACAACAATAGCAACAAACATTTAAATTGGCTGCTAATTGAGTTGTCAGAAAACAAATTTAAGGATTAGCCACAATTCCACGCGAACTCTAAATTTTAATACAGAACGATCTTAATAACGATGATAATCCTTCCATTTATATGACGCCTTATCAAGTCATCAACAAAATTGCATTTGTAAAGCGCATTTCATGTCAGGACGTCCCAAGGCGCTGGACAGTCAGGGATTAGGATTAGGGGAGGGTGGGGTTTGGGATCAGGGAGGGTGGAGGGCAGAGAGGGCACGGTCGAAGGGGAGGGTATTAAAGCATGGCTTGAAGGAAGCAAGGGAAGGAATGAGGCGAAGGGAACGTAGGATAAGTTCCAGAGGATGTAGGCAGAGAGGCTGAAGGCCCGACCCACGATGCTTGGGCGGGCCAGGCAAGGGGTTCATGGAGCAGGCCGGAGCCTGCTGAGCGGAGGGTGCGGGCAGGTTGATAAGGGGTTAACAGGTCGGAAAGGTAGGAGGGAACAAGGCCATGGAGGGCCTTGAAAGTGAGGACGAGGATTTTGAACTCGATCCACTGAAGGTTGGGGAGCCAGTGGAGCCGGGCAAGGGTGGGTGTGATGGGGTCGTGGAGCCTGGTGTGGGAGAGGACATGAGCTGCAGAGTTCTGGATGATTTGCAGCTTATGGAGGGAAGAGTTGGGAAGGCTGACAAACACGGCGTTGGCATATTCAAGCCATTCAAGTTGGCTCTCATTCAGATCTTGATGGCTGACAGGCAGTCTGTCAGGACATCTGTGGTCCTGGAGTCGAGGGTGGGGGCAGAGAGATAGGATGACCAAAAGCCAGTGGCACTGGGCAAGGATGGGGTGATTGGTAGCAGAGTGGGTCCCCTCAATTTTCGAGTCAAGGAATTCCATCATCTCACAGAGAAAAGTCACGACGGGTTTTCAACTGTGCCTGAACAACAACTTGGCATCAAACCCTACCTCTGTACAGCTCTCTGGGACACTATCCTGCACGAAGAGCGCTATATAAATGCAAGTTGTTGTTGTTGTTGTTGTTATTGAACCGTTGAACGTCTGCTTCTGCTGTACATACTGAAAAACTTCCCTTACCTCAACAGTCCATGAAGACTGTGCAGTCCTTGAAACGCGGTAAGTGTAAACCAGTCCTTGGTACCTAACACATAAAGAAAAGTTCAGCTGCAGCGACTTCAAATAAATTACAATTACAGCAAGTGTGTGCAGTCTAAAAATGGCACAAACCTCCGATGTGACAGCGGTTTCTTCAAGCATTGGCAAAACCATATTGGGGGGAGGGGAAGAGACAGAGGCCGATGAGTCATTCTCATCTTTGGGCTCTTTGAACATTATGAATTAATGTAGTTAATAATGCTTTGAGTTTCACACAGCGCCTTTCTGTTCGGATAGAGCCCTCAAAGCATGGCACAGGATAATAGTAAGAATAATAATAATAACCCTTGCATTTGACGTCCACCTTGTCACATCAAGATGTCCCAAAGTGCTTCGCAAAATACGCTGTAAAGAATTTGCGCACAGCAAAGACCCCACCAAACAGCCATGAAGTTCATGCACATTGCTGTAAACAGAGCAAAGCGAGTTCGCCTGCCTGGCATTTAGTTTATTAAGACACAGCATCCCCCTTCTGCTGCCACGGACAGCAGTGCATTCAACAGTACAGCAAAGCAAGGTTGTGTTATTATAGTTCTTGCACAAACTGCTGCAAATGAAGAGGTGTGAGGATACAAAAAGGATATTTATTGAGAAGTTAACCACACTCCCAACAGCTTTTCTGTGGTATTCCATATCTGAACCGTTCGTGATTACTGCACAAGTGACAATAAAACACACAAAGTTCATTGTCTAGGCACAGCCTTGAAACCCTTTGATTTAATGCCGCACGATGGTAGGATTCAGGTTCAGTCCCTCCACTCTGTTCAATTCCTGATCTTGGAGATCAGCCGGGAGAGCTCTCCTCTCCTGGAACAGCAGGAGGTACATGGAACCGACGAGTTCTTAACCTCTTATGTCACGTCCATGTAAGCAAACATTCAGGCACCAATTTTCTCTCGTTCCTGCTACAACACAGGCTCCTGCTTACTACTCCACCTCCTCTCAAAAGTGTTTGGTGTCTCTCCACCCCCTCAATCCTCTTGGCCTCAAAAATCTTTGCTGTTTCCATGTTGTGTGTTTTTTTTATATATAAGAAATAAGAGCACAGCAAAAATGCTAGATGGCAGGTGCTAACTGATCTCCACGAAGAGGGAACAAACACCAAGACCAGGAATCTTAGTCCAGAAAAATTGAATATTTCCCAAGTACTTTTCGTCCCAACCTCGGAGGCCTGAATTTCCATCCTGTCTCAGCTCATGAAGCTCATAATAATAATAATAATAATCCTTGCATCTGATATAGCGCCATATCATGATCTTCGAGATGTCTCGAAGCTCTTCACAGAATACACAGTGAAGTGAATTGACTGTATATCTTGTGGGCAAAACGCGGAGGCCAGAGATACTGCACACAGCAGTGTCGCACAAAAACTGTTGTGGTTTCAGTGACCAAATTATTTTTGCCTCTACTGTTTAAGATTGTGGATAATTCTTAACTTCACTCTTAACTTGGCTCCCCGCTGTTCTTAAAACGAAAGTGGCTTCGAGGCCCACTTTCCGTGGTTGGTTAAATAGGACTCAAACCAGGCCGAGTGCAGTCCCACTGAGGTTGATGAAGGAGGAGAGGAGGTGGAGGAGGATGGAGTGGTTGACTGTGTCGAATGCAGTGGAGCGGTTCAGGAGGACAAGGAGGCAGAAGGAGCCTTGATTACAGAGAGAGAGGGTGTCACTTAGGCGTTCCTTTAACCTCCTCACTGATCCCACAATGACTAAAACTTAGGTTTTGAACTTGTTTATACAGTTCAATTGTTAAGTCAAGAAGTGTGTTTTTTTTTAAAAATGACTTGTTTAGTTATCTTGCCTTTGATACACCTAAGAAGCAAATTAATCCTCTTCGGACTTGATGGGTATCACTGATTCCAATGATGTGAAAAGCAAATATCTTTGTTTTCATCACCAGATATTATCATATCTCTTCAACAGTTTCCGAACATAAAAATTGTTCCACCTGAACCAGGATATCCTGCCATTGTACAGCTTGGTTGTGGTTGAAGTCAAGTTCTAATATAATCTGCAGAGTTGTCAAAAATTTGATGAGAGGGCTGTTTTTGTTTTCATTGTACAATAATTAAGACCTTCTACACTACCGTATTCACAGTAGGAATTCACAGCATTTACTTTTTTACATATAACTGCAAGCTGTTGCTGTAGGAATGAGACTGTTGGAGGTGCCATCATTTGGAAGAGGCGTTAAACTAATATGTCCAAAATGATGGAAAGAGGATCACCTGGTTAGACCCAAGGCTGGGTCGAAGAAGAAGCTTCTTTGGAGAGTTTTGAAGACAAGGAAGAAAGTGTGAGGCAAAGGGATTTGGGGAGGGAGTTTCTGAGCACAGGGCATAGTGGCTGAAAGTATGGCAATCTTGTAAAGACATAGTCTAACTGATGTGATGAGTTTTTGACTGATAGGTGCGTGGTTTACAAAACACTTAATATGCTTGTAATATTGCAGGAATTGCATTCATTATCACTCTCACCACTAAGGATTGAAGGCTTGGGTTGCAGTGACAACCCAAGCCTTCAATCCCCATGGAAATTGACAAACTCTGATTAAATACCTAATTTACGTGAGACCTTTTCTTTGGTCCATTGGATGTCTGACACTTTCGGAAACCCAGACTGAATGTTTTGCATATGTATGCCCACCTACACATGGAAATCTCCCTATAATAATAATAATAAAACTTGTATTTGATGTAGCGCCTTATCACATCTTCTCGACATCTCAAAGTGCTTCACAGAATATACCATAAAGTGAATTGATTGTATATTTTGTGGGCGAAACGTGGCAGTCAATTGCACACAGCAGCGTCCCACGAACAGTCGTGGATTGCATTTTTATTTCTTTCTTCACCGTCTGCTCGCTCCCCAGAGGGACGCACCCTATTTAACCTAATTGTATGATTGCAATAGTAGGAGAAGATAAGACTTGGAGATCCCAAGGGTGTGCGTTCGGGGTAATTGCTAGATTTCAACCAACTAAAATCGCATTGCTTGCCATTGTAAGCACTGTCTGACAAGCTTTCTCACTGCTTCCCCTGCTAGGACCACTCTACCCAATTAGGGCTCTGGCTTGCAGCGTTAACAGTAGCCGAGTGGGCAGTAATTGAAAGGTACCAATCACCCACTCTTTAACCAAACTGAACGGAAACACAGGCTAAATAACCGCTTGCTGTCAATTTTCACATCAAATCTTTTCGGTGAAATGTTCGCTATAAAACGTGCAGGTCCTCAGTGCTGCGAAAAAGCTGACTTAAAAGCAGCCCAAGCAGCAGCAGTCTAGACGTTTCGCAAAAAAAAACCTGTGTAAATATTTTAGCAAGTTCAGCCATTCACACACCTCACAGTTTCACAACTTTTTGCCGCCCCTGTTTCCTGTACAATTACTCGAATGGCGGCAGAGGCCGAGACATGGGAAAGATTCCACTGGATTAAGATTTAGATTTTGTTTCAATCAGCATTTCGAAACCTCCAAAATTTAACAAATCATAAGAGTCAGCACAGAAGGAGTCCATTCGGCCCATCATGCCGGTGACGGCTCTTTGGAAGAACCACCAACTAGTTAAGTTCCCGCCCGATCTTTCCCCACAGCCTTGCAATTTCTTTCGTTTCAAGCAAATGTCCTGCAAGTTGTTGAGTTCAGTCTTAACTTTGAAGTTGCTTTTTTTTTTCTGTCATTCTTAAAAGAAACAGCCATGAAGCTGGAAGATTGTTAGCTCGGACACCGGGACCAACCCTCTTCTATTTTTGAAAAGTGCCTTGGGCTCTTTAGCTTCCACCTGAACAGGAATAAATGGGACCTCGATTTATTATTCATAATAAATTAAAATCCTTGCAATTGGTACAGCGCCTTTGTCGCTTTGACGACGTCCCGAAGCCTATACAGGATTTATTGTGAAAGTGGGATGGTTGTTTTACTTGTGTGTTAATGCAGCAGTCAAACCGTATTATCAATGCACTGCAAACAGCCATTTAAATGAATGAACAATTTTATCTTGAGGGATTGTTCATGAGGACACCAGGAAAGTTTCCCTTCTCTTTTGGAATAACGCCATGGGTTCCTTAACGTCCACCCGAACAGCCAGACGGGACCTGGGTTTAACATCCCATCCGAAGGACGGCACCTCAGACAAGGCAACGCTGCAGTGTCAGCTCTTAGACTATGTGATTCCATGTCCCCACGTGGGACTTGAACTCACAACCTTCTGACTCCGAAGTGAGAGTGCTGAGTGAGACACAGCTATCAGGCGAGGCAACGAATTCAAGTCTTAACTTTGAAGCTGTTTTTCTACAGTTTGTCAAAAGAACCTAAAGAGAAAAACAGCTCGAAACTGGAGACTCTTCTCTGAAGAACTGGTCCAATTCTGAACCGTCTAAAAGGCTAAAAGATGAGAGTAATTTCCCAGATCAGTTTTAATCGTATAATAAAAAAACATGAATAATAAAAAAAATCAAAATGTGATGATAAACGTCTTCTATTTTTAATATGTTTCCAATGCAAGTATTGCTTTCAGTGGAATTTAAAAAGTGCTACGTGTTTTGGGGTGCTGTTGTTTGAAAGATTTGAAGGAGATTGTGGAACAAGACAAAAGGGAGGAGCAAAGGCAGAATAAGTTTCCAGAATATTCGAGTGACGTTTACTGACAAAAAGTCCCTGTGAAATGCCGAAGCAACTCTGGTTTTCACCTGCTGGTGATTCCATGTTGGTTTAGTTTCATTTTAACTGTTGCAGAAAAATATTTTCCTTTACTTCACAAGATGTGCAAGCTATTTTTATCAGATGTCCTGAATCTGCAATTCAGCAGGAATCGTGGAGTCCTGCAGCTCAGTGGTTAGAGCACTCGCTTTGCAAGTGAGAGACCTGAGTTCAATTCCAGGCAGAGGGCGAAACCTTGGGCAAGTTTCCTTACTCCACACACCCAATAATAATCCCTCCAAAACCAAAAACAATAATAAATTGGCCATTTTCAATCTACGACTGTTTGTGGGACATTGCTGTGCGCAATTGGCTGCCGCGTTCGCCCACAAATATACAGTTAATTCACTTTACAGTGTATTCTGTGAAGCGCTTTGGGACGTCCTCCCGACGTGAAAAGCGCTATATCAAATGCAAGGATTATTATTATTATTATTATTATAATATCAAACCCCTACTCTTTCAAAAGATGCTGGAAATCTGCTGTAAACACAGAAGTCGCTGGGAACACGCAGCAGGTCAGGCAGCATCCATGGAGAGAAGAAAACAAGTTAACCAATGACCTTTCTTCAGAACTTCTACTCCTACTTGTCCTTCTCCTTCAAATTGCTTTCAAAAGCAGAAATTCTGTTTTCCTCTTTACTGCCTCCACTTCAGTTCGCGAATGAGTAAGAACAATAATCTTTGCATTTGACGCACTGCATTTCACTTCGTGAGGATTTTTCGGAGGATTTGCTGTAAAGCGTAGTGAGTGTATTTTCGTAGGCGAATGTGACAGCCAATTTTTGCACAGCGGCAAACAGCCATGAAGTAAATAATAATAAAAATAAATGTAGCGCCTTATCAAGTCGTTGAGTTGTCTCAAAGCGCTTCAAGAATATATGATAAAGTGGATTGACTGGGCATTTTGTGGGCGAAACATGGCAGCCAATTGCGCACAGCAGTGCCCCACAAACAGTTGTGGATTGAGTGACCAATTGCTTTTTCTCAGAGGGAATCTTATCCCCGGAAAGCAATCCACCAATTGACTAACAACTAGGTTCGTACTTACTGCTGGGAGGCCTGTGGAGTAAGGAAACTTGCCTAAGGTTTTGCCCCGCCCGGGAATCGAACCCAAAGACCAATTTTATCTGTCGGTCAGGACACTGGGAGAAAGTCTGTTCATTTTCTGAACAGTGTTGTGGGATCTTTATCTTTAACGTCCACCTGAACAGGTACAGAGGGGTCTTGGATTGACTTTTGGTCTGAAGGATAGCAACACCGACATTACAGTGCTTCCCCCAGCAATATAATGGTGCGCCAGCCTGGTCCGTGAATTCAAAGGCTTTGAAAAGGATATGAAATCAACAAAAAAACTAAATATTCAGTTTAATTGCTCTGCAAGCTTCAGTTGAGAACACCTACAGTATTCCCGGCTCGTAGTTTATCTTCCCCCCCCCTTCCCACTGAAATGGAAGGGCTGAATGTTATTGCATTACAAATGGCAATATTAATCTTGCATTCGGTATAGCATCTTATCGCCTCATCAAAACATCTAAAAGAGCCTCCCAGGGATTTTACTGCTAAGTGTAGTAACTGTGTAGGGGAACGCTCTTAATTACAATACAAAGCAAATTAAAAGCGCCAAGCAGAGGACGTCCCAAAGGGCTGTACAGTCCTGGCTGGCATGACTCCCGAGCTGTGAGTTGAAACGCTTGCACGTGACTGTGTATTTTATAGGCAATTACTAATATATCATATCCTTTGAAAAAATTATTTGGTCACTCAATTCACGACTGTTTGTGGGGCATTCCTGTGCGCAATTGGCTGCCGCGCTTCGCCCACAAAATATACAAGTCAATTCACTTTGCAGCGTATTTTGCGAAGCGTTTTGAGACATCTCGAAGATGTGATAAGGCGCTGTATCGAATGCAAGGGTTATTATTATTGTTATAATGAGCTCCTGGGCAAGGAATTCCTGTTTGTTTGGCAGGAATCGTACTGATTAATAATATGAAGAATTCAGAGCCAACTTCTGCAGAAAATAACAGAAGCAGGTACTCAATATAATATTTCGTGTCAATTCGTAAGAAACGTGAAACTACTTCTCTAAATTAGTTGAGATTAAAATATAAAATTAACAATAATGCTTGCATTTGATACAGTGCCTTTCCACGTCAGGAGGACAACACCACCAACTTGTACTTATATAAGACACCTCAAAGCGCTTCACAGGATTTACTATATAGTGTAGTAAGTGACTGTGTATTTTGCATGGGAACGTAGCAGCCAATTTGCCCACACTCGTCCCAGAAACAGCCATGATGGATAATTATTAGTGATTTAATATGGTGAATCGTTGGCCAGGGCACCAGGAAAAACTCCCTTCTCTTTCCGAGTAGTGCCACCTGCAGAGGCAGGTAGAACCCAGTTCAATGTTTCGCCCGAAGGACGGCAGCTTCGACAGCGCATCACAACCTGCTTCACTACATCGTAGCGTCAGTCTAGACTGCGTGAGTTCAAAGTCGCCGACCTGGGGTCTTGAACCCACAACCTTCACACTGAAAGAAAAAGGGAGTGTTGCTTCCTCTCCCCTGTACCAGACTGATGTTCAAAGGAAGAAAAAACACATACAGGAAACCTCTTAAAGCCCCTCGCGCATTTTCTCTTTGCGTTGCGCATTTTGGCGTTGGTCTCTTATCTAGTCTGTTGGAAGGTTTCGTTGCGTTTGACACAGCGCCTTTCACATCAGGAGGACGACTCAAAACTCTCCAATACGCTGTGCCAACCTTCAGATTACCTGTACCAGGTGGACGTGAAAGATCCCAAGGCACTATTCCAAAAGAGAAGGGAATTTCTCCTGGTCTCCTGGCCGTAGACGCTCCATGTCCATGCGTGCGATATTGCTGCGCGCAAATCGGTGGTCTCGTTTTTTGCGACGCTTTATAATAAAATCCAGTAAACCACTTTGAGACGTCTTAACGGCCCGATAAAGACACTACCTCGAACGTAAGGACTTGCACCCACCAATGGCCCACAAACAGCAGTGAATGATAGATACATAGTGTACATTAGAGCACCGAAATCACAGCCTGAGCAGTTTGGGAAAGTGGGAATTGAAATTGAGCAACTTGCACTTTTATAACCACAAAGCAAGATACTGCAGATGCTGGAAATCTGAAACAAATACAGAAGTTCTGACAAAAGGTCGTGGACCTGAAACGTTGACTCACTTTCCTTTCTCTACAGATGCTGCCTGACCCGCCGAGTGTCCCCGACGACTTCTGTTTTTCTTTGCGCTTTTATAAAGCGCTTTTTGTGTCGGGTGAACGTTTCAAAGCTCTTCGTGGACAATAGAGAGCAATGAGACGGGAGAATTTAACGGCGCTTGCTGATCAAAGGCAGGGGGCAAAGAGCTGTGTTTTCTAAGCGGGTATTGAAGACCAGGGAGAGAAACAGCAAAGCAAAAGGGCTGTGGGAGAGTTCGGAGCGGGAGTGAATGGAAGATCAGGCACTGATGGTGGGACAGAGGAAGGGAAGGACAGAATGGTCAATAGCCCAGATCTGCAGGAGGTAAGAATACAAGTGAAGGACTATTAGCTGGAGGAGACTGCATAGGTATGGAAGGGAAAAAACTGAACAGATTTAAAGGTTAGAACAATGACTTAAGGATTTGATATTTATAAATGTCTGTTTCATCAGTAATCCTTCCTATCCACAGCACACCATACTGACCAGATGTTTAGGTTTCCCTCGAAAGAATACTTTCATTTAAAACAAGACGTTTAATCTGGGAAGGATTCAGTCCATTGGGGAAAAATAAACATCCACTGTGTTCGCCTCGTAATTCTGGTATTTAGCAGTTACCTCGAGCAGGAGGCTTAAACCGCGTAGAGTCCTGTAGCGTATTTGTTAGAGCACCTGCCTCACAAGCAAGAGGACTCGGGTTCGATTCCCGAGCAGGTCGAAACCTGAGGCGAATTTCCTTACTCTACACCCCTCCGCTTACCTAGCAATAAGTAGGAACCTGGTTGTTAGTCGATTGGCAGATCACTTTCTTGGGGGTAATAATCCCTCCAAAAAAATATATGTATAATAATTTGGTCATTCAATCCACGACTGTTTGTGGGGCGCTGCTGGGTGCAACTGGCTTTCGCCAATTTTGTTTCGCCCACAAAATGTGCAATTAATTCACTTTACAGTATATTCTGTGAGGCGATTTGAGAAGCCTCAATGACGTGATAAGGCGCTATATCAAATGCAAGGATTATTATTGTTATTAGTATTTGACCTCGACTTGGGATGGATGACAAGTTTGCCCTTATCATCAGCGTTGCCTAGAACTCAACCTGCTTCAAAGCACCTTTTCTCATTGGGGCCAATTCAGCACAAAGTAACAGCCCAAACCCAATCCCGTCACCACACCATACGAGCATCTCAAGAACATCAAACGAAAGATAAAAGCTGAAAGACGATAGCGTACGACGCTGTCTCCAGCGCAAGGAGTGCACACAAAATGCATTTTATTATCATTATTATTATTATCATTATTATATTCTCTCGTCAATTAATATAATTGAACTTCGAACTGTAACTAGTATATGTAACTAGTATAAATTTTCTGCGCGCAATTGGCTGCCTCGTTTCACCCACAAAATACCACAGTCATTTACAGCATATCCTGTAAAGCACTTTGAGGGGACGTGGAAAGGTGCGATGTCAAATGAAAGGTCTGTAACTGGACGAATCAGTCAATATTGAGCAGCTCGATTGAACCCAACGAATGTGCGTTCATTTGCAGGAAATATTAAGCGCTATTTGCGACAAACGTGTGAACCTCAGAACGGAGGTTTAGCAGCAAGTGACAGAAATGGTTAGTTCTTGGTACTCACAGCACACACAGGCAGTAAACTCCAGGTCGCGATTCACTGTCTCGGATCAAGTAGCTCCCATCTTTGCCGCTCTTGCTCAACAGCTTCTCTCCGGTCTCCCGGTTGATGTTTCCGTGGTAAACGGGGTGATCCATTTTCAAATGACAGTGCCACACAAGGTCAGCAGCCCACCAGCTCTCCTCTTGCAGGTGCAAGCTCTACTGTCAAGCTTTTTAAGCTGTGTGGGTGTTTTCTCTTTCACTCTCTCTCTCTCTTTAATCGGCGTCACAACACATCAGGGAAGAACAAGTGTTTGGGCTAACCGGCAATAAGAATGAAAGCGTTACTTTCATCATATTACCCTCCCCTTCACGCCTGCCTCTCAGCCCCCCCCCCCCCCACCCCACCACCACTGAAGAGTCAATTATGAAATAAGTCATAGATATACTGGTTATTTTTATATGTATTGGTGGTAAATTTGATGCAGGAAATTTCGACACAGAGGGCACACTTTTGGCTTTTGAAATAGCATCTGCACCAGCGCAAGAGGCTTTTTTTGTGTGTGTGTATTGACTAACACGAACGAAGAGCTGGGATAAACCCCCTAACTTAGAATGGGCATCAAGTCAGATTTTGCCCACTTGCACAGCCACAAAATAATTATGTCCACATGTACCACCGTACGGTCGAAATAATTGTCTTTGCCTTTGATGTGACGACCTATCACGGCATCAAAACGTCTCGCAGGATTTACTGTGTCGTGACCGTGTGAAGTATAATGTAGGGAAGTGCGAAATCATCCACCTCGGTAGCAAAAACAGTAGAGCGGGTTATTTTTTAGAAGGGGAGAGATTGGAATGTGTTAGCGTCCGGAGGGACTTGGGTGTCCTTGTACACCAATCACAGAAAGTTAGTCTGCAGGTGGAGCAGCAATTAGGAAGGTGAACGGTATGTTGGCATTCATTATGAAAGGATTAGAATATAAGAGTAGGGAAGTCTTGCTGCAACTGTATAGGGCCCTGGTGAGACCACTCCCGGAATACTGTGTCCAGTTTTGGTCTCCTCATTTAAGGAAGGACGTACTTGCCTTGGAGGGGGTGCAGCGTAGATTTACTAGGTTAGTGCCAGGGATGAAGGGTTGAGTTACGAGGATAGGCTGACCAATTTGAGGGAAGGGATGGAGCGAGGAGGGGGTAGAGAGTCGAGAGGGGAGCTGAAGGCACGGTTGAAGAGAAAGGTCTTGAGACCGGCCTTGAAGGAGGAAAGGGAGGAGGCGGCGCAGGCACTGGGGATGGAGTTCCAGAGCCTCGGGGCTGAGAGGCTGAAAGCCCGGCCACCGATGGTAGAGCGGTTAGGGCGGGGGATGTGGAGCAGACTGGAGCCAGAGGAACGGAGGGTACGGGCAGGTACGTGGAGGGATAGTAGGTCGGAGAGGTAGGAGGGTCCAAGGCTGTGAATGGCCTTGTAGGTGAGGATGAGGATCTTGAATTCGACACTACCCCAAAGGGCTGTTGACGCTCAGTCCTTGAACATATTCAAGACTGAGATAGATAGATTTCTTTTTGCAAAAGGGATTAAGGGATTAAGGAATATGGGGATAAGGCAGGGTCAGGTTATTAGTTGGAGTTAGATTAGAAGATCAGCCATGATTGAATGGCGGGGCAGAGGCTCGAAGGGCTGAATGGCCTACTCCTGCTCCTACATGTTATGTTATGTTATGTTAGTGTCGTGGCTGTATTTTGTGAACGAACCCAGCAGTAAGTTTGCTTCCAGCGATGTTTCGCAAACAGCCATGCAGTGTGTGACCAATTTTCCTTGGGGGACTATTGGCCAGAGCACTAGGAGAGAGAAACTCCCTCCTCATTTCGAATAGAGCCATGGGATCTTTAACGGCCACCCGAACACGCAGACAAGACCTTATTTTAATGTCTCATCCGAGGATGGCACCTCCAATAACACAGCATTCCCCCAGCGCTGCACTCGAGTGTCAGTCGAGATCAGTGTGGTCCAACGTTTTGGCTGTTGAGGGCAGGATCCTGGATGCAGGATTCGAGAAACATCCGTGGGCTGCATACGCAATATTTTAGCGTTTTCCTTTCCAGAAACAGAACCCGGAATAATTATATTGAAATCCTATGTTTTAAATTGTGTAACTGTATCACGAAATTTCACTCTAGATTAGAAGAAATGCGAACTTTAAATAGGCAATGCAGAAATTCGTTAGATCTTGAAACTAATATAGCCACGAGGTGGTATCTGTCTCTATGTCTCTTTCTCTCTCTCTCTCTCTCTCTGTATCTGTGTGTGTCTGTATGTGTGTGTCTCTCTCGGTCTCTGTGAGATACAGATACACTCTCTCTGTGTCTGTGTGTCTTTGTATCTCTTTATCTGTCTTTGTGTGTATGTGTGTATCTCTGTTTGTCTCTGTATCTCTCTCTCTGTCTGTGTGTATCTCTCCTGTTACTGGTTGTAAAGTGATTGCCAGGTTCTGCTGCTAACCAGCACCCTGCACCGCTCTTTTTCCCACCGGGTCAGACCAAGCCGGAAGAATTCATCCCCAGTGGGCCAGATGCGGCCCACAGACCGCCAGTTGGACCACCCTGGTCTAGACAATATGCTTTCAAAGTCCCAACGTGGGCCTTCAAACCATAACTTTCTGACTCAGATTCAAGGGTGCTACCAGACTGCCATGTAACCTGCAAGCACATTGGGTGAGTGAGCTCTGTGGTCCTGCCGTCATAAGAGTTATTTTCCAGTTATGCACTATCAGCCCCAAGCAGATTAGCACCTCAGAGGATATACAAAATAGTTCCATCAATAGCCGTTGATGAAACTATATTATGAAATAAACCACAGTTGTGACATATTGTTGTAGAGGGTTGACAATAGTTATGCTGCAACTAGCGTAGTGTGTTGGTAGTTTGTGTGGCTGAGTGCTTCTGGCCTGTGATACCAGCAGCATCATATTAGCGATAGTTAAGTGTTGATAGACTATCTGAGACATTGTTATGAATAAGCCACTTCCTTATCTGAACCTCAACATTTCTCTTAGTCTTCCCCTTAGGACTGGATATAAATTCAGAATTATGTCGAATTTTTCAAACGCTCTTGAATTCAGCCTTCGTTTGGAAGCCAATGCTCCGAATGGCCTTTTTTATGTGCCGTCAATCTCCATGGCTTCATGGTGCCTTTTTAGATTTGAATAGTGATTTAAAGGCTACCACAAGGCGAGGCTTTGGATCTCCGTTTGTGGACATGTGCGCGCTGTTCAGCAGAAATTGCTGATCCACAATGAGGGACCGGAAGACACGATCTCTCACCTCTTCTTAGCTCAGGCTCATTCAGCACAGACCAAGGGTCTAACGTGTGATTCAGTGAGGCGTCTTGTCAAGCAATAATGAGCATTAGATTAGACCTCTGTGAAACAGTAAATTGTGTGAAGCGGTTTGAGACATCCTGATGTGAAAGGCGCTATCTCAAATGCAAGGATTTCAAAAAAATTAGAATTAAACACAGCATCTCTTTGTCTCGTGTTGGCAGCATTCGGATGGCTCGCTACGTCAAAACAGGGTGTGAGGCAGCAATCGACAAGGCAAACAAGACGCTGGGCTAAACAACAAAACACAAAATTCTGCAGATGCTGGAATCTGAAACAAAAAAACAGAGAGAGCTGAGAACACTCAGGCAGCAGCTGTGGAGAAAGGAAAGTGAGTCAACATTTCGGGTCCACGACCCTTCAGCAGAACTGAAGTTCACAAGGTCACATCTTTGGTTTATATTGCGAGAGCACAAGATAGGCCCCATCTGATCTCATCCCTCCAGAACACCCATCCTACCGTCAGCCCATCAACCGGTTATCAATGTAGCCCAGAACTGATGCTGGGCTACATTGATAACCGGTTGAGTTTAGATCCGCGGACATTATACTCAGGCTGCACAGCGCTCTGATCAGACCACGTCTACATCACTCTACACAGTTCTGGTCACTGCAACGTGATGGGGGGATAACCAGGCTTAGAGATGGTGAGCTACAAGCTTAAGACAAGACAACTTAGAGGGGACCTCATGGAGATACACTAGATTTTAAGTGGGATTGATCAAGCAATCCCAGGTAAATACTTTAGGATGCACGAGAGGAAGAAAGGCTTAGAGTTGCGAAGGGCAATCTCAGGATAGATGTCAGAAAGCTTTTCCCTTATTCGGAGGGAAATTAACGACTGGAACAGGGTTGCCAGGAATGCTGGTTGAGGCCAGGACACTGGGACTGGTTTAAAAAGCAGCTTGACGCTGTGATGGGCAGACGGTGGGACGGGTGTTCTGGAGGGATGAGATCAGATGGGGGCCTATCTTGTTCTCTCGCAATATAAACCAAAGATGTGACCTTGTGAACTATTCCCTGTACACCTACCCCTCCCTTCACACGCTAAGTCGCAGGGAAATGACTCAGTTTTTCCATTCGGCTGCTATATTTGATGGTAACTCCCATGTTTAGTGGCTCTTGTACTGAAACAGAATGCTGGATTCTCAACAAAGACGAGAGCTTCAGCACCCAAAAGGAGTTTTAATCCGTTGACAAAGTAAAAACACCTTCTTTCAGTGGAGTCAAGTTCAGTGAAAATATCCTTTGAACCCACAACCCCACCACAGCATCCTGGCAATGTTTATATAGCTGTCTCTGCAACAAAAGATGAATTCAACAACATTGGCTCTGCTTCGCATTGAAGGTGTCAAATCACCTGACTTATGCTGTTGACTAGTATGTGAACTTGGTCACACAATGCAACACGATTGCAACACAACACATAGTTTGGGACTTCAGACGTGCAAGGATGGTAGAAGGCGAATTGGATCGAACTTGGCCTCCTTTCGTCTAGAAATTCTTATGTTGTTTCGTTCTTACAACTTCGACGTCGGGACGAGGTCTCAAAACTCTTCACACCTCTGACTCGGCATCTGAACTCCCCGAAGGACGAGGGGGAAGGGGAGGGGCGGGTGGGGGAGCAGGGGAAGGTGGGGGCAGGGGTGTGGGGGGTGGGAAAGATGACTAAAAGTACGGTCGAAGAAACAGGTTTTAGGTTGGCCTTTAAAAGTGGAGAGGGAGGGAGGGTGCGAGGCGGAGGGAGAACCATGGAGTGGCTGAAAGCTCGCTCACCCACGGTGAGATGATCAGAGGGGACGTGAAGCCGGCCAGTGTTTTGCTGATGCAAATGCTTGCCTGGTTCACGGCCAGGATTTGCAGTGTTTAACTCAGATCCACATCTGCCGATTACACACAATTCACGTGGCCACAATGACCACATTTTCACTTTTTTCACCCAATTTGCAGCCATCAATCAGCACATCATTTAGCGAGTAAAAGCTCCTGGTTAATCAGACACCTTGGAGAAGAATATTGACCC